GCTTCCTCAGTGAGATCAAGGCAGTTAGGCAGCGAGTTGTTGGAATGTACCAACTACTGCCACACTAACCTCAATACTCAACCATCCAGGTGGATTTGGTACATTCCAAGAACTTGCTGCCTAACTGCCTTGATCTGACTGAGGAAGCTAGCTAATGGGCAGTAAAACGTCTTTCAAACTAACAACAAAAAATTAGTCCAGTTGAACCTTCAAATAACTTCAGACAATCTTCAGATCTGGATGATTGAAAATATTCATTGACATTTTGCAACACACCCTGGGGAGGAAACCCCTGAGGTTGATGTGGCAGGAATTGGTACATTCCAACAACTCTCTGCCTAACTGCCTTGGTCTGACTGAAGTAGCTACCTAGATGGGTGGTGAAATGTCTTTCAAACTAACAACAAAAAAATTAGTACAGTTGTAATGATTCAACCTTCAAACAACTTCAAACAACCTTCAGACTTTATTGTAGTGTTAGTGAAGCTTTATTTTCTTGTATCATCTAGTAAAACACAAAGGTTAATGGGTAAGTATAAACTATTTATATTGAGGTTTATTGTATAAATGCATGACACAGAAAGTACAGGAATGCCTATGACTCTTTACAGCAGCTAGATCACTGAGTCAAGGCTCAGTTAATTCATGTATTCTACAAATCATGAAACAAAGAAGCCTAATTAATCATTTTTGGAATTTTATTTGCTGCCCATTTCGCTGTGGGGCTACTCCAGGCAGCTTACAAGGGCAAAATAGAAAAAAATGATAAAAAAATGTAAAGTTAACAATAGCAAAGCATTGAAACAATAAAAATAATGAAAATACAATGTTGTTGTTGTGAAGTTATATCCGACCCATTGCGACCCCATGGACAACGTTCCTCCAGGCCTTCTTGTCCTCTACCATCTTCTGGAGTCCATTTAAGCTCACGCCTACTGCTTCAGTGACTCCATCCAGCCACCTAATTCTCTGCCGTCCTATTCTTCTGTTGCCCTCAATCTTTCCCAGCATTAGGCTCTTCTTCAGTGAGTCCTTCCTTCTGATTAGGTGGCCAAAGCACTTGAGTTTCAACTTAAGGATCTGGCCTTCTAAAGAGCAGTCAGGATTGATCTCCTCTAGGACTGACCAGTTTGATCACCTTGCAGTCCAGAGGACTCGCAGTATTCTTCTCCAGCACCATAGTTCAAAGGCCTCAATTCTTTTGTGCTCAGCCTTTCTTGTGGTCCAACGTTCACAGCCGTACATTGCAACTGGGAAAACCATGGCCTTGACCATACGTACTTTTGTTGGTAGAGTGATGTCTCTGCTTTTTAGTATGCCGTCTAGATTTGCCATAGCTTTCCTCCCCAGGAACAAGCATCTTTTAATTTCTTGGCTGCAGTCCCGATCTGTGGTGATCTTGGAGCCTAGGAAGATAAAATCTGTTACAATAATATAAATTAAAAGATGGATGGAGGGAGAGCAGGATACATGGGAAGATTGGGGTGAGATCAGCTAATTAGTCCAGCAGCCACTTCCAATGTGGTACTCTCCTATTTGGTCCCTAGACCAAACAGCAGAACCAGGTCTTGAGGTCCTTGTGGGAGGATAGGAGGATGGTGGCAAAGTTTATCCTGGACCAGCGCTACAGCAGTAAAAACTCTTGTCCTGGGTTCTGCTAGTTGGAGTTTCTTAAACAGTGGGATCCTCAACAGGCCTTCTCTGTTGGCATGAGTAGGGCATTCTTGTCTTAGTGGGACGAGATGGTTCATCATCTGGGGCTATGCCAGGAAGGGCTTTAAAAGTCATAACCAATATCTTGAATTGCACTTGGAAGCAAACCGACAGTCAATGCAGCTCATAAAGCAGTGGTGTAACATTGGTCATTCTATGGGCCCCAGAGATTGCTCATGCTGCTGTACTTTGTACCAGTTGAAGCTTCCTAATGCATTTTAAGAGGTGCTCCATGTAAACTGTATTGCAGCAATCCAGATGAGAGATGATTAGGACTTGAGTGATTGAGAGCAGGGAGTCCTGATCTAGGAAAGACTGCAATGATGCACAAACCAAAGGTGTGCAAAGGATCTCCTAGCCACAAGTATCACCTGTTCTTTGAGCAGAAATCAGGAGAGCCCCTAAGTTATGAACTGAGCCTAAATGAGATAATGCAACTTGTCCAGAACTAAGGATGTCAAAGAGCTGGATCTTGAAGCTCCATGCACCCAAAGCGACACAGTCTTGCCAGGGTTCAGTTGTAGCCCATTGTCCCCCATCCAGGCCCCTACAGGTTTCAGGTACTTTAAGACCTGTGACACCATCACTTGGGTCACCATATATGGAGATGTAAAGTTGAATATCATCAGCATATTGATGACATTTCAACCCATGGTGATAGATGATCTCACCTAGCAGCTTCGTGTAAATGTTAAACAGGAGGGGAGAGAGTACTGAGCCCTCCAGAATGCCATAAGAGAGTGGCTGAGGGCTGGATCTCTTATTCCCTATCAATACCAATTGGGATCAGCCTTGGAGAAAGGTTATCATGATCAATAGTATGGAAGGCTGCTGAGAGGTCAAGAAGAGCCAGGATGACTGCACTACTACCATCCCGCCCTCACCAAAGATAAGTGTGGCCAATGGATGATCTGTCCCATAGCCAAGCCTGAAATGTGGTTTAGGAAATCTGTTTCATCCAGGACCATCTGAAACTGCCAAGCAACCACTTTTTCTATCAACTTCTTTAAAAAGGAAAGCTGGGAGACTGGATAAAAATTGTCCAGGCAGGGGGAATCATTTTTTTTTTAGGACAGGGCAAACCAGGGCCTCCTTAAAAGGTGCTGGGAATGTCCCCTCTTTCAGTGAGGAATTTATCACTGCATGAACCCTGCCAATCACTGTCCTAGAATCTTTTACCAATCAGGACGAACAAGGGTCTGATTGAAAGGTAGTTGCATTGATAACAATGAGGAGCCTGAATATTTACTTAGATTCAACAGGATCGAACTATTTCCAGATCACTGAGCAAGATCTTTCTCCAGGTATCTCACAAGGACCTTGCACCACACTTGGATTCCATGAATATGAATATATGTCTCATGTGGACTGATCTTTAGCCATTACTGTTTATTCAACACAACCCTCATTATCGGAATGTTCTGAAACACCTCATTGACAATGCTGGAAACACTGACCTTTTTTTGGTGTTGCTGATGTGCCTCCTCCTTCAAATCACTTGGCATAGCTATTCAAAAATATTTTGATCAGGCTCTATAAAATATAGAGTCACTACATGAAATGGGCAACTATACAAATGTGATGCATACATACCATACCATACCATACCATACCATACCATACCATACCATACCATACCATACCATACCATACATATATACATACATACAGGCTTCTCAAAGGACTATATAGGGATTATTTGTTATTAAGTTTATTTGCCACCCATCTCACCACAAGACTACTCTTGGTGGCTTAATTATGCAGGCTCCTTCCAGTATTTTTTCTGGAAGAGCATTAAACCTGCTTTAAATTATGTGTTTAATGCTCTTTTCAAAGAGTGGCACGCTTAAGTTTTAAAAAATGGGAAGATTGATTTATACCTTGAAAGAAAGTCAGGTTACCCCAGTTACATATTGCTGTTTCTGTTTCAAATGTCTTAATAGACTTTCTTCTGCATTGGCCAAAATAAATGTTGTATAGCTGTGTGGGGGTGGAATGCCATTTTACATGCTCAATGAGATTATTCTGGATGCTGCTGTCCCTTTTAATACCTATCAATGTGGGATATTTGGGAGGTATAGCAGAGCCTCCTGTGGTAGTGAGGTCAGAGAAATTTACCCAGGATTATCTTTAGTCTGGTTTTTATGTTCATTCTGTGGTTTTCTTTTTATTTGAAGGAAAAGCACATTAAGCCTGTGGGAGTAAACAGAGCAGTTTGCTTGAAACTGATTTCAAGGATGCGATTTCCTATTTTCCAAGCAAAATGACAGAGGCTTGCATTTTTCCCTTCTTGGATTATTGGAAGTTTAAGAGTGCACTAGGATCAGGAAAAATGATGAAGAGGGAGGTCTCATTTCTGTATGGCTATGATTGTAAAAAAAAAAAGGGTGAATATAATTATACATCATTTTAATTCTATTCATATGTCCTTGAGCTAGATGGCTAGATGGAAACATTTATACTTAGGAATGAAAAAGTTGCCTTTTAATTGTTCAAGCAGTTGTGTTAAGAATTATTTCTTTGTCCTTCCAATCTGTATGGGGTTTTTTTACCAAAAATTATTGTGCATGGAAAAATCAATTTGTGGATTACTCTCAAGGCGTGTAACTTGTCTCTAAGAAAACAAAAGCTTAATTTGAGCTACTTCATATTCCACAATCTTTTCTTGAGATAAGAATGGATAACCTGTATGCTTTAATTAAAAGAAGCATATCCTTATATAAATGAACTTTTTTAAAAAGGTTTTGTATTCAGCTCACTGGAAAAAGACACAATGCTATAAAGGCTTAGGGTATGATATATTATAATAGGGCTATTAAGAGCTAACAAAGCTGGACATCTAGAATACTAGTTCCCCAGATTTTTTATTTTTACCTATATTTCCTTGGGCTGGGCAGATATTTTTTCCCCAGACACAAAGAAAAATGGTCAAATCAATCTATTAAAAGAATAAAATAGCCTTTAATTTCAAAGAATCTTTCTTGCAATATTGGAAATTAATTATTTTCTTCTATTGAATGTATAAGTGCATGCTCTTAATTGTCTCTGTCATCTAAGAGAAAATTTAGTCTGGACTAATGTTTGAAATTTATTTTCTATATCATCTTTCAATAGCAATAGTATAAATGAAAAATAGATGATATTAGAAAATACTAAATTATCAACTAAAAAAACTCATGGTCCAAAATAATTTTTATAACCCTTCCTGACAATACTCTGAATATAGCATTGTCTCTAATAAATCAAAGGAAACCTGGATTTATTCTTAAAGTTCATTATTTCTGCAGATCTCAAGTTCTACTTACAAATATCGGAATGAAGAATTCAAGAAACAATTCTCACACCTGCCAGATTTGGAAAGGCTCGTAGTGGGTAAGAAAAATGACATTACTGAGTAGAAAGGCAGTAAAATATAACTGAACTTTCCAATACAAAAGTTTAAATCAGTGGTTCTCAACCTTTCTAATGCCGCGACCCCATAATACAGTTCCCCATGTTGTGGTGACCCCCAACCAGTTATACATCACCGGGTGCCAGGGGCGTGGCCAAAGAAAAGGGGGGAAAAATGGCGGACAGCCTTGTTTGGCGACCCCTGTGAAATGGTCGTTGGACCCCAAATGGGGTCCCGACCCACAGCTTGAGAACCACTGGTTTAAATAATGTGATGGAATGAAATAAGGAGGTGGATTTTCGGGAGGCAGGGCCTGCATTCCAGAGGAATAAGAGACAACTCAGTCCAGGTATTATGTGTGAGAAAAAGAGGGTGAAGACAGCCACCCTCCTCCAATAATCACAGATTATATTGTAGATGCACTTAGTAGAATGGTCAGTCTGAACTCTGCTTGTAAGAATCACCATGTATCATTCTTGGTTTTGGACCTGACATGTAAATATTTATTAGTATGAACTATAGTTGAAAAGGAAAAGAAATTATACAGTTCTGCCTCTGAACCTGTAGAATTGAGGCATGTAGGGAGGATATTAGCACATTTTTCCCATAGATATGGCAGATGGGCCAATTTCACAAGAGAGAAACAAAATCAACCATTATTAAAAGAAATAGAAAAAGTCTATTATGTACATATCTTATTTATAAATATCACTATTCAGATATTCAAAGTTAAGGGAAAAAATCTTTCAGATCTGATTAACGCACAGAGAGGTGACAACTTGTTAATTTAGTAGAACTACAAAATCTAAAATAATATGCAATACTATTCAAAGACCACAGGATGGTGCTAGCCTGCTACAAACTGCTTATTGTTTGATTTTAAATTTTACAGAATTACAGTTTATCAAGGAAATGTCTGTGGAGATTCTCAGTCATCTGGATCATAGTTGTCCCAAAGATGCTTTTTCAAGAGGTAACTGGATATTCTTGTTTTTCTTTGAAGACGTTTCTCTTCTTACCCAAGAAGTTTTTCAGCTCTAAAAAACTTCTTAGATGAGAAGCGAAACATCTTCAAAGAAAAACAAGAAAGTTGCCTCTTGAAAAAGCACATTTGGAACTTATCAAGGAAAAATTATTAAAGTCTGTAAATCTATATTCATTAACATAATTCAAAATATAATGCTCTGTATTCTATTTCCCAATTTATGCAGAAATAGGAAGACAAAAGTCAATGAAAGGTTAACTAATGTGGATACATCAAAAATAAATCAAATGACTAAATGCAGATTCCTAACCAAATCTTTCTATATTTCTTTTAAAATAACTCTTGAAACAGTTATATTTCTGGTTCTACTGTATCTGTATTTCCCTTCCTCCATTAGAAATGCCAATCAGCTCATTTCAAAGCTGTGGAGAAATGTTGAATTCCAGGATGTCCAGCCTTGGGTTCAGAGTTTCTCTTGTTTTTAAAACAAAAACAGACCTCAACAACTTGAATTCCTTTTTGTTAAAAAGGCTCATGTAATCTGACTTTAAACATGATTCAAAGCATATCACTCTTAGAGATAAGTGAATGTGTTTTGAGAATGCATGCAATCTGCCAGACATACAGCTGACAGTCAGGATTGTTGTGAATCTGGGTTAGTTTCACAACCATACTCATCAGTCATTTAACATGTAATGCAGAATCTGAGGTTATTACAGGTGATTTTTTTTTTTAAAAAAAGAGAGAAATATACTCTGAAATTCCTAAGGACTTGTAAGTATTTATTTTCGTGTTTTTGAAGTATTTTCAAGAACAAAAAGAGCTGTAGCCATTTTAGAAACAATAAGAAAAATTTAGGATTCCCTGAAGTCAGTCCTTCCTCTTAACACTTGTGTAATGGTCAGAAGTAATTTCTTTTGGGATAGAGACAATACAGCACAGAAAGAATATGAAACCTATGTAGCTCCCAGGTAAAAGGAGACAGGGTTTATGATTCTGGATCCACAATTTATTAAAACCCTGATTCTGTATCTTAAAACTCACAATAGGTTTGATGTCCTGTTTTATTCAAAACAGTAACTATGTCAAATATAATGGCAGAAAATGTTCTTTTATAGCTGATATTTTTTAACTAGCAATACTTACACAGATGGGTTAACATGCCACTTTAGAACTTTTAAAATGTGGAATCCAAACACAGATTCCATCTGGTGCAAAAAACACACACACACATTTTCATCATGCTGTTCCCTTTTGGGTTAAAGACATTGTGCAACATGTAAAAAACAAATAAGAGATAGTAACCAAACAAATTAAAGATATGAGATAAGAAAAAAGAAGGAATATATCTAATTTATACCAACTGTTCTTATATTCTCCATATCTTTCCATTCTTGAAAACCACCATATTTATACATACATTCCTATCTTTTCTTTAAGATGCTGATCTTTCTTTTTCAACACCATCCAATCATGAGTTTTCAAATCTTTCCCTTTATCTTGACCTTGTATATAATTTTTCCTTAATGTGTTTGTTTCATAACTTAACTCGCATACATTTTCTCTGTGACTAAACTATTTGTTTTCACATGGTTTACTCATTTTTGTATTCAATCCACCTTCTTTCAGGGCAAATTCATTCTTGAGTCTTTTACACAGCAACTCATTCCCATTACATCCCCAGCAACATAGGCCATTAATTTTCCTTAATGCTGTTTCTACCAGCATTTGTATTCTCCATCTTTAATAAATATTCCCAGAAACATGCATTTGTCTACTTACTTAGTTTTTCACCATTTGTATATAATTTGCAGTTACCCATTCCATTTCCCTGTCAAACACAACTATTTTGGTCTTCGATAGATTTATGTTCCTAACTACATGATATAATCACGGACTGCAAATCATTCCAAATCTCAATCAACATGATATTTTTGCATCCCAAAGTATGCACGCACTCATGTTCCTAGCCAGTACATCTGTAACCATTTCCTACAAATACTGTAATTAAATTATGCAAGCAGGTGTGCATCTTTGTCTTATTCCATGTATTTTTAATCCTTTGGCTTTATCCTTTGAATCATGTTTCACAGTACTAATTTTCCCAAACAATAACACAGCAAGAATTTAGAAGCTGAAAGTTGTAATTAAAAACTCTTTTATTTAATATTTATAATATTTTCTAATATAGCTGAGAAAAGGTTCTTGAAATTAATATAATTGTTAAAATTACGGAGCTTTCTTGAGGGGTAATTTAACTCTAAAGCAGTGGTTCTCAACCTGTGGGTCGGGACCCCATTTGGGGTCGAACGACCATTTCACGGGGGTCGCCAACCAACGCAGTCCGCCATTTTTTCCCCCTTTTCCTTAGCTGTGCTACTCCCTTTTATTCTATTGGCTTTTGAAAGCCAATAGAATAGACTCTCTTGAATAGAGTCTAATTCTATTGGCTTTCAAAAGCCAATAGGAATTGTCCAGGCTGTCTCTGCCCTGCTGAGCCCGCCAAAAGTCCCATTCTGCAAACGGTGCTGCACCAGTTGAGTAGTCCTTGACTTACGACCGGTTGAGTAGTCCTCGACTTACGACCGGTTGGGGGGTCGCGGCATTAAAAAGGTTGGGAACCACTGCTCTAAAGCTTAGTTTATTGCTTTTGATAATAATTTAGACTCACATGTCTAAGAATGCCATAGCTGATAGAAGGTGAGAAAATCAAATCATTTAACAAATTTACTTAGGAAAGAGTGAGAAGTTTCAGTGAAGTCACCTTTTTGGAATCATTAGTGTCAATTATAGTACACACCCACCATTTGCTGTTAAAAAAAATCTAGTTTCTCTTGAACTTAGTTATGAGAGAGAAGATTGCACATTATAATAATGGCCAATGAGTTCGCGCCCATAATAGGCTCTCCATTCAAGATTAGTTTTGCCTCTAGGCAATCTTGACTTTAAGCTAACACCAAGGTATGTTTTAAGATTCATGTAAAGATCAGGGATCTGTATTTGAAGCTGTTCAAAAAAAGGTGCACAGGCAATGAAGGAATGGTTTTATCATTTAACAAAATAGTCAACAAATAAATAATGAATAAAAATAATTATTGATGAACTTAATTAAGCATTTGGCTACACTTTTAAAATGTTATAAAAATATAATACTTTTCTTTAGATTATGCCTGTGCCCTCCAAAAAGATATCCTCCTTCAAGGACGCTTATATCTGTCTGAAAACTGGATCTGTTTTTACAGCAACATCTTCAGATGGGAGACTATGGTAAGGCATGTTTGCTTTAAGAAATGTGTGTATCCAAAATACATTGCATATATCTCTATGTACACATAAATACCTACATACATTCATACACATGTACAGACAGTATTGGTATAGAGAGTATATTTTCACGCTAAGAATTTTAAGTTTGCATTTTTATTGTAAGATTTCTATATTAGTTTGTATGATTTTCATAAGGAAACCCATAAAGAAACCCAATATGTTTAGATTGTTTCTAACTCTTCCAATTTTTTTAAAGGAAGGGTTTTGATATGAGTAGTAATGCTGAATTAAAAGAAATTATATGGAAACTATAGCTTTAATTATATTCATTTTATATGTTGTTTCTGTAGTTTCAGCGTTAGCTTTTAGGTGGCTTATTTTATGTGTATTTCAAACTTCAGATTTCTATCGCTCTGAAGGACATAACCTTCATGACAAAAGAGAAGACGGCTCGGCTTATTCCAAATGCTATCCAAATTGCTACAGAAGGGGAGAAGGTACAATATTCTTACTTGTATCTCTATTTAATGGAGACATTTCTTGAGGCAGCCAATTTCCTTCCTTCCTTCCTTCCTTCCTTCCTTCCTTCCTTCCTTCCTTCCTTCCTTCCTTCCTTCCTTCCTTCCTTCCTTCCTTCTACCTACCTACCTACACCTACAGAAAAAAGCCAGTCTTTCTCGTTAGTTAGCTTTCCCTGTGAGTGTGTGTGTGCATATGCCTTTGAGTCAATGTTGATTCCTGGTGACTGCCTAGACTAGTCAGTGAAGTTTTCTTGCAACATTTTCAGAAGTAGCTTGCTATTGTCTTCTTCTTTGGGCTGAGAGAGAGTGACTGGCCCAAGGTAATCCAGCTGTCTTTGTGCCTAAGGCAGAACTAGAATCATGGTGTCCCGGGTTCCAGCCTGATGACTTAACCACGACACCAAATTATCTTTTTTTCACCATGCTCTCCAAAGTTATACGTCTTCAGTTCCCATTACTCTAATTTGACATGGCCATTACAGTAGTCCTCAACTTATTATCACAACTGAGCCCAACATTTCTGTTGCTAAGTGAGACAGCTGTTAAGTGAATTTTGCTCCATTTTACCATCTTTTTTGCCAGTTGTTAAGTGAATCACTGCAGTTGATTCTGCAGGAAAGATCATGTCATAAATGTAAGTCAGTTGCCAATTTTGATCATATGACTATGGGGATGCTGCAATACTCATAAATGTGAAAAATAGTCATAAGTAACTTTATTCAGTGCCATTGTAACTTTGAACGGTCACTAAGTGAACTACTGTACGTCGAGGACTACCTGTACTATGTGCCTGATGAAGGATGTTCTAGTCTATATGTCTAGGGGGCTGGCTGAACTAAACAAAACCAGTTTGGTGTGCGGTTAAGAAGCTGTTAAGAAAGCAGGATACTGAATTCGAGTCCTGACTTAGGCATGAAAGTCAGTTGGGTGACCTTGGGCCAGTCATTCTCTCAGCCCAACCCATCTAAGGGGATTGTTGCTTTGGGGGAAGTAGGAGGAGGAAGGATAAAGTAATATTTGGGAAAGTATGAGTGCTTACTTTGCATTGAGGCTCTTCCTCTATCAATCAGGAATGCATCTAGGCTTTTAGAACATGTGAATGGGCATGTGCATGCAAGAGCCAAAAAATGCTTTATTATGTTGCACTTGGAAAGGAAAGTTATGAATTTTTAAATACTATTATTTAGCTTTGCTGTGAGATGGCCCTCAAATACATTGGATAATAATAATAATAATAGTAATAGTTTGCAAATCATGTTAAAACTTGACTATATGCTAAATCTTTTATATACCATTTATATCTGATGAACCTATTAAGTTTATTGAGACTTACTTTTATGGTAGTGTGAATATATATTTGCTTGGGAGTAAATACCCTGTAACCAGAAAGGCAAAAAACCAAATAGAATAAATAATAGTAATCCTGACTGAACTTAATGAAACTTTTATATAAGTAAATATGTATAGGATTGTAAATGGCTGAACACTGTATAATTTAGTCCTTCTTAGAGACTTCTAAAAATCCATTGGCTCTGATTTAATATCTTTTTATTTAAAATAGGGTTGACTGATTTGTAGATTACTTTTAATATTTTTCATGCAAATTACCATTTTGTTTTGCAGTTTTTCTTCACTTCCTTCGGTGCCAGAGACCGAACCTACCTCAATATATTTCGATTATGGCAAAATGCTTTGTTGGAGAAGGTAAGTTTTTATATAGCTGGGAAATACCTGAGGTCCTGACTTATTTTGGATGCTGTAATGAAACAGTACCAGTATCAGTAAAACCGTACCAGTCAGATATCTTTGAAACTGTTGCCTTACCATTTGTATTTATACATTGGTAATTTGCACTGATATTTCACAGCTTTTTATTTAAGATTTTTTTTGTTACATAATAATTATTTTAAAATTGAAGCTCTATAATCTATGGATAAATATGGACGGCAAAGGTAGTAGACTTGATGTACTTTATAAATAAATGAAATTGGCCCAAGTATTTATTTAAAATATATTTTGAGTTAGATATAACCCCCAAAGTTAAAATCATTCTTTAAATTTAAATTTCCACATTTATTTATTTATTTATTCACAAATTAACATCTGAAAAAATAAGGGCAAATGAAGTTTATTTTTTAAAAATTGGACATCCGTTTGAGAATTTTCCTGGCTTCAATGTATAATGTGTTTTAGTACCATATGAAAATGTTGAGCCTTACCTTGATTTGACAGTTTGACTGGGTTCTGCAAGGAATAACCTATGTTCAAGAAAAAGGAAAGCATAAGATAGCTAATTTGTATGTTTTTCTATGTGTTTACATCTATCATCTGCCCTTTATCATGGACTGATATAGATTTTAATCACTTTTATGTAGATAATTTTAGGCTGATTTAGAGTGCTTTTAGCTGGAGAAATTCCAGAATCACTCATCAAAAACAAGCAGCTTTCTATCCTTCTCTGCTTGCATCTTTAGGCTAAAATTTTACCTGATCCAAATTCAGAAATATTGCATGGCCTTGTTTTTATCAGATGTATTATTTCAACCTACAATTATGACTGAAGAGCTTATTCTGGGTTAGGTAAGATAAAACTTCAAAAGTAATGGATGGGGCCAGATCAAAACCCAAAATGTATTTATATGTACTTGTAATTAAAGTTAAATATAGTTACTATAGTTACTTTTATTATGTTTTAATAACATTCCTCTTCTGTCATATTAACAATTGCAATTATGTATGAGTAGTCCTTGACTTACAACAGTTCATTTAGTGACCATTCAAAGTTACAATGGCACAGAAAAAAGTGACATGACTGTTTCTCAACCTTAATACACTTGCTGCATCTCCATGTTTCATGTGATCAAAATTCAGATGTTTGACAACTAATTCGTATTTATGACTATTTATGGTTGCAGTATCCTGAGATCATGTGATCAATTTTTGTGACCTTCTGAGAAGTAAAGTCAGTGGGAAAGTCAAATTCATTTAGCAACTGTGTTAGTAACAATAACTGCAGTGATTCATTTAACAACTGTGGCAAGAAAGGTTGTAATATGAGGTAAAACTCACTTAACAACTGTCTCATTTAGCAACAGACATTTTGGGCTCAATTGTAGTTGTGAGTCAAGGACTACCTGTAACACATTTTGAGATCCAAATGTTGGAGGAAAACAAAATGGTAATTTGGATTTTTCAGATGGTGTTCTATGTATAGACGATCACAAGTTTGAAAGATTGCTGACATAAAAACTACATAGTAGTAAAATAATGTTCATGTACCTTCCCTGAATAAACCTTTATGTGTGCAGGGTTTTCCCAATTCAGAAAAGACTTCAAAAACATTATCTCCTACCTTAGTGGTTCTTAAAACTAGGGAAGTGGGAAATTATCTCCAAAGGGGTTATCTGAGCATATCCTAGGGGTCACCGAGCAATATATATATATATACCTTGTCTGTGAACCCTAACCCTAGAATTTGAAATGCATTATGCATTTAATGCACTTGAATTCTAAAAGACAGTAATGCAGCCTTTCTTTAAAAAAATGGTCATTATTATAGTGGTTGGTTATATTTGGAAAACAATAGATTACATAATAAAGAAGTTAGTACTTAGATGGAATTGGATAGATAATTAAGAACTCTTGTGTGGTATTGTATATTCCCAATCTATAATATTTTGTTATATTCTAAGATTTTCATAGTTGAAAAAAATAGGAAAAGAAAAATTTCCATAGATTTCAGGGTCAGACATTTCCAGATAATTAATAATCCTTTAAGGTGTTGCAGGTTTATAACAATCTTGTTTGCAAACACATACATTCTTCCCACAAAGATTTCTAACAGTGAAATTAACTACCTTTCATTAAAACTAACTAAAAAATCCCTAAGCCAATGTGGTCCTAGGGTGCATCAACAAAGGAATCATAAGGTCATAGGAAGTGTTAGCATTGTTTTATACTACTTTGGTAAAACCACACTTGGAATACTGCATAAATTTTGGTCACCACAATACAAAAAAGATGATGAGATGGTAGAAAGAGGGCAAAGAAGAGATGATTAGGGGGCTGGAGACTAAAACATATGACGATCAATTATAGGTGCTGGGTATGTCTAGTCTAGCGAAAAGAAAGATTAATATTTGAGGAACTGTCACAGGGAAGAGGGGGTCGACCAATTCTCCATAACACCTGAGGGCAGGACAAGAAGTAACAGATGGAAACTTATCAAGGACAGATCCAACTTAGAACTAAGGAGAAATTTCAGTGAGAACAATTAGTCAGTGCAATGGCTTGCCTTCAGAAGTTCTGGGTGCTCCATCACTGGAGGTTTTTAAGAAGAGATTGGACAGCCATTTGTCTGGAATGGTGTAGGGTCTCCTGATTGGGCAGGGGGTTGGGCTCAAAGACATACAAGGTTCCTTCCAACTCTGTTATTCTGTTAAATGATCTGCACAAAATTTCAGAGTTAGCAGTTTTCTGAAAGAAAATACTTCTGAAGTAAATGTTATCAAATGTAGAATATAAACACACATTTAAAACGATGAAAAATAAACATCAATCCAGGAAGAAAATGGGAAGGTGGGGGACAGATATATCAAATGGCATCTTATTACTGCTGATCAGTTTCAGGGGAAAACTCAAGGTGTTTGTTTCTCCAGAGCTGTGGGACAGCTTACCAAGCTGGTATCTATGTGCATCTTAGCAAAAGGCTTAAAGAGAAATCTGATAAAGGAGGCTATACCTAGGAATGTAGATTGAGTTCTTCTCTTGCAGTGAAGTACAGCTTGACCAGTTTTGAGTGGAATTATCAGCAACATTAGCACACAAGCAGCTTTAAAATCGCTCCCAGGAGATGCTGTATAACTTAATGCAGTTCTTAGGAGAGGAGCAAAAGAGAAATTTCCCTCTGAATCTGTTCAGTCTTATGTGTATTCCGGTAACCTGTGCAAGAGACAGAAAAAAAAGCCTCAGTTGATAGATCTTTAGAAATTTTAACCTGTGTGCTTCACAGACTGTTGATTTGTTTCCTTGATGGGAGGAGCTGAAACTGGGCTGGTACAAGGAACAACTTAAGAACTAAAATCAGACCTGCCCACTTTTTAACAGCTTTCCGAGTGCCAGGAATAGAATTTGTATAAATGCAACATTTTTCTCTCAAAGTGGAATTTGGTTTTGAGTCTTTTTAAATGGGGGCCTCTGTAAATTTTGCCACTATTTGATAGATACTTCTGTGCAGGCAAGGTAAGCTTATATTAAATTTTACCTACCTTGCCGGCTTCTAGCTTGCTTTGTTAGTTAAATGGCTTGAGGAGGAAGAATTCTGACACTTCAGGAAGTGCTGATTTTCAATGACGGAAAGTTGCTTCAACCCTGAAGTTGCTTCTGTTAACTTTGTTCTGATGATGTGTCCAGTTTCCTGAGTGTCACTATGAAGTTCGCTGTACTTTGGTATTGCAAATCTATGAATGTGGTCTCTTTTCATGCAGACGACTGCAGGTAAATGAATGTGGAAGGAAACAAGGATTTCAGGCTTACATGAGAAACTTGTTGCTCTTAAATCCATAGTCTCTTTAGACTCAATAGAATTTTTTTCTATAGAGTTAGATTTTCTTATTCTTAAGTTAGAAAGAATATCATTGTTATTTGAGTTGAAGAAAAATATTTGCATGGCTTAATTGAGTTTAACCAACTCTACTAACAGCTATATTTGTATATTAATTACGGTTACTTTTAATTTTGTTTTTATGGATATTTAATAAGTTTTTGGTTTAGTGATTGTGCAAATCCAGAAAGTGATTAGGTTAATAATTAAGATAACCAAGTTGTATGAACATAGCCATAGTATTTCAATGTGTAGAATTGTCATGATGGTATAGGTTGCCTTAGAGCAATGCTGCTTCTTTGCAACTAGGGAATCATTAAAAGATGACCATAACCTAATAGTAGATATATGCTTAGAACGCAGAAAGCTCTAGATTCAATTCTTAACATCTCCAAATATAAATGAGAGATCTCTGCTTGAAATGCTTGTTGGTGGCAATTAAGAAAGTAGAAAAAGTTATGGAGTGACTGGGTATATCACATCCTCCTTCTTGAATGTCATGCATTAATTATATGGTATCTTCGCAGAATAATAGCAGTGTCGCTACTGGGTTCATTTAATACACTAAGCTACTGTTAGGTTTTACTGTGATTTATTGAATAAGCCATATTGTCCTGAATCACGTGTAATTCTAACTTAAAAACATGCTTTATGGCAATAGTTTGTTTCCTACATCATGCTTAATCAAAACTAAACCATTTTCAGTAAGTGTGGTATTGCAAGGTGGCAACAAAAGCCACACTATTTGCATTGCAGGAACAAAGCAAAGATAGCTGCCTTCAACCATGACAAAATAAGTCATTATATCAAGGGAACACCAAGGGTGGTGAAGATTGTAGCACATCACAAGAATAAATCTGTTCCACCTGCATTCAAATGAGTCTTTATTTGTTGCATGCTCAGCAAAATTTGATAGAGTCTCAACTTTATGTATTTCTGCTTCTCTTTTCATTCAGAAGAGACATAAATACTTTATACTCTCTTTATTTCTTTTATTGCTTTTCTATTTCTCATCTGTAATGGGAAGGCCAATATACATTTTTTTAAGTGCTCCTTATTTGTCCTGCTTAGTATCTCTCTATATTAGACTGTTAACTATTGCATACAAGGGTATCTTTATCACAATTTCTGATGACTTTTATATTCCAAGGCTGAAGGACAGTTTTTACATCTAAGGAAAATAACAGGATAACAGAGTTGAAAAGGACTTTGGAGAACTTCTAGTCCAACCCCTTGCTTAGGCAGGAAACCCCATACCATTTCAGACAAATTGTTGTTGAATCTCTGTGTAATAATGTAATTATTACATAACTATAAGTGGATCCTACTAATTGTGCATGTTTTTGCTTCAGCATACAATGCATCCCCATGCAATCATGGATAGTGCAACTGCAGATAACAGGAGTTTGAGCCTAATTGGGGGTTTAATTTCCATAATTATGGAAAAATCATCTGCTTAATCTTGTTGATAAATGGCAACATTTTCTGTGATCATATGCTACTGTACTCAGCAGAGTTCTCCCCTGTGCATTGTTCATTTTTACTGTGGGGAAGTAACTTGCAGAAAGAGGATGACAATATAACATCAGAATGTAGCAGTTTGGTAGGATTACCAGGAAATCTAAGGAGAATTCTGTGAATGTGCCAAATGATGGATGAAACAAAACTGCAAACCTAAAAATGCATATACTTAAACCATTTACTATAGACAATTTATTTGAGTCTTTGTTTTTTAACCATGGATACTCAAAACCTGCAGATAATGGGGTCCATTGTATTAGCATTTATTGTAAAAATTCCTAACTAATTCTACTAAGATGGCTTAGTGTAGTACTGTGTAAATTGCATTTTTGCTTACATGTCATTTTTATGGCTTGTTTGCTCTGCTTTCATTATTTTATGACTGATAGTAGGATTATGTTGCAATCATAAAAACATATGATAAGCCTTGGGAATAATAAAGAGCATCCATGCTAAACATTTGCTAACTATGTGTCTTCAAATAGATCTTAACTTGTATAAACTATTAGCATTCATGGCATATTCAGTATTAATTAGAGTACTAATTAATAGCTCAATATCACTTATCAATAATTCCTCATTAAATTTGAGAGAGGTTTTTGAGTGTGCATCCCCAAGGATTAGTTCTGGGTCCTCTAAACATCTATTTTTATTAATGGCTTGGATGAAGAAATGGAGGGAATCCTTATCAGTTTTTTAAAAGAACGAAACTGGGATAACTATCCTAGAAAAGAACAATAACATTCAAAACTTTCATTATGGAAATAGCCTGAAAGTAACCGAAGGATATTTAACAGAAGTGAATGCAAAATTCTTCATGTAGGAAGCTAAAATAAAAAACACACATTACATATATTGGTAATTGGTAATTGGCTTATATTGGTAATTGGCTTATATTGGTAATTGGGGAAAAAGTTGGAACAATAGTACATTATAAAGATAAAATGAATCAAAAATGTCATAATATTTATTGTACTTTGGTTAGCCCCAACTTTGAGCTCAAATTCTAGTTCTGCTTATTATGTTTTTAGAAGAAGTGAGAGAAATTAGAATGGGTTCAGAGAAAGGCAATCATTTTTAGAGGCAAACCAGTTAGGAAACATGACAAGATGAGCTAAGTCTACTTTATTGTAAGGTTATATTAACAGGAACTTGCAAAATTTGAAATAACATGTGCCCTCCTCACATCTTCTTTACAGCCCCCAAAACTAGGGGTCCCTTCTGAGCTACTTGCCCCATCCCATGCCTATTGTGGGCTAAGTTGCCTTTTATCTGACCATTTGTTTGGCTGCATCTCTTCTCCAAGTCTCCTAAGGTCATTCCCACATTACAGCAATGAGGGTGGTTAAAGATAAAATGAAGTGCTGTATTGGAAAAGGGACCTAAGTAGCTGGATATGTTTAATCTTAAGACAAGACTACTGAAAGATAATTTGGTATAAATGTAACATTACAGAAGGTCAAATACATGTCCTGTCTTATTCTGCAGCATGAGACCAGATGTTCTCCTAGTATTAATAAACCGTTTATTATCAAAGTATAACATGTATACAGTGAAATTGGCAGAGCCTCCCTCTGTGCCTCCCCTCACAACAAACTCACGGTGATTACAACCCCCCAACTTATTTCACCCTGTGAACTAATTGCACATCACGCCGGCCTCACAAGTCTGTCACGCATAAAGTTATAAAGTTATGTCCCATTCAGAAGCCTGACAGCCCATGGATAAAAGCTGTTCTTCAGCCTGTTGGTATGGCTGGCTATGTTTCTGTATCTCCTACCCGATGGTAGGAGAGTAAAAAGGTACCAACCAGGGAGTGAGTCATCCCTGAGAATTTTCCTCACTCTGCTATGGAAACGGGCCCTGGTGATGTCATCCAGTGGAGTCAGGGAACAGCCCACGATGTCTTGTGCCATTGCCCTCTGCAATACCTTCCTGTCCGTGGCTGTCAGGCCAGCATACCAAACCACAATACAATATGTGAGAACACTTTCAATAGTAGACCGGTAGAAGATGGTCATGAGTCATCATTCTACCCTGTTCTTCCGCAAAACCTTGAGGAAGTGGAGTCTCTGTTGGGTGTTTCTGGCCACCTGGGCTGTATTAGCTTTCCAGGTAAGATCTTCACAGAGGTAGACTCCCAGGAATTTGAAGGAGGAAACTCTCTCCACACAGTCCTCTCTGATGTAAAGGGGGGCAGGTTGCTCTCTTTTCCTCCTGAAGTCTAGCACCATCTCCTTCGTCTTGCCAATGTTCAGGTGCAGGTTGTTCTCTAGGCACCATGAGGATAGTTTTTGTACCTCCCCCCCTGTACGCTGTCTCATCTTCACCTGTAATGAGACCCACCACGGTGATGTCATCTGCGAACTTGATGATCGCAGTGGATGGGTCGGATGATACACAATCATATGTATACAATGAGTACAGGTAGGAGCTAAGCAAGCAGCCCTGTGGTGAGTCAGTGCCAAGCTTCAGGGGGGGTGGATAAGACAGACCCAACCATCACTGTTTGTAGCTGGTCCTTCCTAACAAGATAGGCAGAGGAAAACAACCTAGTATCGGTTAGGACAACAGTAGAATATTCTGAAATTGCTGATTTAGAGAAGACATTGCTCTTAAGTCTACATCATTCTGCTTCACTTGCTATTTTGCTACAGGTCTTTGATCAGGGCCTCTTTAACATTTGAGGAGAGAAGCTTCTAACCCAAAGACAGCTGACTTAATGTGGCCTTGTACAACTAACACAAGTTAAGAAGTTGCAGCTGTTCTCAATAGTTAAAATGTCTTGGGGTGTTATTTCAGGAATTGGATGGGGGGGTGTAAGACTGTTGGGATGGCAAAACCGAATAGTTCTGACAGCCTCAAAACAGGCTGTCTGTGTATGCTAATACTGGGTTTATTGAATGCTGTTATGCAACAGTCTTTTTAGATTAATAGAATGATTTGACTTAGATAATAATCAATAATTAATTTGTGAACAACTTGCCATTGTTCCTAGTGTACATTTTTTTTTCTGTTTCTCAGAAATTAACCAAACAGGAATTCTGGCAGCTTGTACACCAGAGCTATGGCTCTGAGCTTGGCTTGAATATAGAAGAGATGGAAAACATTTATTCATCATCTGAAGAGAATGGACAATTAAGGTAAGGGAATACTATATATTGCCACACTGTTACTGTGATTTTTGCTTTTTTGCAGATTGTGTTTTGTTAATAGGACCATCTATCAATGTAAACTTGGTATAATTATTCTGTCAGGAATATGTTATGTATTAATTCTTGTTATCCAGGTTGGTGAAAACTTTTTATCTTTGGTGTCACTATATAATGAAGCAGTAGTATTTAAACGTTTTTTAATATGCAAAATGTTCAGTTATATACAGAAGATGCATTTTATAGAATCTTTTCAGAGATGGTTATATAAACCCAACAGTCATCTTAGCTGTGAGATGACAGAAGATGTTTGAGAAAATAAAACTATAGATAAGCAAAGAGATTTTTTTCCTCATTCATGCAACAAAATAGCAGCATTCATCTTTATATAACACAATGGTACTACTTTTTGACAAGTTCTGTAAAATGATATCTCTAAGATAAAGACATCATTTGATGGTAGAATGATTGAATATTTTAAGGTAGATTTTTTCCAATCTATGCTTTAAATCCAATACAACACTGTATTAACAAATGGTTCTAGAACTGTGGTTCTCAACCTTTCTAATGCCGTGACCCCATTATACAGTTCCCCATGTTGTGGTGACCCCCAACCACTTATACATCACCGGGTGCCAGGGGCGTGGCCAAAGAAAAGGGGGAAAAAATGGCGGGCAGCTTTGTTTGGCGACCCCTGTGAAATAGTCGTTCAACCCCAAATGGGGTCCCGACCCACAGGTTGAGAACCACTGTTCTAGAATAAATACGAAGTAACACTGTTTCTATTTTTGTATAGATCTAACCTCAGTGATGAATCTGGAGATAAGGAACCAGCTAAAGCTGTTGATCTAGTTCAAGAATCCACTGCTCAAACTGAAGATGAGACAGAATTTCTTACTGGAAATTCACTTTCAGAAGTAAGCTTTTAAAACATTCCTTTTCACTATAAATGCATTATTTACTTTATTAACTTGTTTATATTCTTGCATATGAATATATATTGTTTAAACACCATAATTTAAACTTGGATGGAATATTTTAACTTGTGTAGAATATTTAGAACTTATCATAACTGAATATAAAAATATACTCAAATAATTTAATGCAAGGCAAGCTACATATTTACAAAAACACATATTGCCTTCTATCTGCTAATAGATTTCTCATTCTTTGAGAAATCAGTTTGGTTAAATGAAATGTGTTATAAGCTATATCCAAATTATGATAACATAATTACTATGGCCTCCATCCTCTGGAATATTCTCCCATCACAGGTGAGATCAACACCCATATTCCTGGCCTTCTGGAAGAACCTAAAAAATTTGCTCTGCTGGTTGGCTTGTGGGCTGACAGGGCCTATACATTGGGAATGGCTGATGAGATAGAGAAGATTCTCATCCCCAGACTGCCCATCATCTTGGTTCTTTACTTTAAATATTTTTATTCTAATTTTAATTGTTTTCAGAACTTTAAAACTTTTTATAATATTGTAAGCAACCCAGTTACTGTATTAGTGAATTGGGCTGCATACAAATTTAATAAATAAAATAAATAGATTTCTAGACTGAAAGTAATTCAATGAATTCCTTGCTGCTTCATAAATAAGTCTTCTTGATTTAATAGCATATACTGTACTTCCTAAAACATTTTTGTTACTATATTCTTTACTAGCTGTACCCAGCTATGCGTTGCTGTGGCTCAGTGTGGTTAAATGGAAAAGAAAGAAAAGAGAAAGCGCACGTTTGTAATATGCTTAATTTCACAATGCTTGTGGGTATACAATATTTTTTGTTGTTCCATTGTGTGTGCAGATATAGAAATTACGTCCAACAGATGGTGCTGTTTTTCAAAAAAGCATGTTTTTACCTGTCACACGCATATTAGAATGCAACGTTGTGTCAAAATTTCAAAGCAATCGGTGAAGAACTTTCGGAAATTTAAGATTTTGAACAAACGAACATTTACATTTTTATTTATATATAGATTGTTATCTTTTCTGATAGCAAGTTACTTATGGCCATTATTTTCTGTTTGAAATGAATTCTAATCTTACATAACATATTTGCTATTATTCAGTGAATTTTTAAAAAGTAACCTACAAAATCAAATGAGAAATGGAAATCAAGCAAGCAATGAATTATTATCATGTTCTTGTAGACTAAAATTCTTATTATTGTGGATATACTGAAAATATGTAGCATTATAGCATGATGATAATTTGTATATAATTAGAAATTTAGATTTTTAACAGATTTCAAAATATTGTCACATATAACAAAATCTTGTTATTACTTATTATATCATTATACTTTCACTCCAATGTGAATATCAAGTGCTTTTTTCTTGGCATTTGATACTGCTAAAATACACACACACACACAACCACAAATCTCTATATATGGTATAGTATACCAAATGTCAGGCCTCATGTATAATATTATACAATGTATATTAACTGTTTGAATTGTTTGTCATTTTTACTCATTTACTTCTTTACTCATTTGATACATGAACTTCTAGCATTTCTAAGTACAGTTATAATTTTTTTCTGAAAAATAGTAAGACGTATTGTGATTAGCTTATGGGCTTGACTTTGAGTATACCCGATATAAAATTTACATAATTTGTGCAACTAAGACAATAACATAATATCCCTGTTATAAATTAAATATTTTATTTTTTATTAAATTTGTTTGTCTTCCATCTCACCATACTATAAATATGGCAAAATAGAATCAAGTTGAAAATCTGAACATTCTCTGTCATTACAAAATCTGAAATGGGATTTTATTGGATCATAATTAATTTTCAACCAGCCAAAATATTAGCAGTCATGTTGTTCAGAAATGACATGGTAGAAACACGCTTATGATTTTCATTTAGAGGTCTATTTTGTTTGCTTTTTTGTTGTGGTTGTTTTGCATACTCTATCTGGATGGTTAGATAAAGACTGGGAATAACTGTACTTCAGAAGTAGTTACTGTGAAACTTTAATTTCAGTGGGACTCATGGAAATAGTATGGAGTTTTGTAGTATTCATAGTTCTGGAAACACATTTATTCAAGCCCTTTAATGAATTATGTGTACAGGTAGTCCTCAACATACAACAGTTTTAAGTTACAATGGCACTCAGAAAAGGCTTATGACAATTTTTCACACTTAAAACCATTGCAGCATTCCCATGGTCATGTGATCAAATTTGGCCGCTTGGCAACAGACTCATATTTATGTCAGTTGCAGTGTCCTGGGCTCATGTGATCATCTTCTGCAACTTTCTGAAAAGCAAAGTCAGTGGGGAAGCCAGATTCATTTAACAACTGTGTTACTAACTGAACAATTGCAGTAATTCACTTAACAACTGTGACAGGAAAGGTTGTAAAAATGGAGCAAAACTCATTTAACAAATGTCTTGCTTGGCAACATAAACCTTGGGCTCAATTGCGGTCATAGGTTGAGGACTGTCTACATTTGAAATATGTATAGATATGTGTATTTTCAGGAGTTTGTAAGTGCTTTTAGAAGCTTTTAGAAGGTTTTTGTATTTTCTTTTTGGAAAGCTGGGATTGTGAATTGTCATGTTACTTAAATAAAACGGCTTTCTATTTTATTAGGTTGCTGAACCAGAGGAATGTTGTTATGATAAACAAGACAAGAGAAATTCTTTGATTCCTTTAGAAAGAAAGCTTTCTGATGTTGTACCACACAAAGTTTCAGTACAATCCTTGGATGTAAATGAGAATTTTCCTAAGGAGAAGAGCAGTGCCTCTGAAAGCGATGAAGACGGTAAATAATGTTCCAGTCTTAATGTTCCATACAGTACAAATTACAGCAACCAAAGAAAACATAAATCATCTTATCTATGGAATCTACTCTTGCTTATCTTACATCTAGTAAAACTGATAGAAAATGGCTTAGTGTTGTGGTTGACTTAGGCAATACATCCTAAAGACCTTGAATTGATAGTGTAAGGTTGGAGGACACTGTACAGGTAAACTGTTCATCCTGTTTCTCCTTCGATAGTTTATTACCATCAGGTTTGAAAGAAAGGGACAATAGGATCAGTTTGGAGAGCTTCTGTACAAACAAGAATGTGGAAATATTGCCTAAAGATCATTAAAAAGATTTATTTATATTCCGCCTTTATTATTTTTATAAATAGGAGGAAGGTGTGTTGATAGGTTCACTGCCTTGAGTTATTTGTAAAAATGGTAAAGGTGGGATATAACTAATCAGTTAAATAGCTAAATAAATAACTGAAGGATAAACACACACAGTACTCCTTCCTTCCCCTATCCCCCCCCCCCAACAACCTTTTTCACTGAGTTTAGGCTGAGAGAGAATGACTAGTCCAAAATCATCTTTCTTGGGCTTTCATGCCCAAGGCAGGACTAAAACTCACAGTCTCCTGGCTTCTAGCCTGGTGTTTTACCACTCAGAGATCATACTCTGCCAATGACTGCTATTTTATCTTTTGCATCAATGCGATGTCATTATGTTATCTGCACAATATATTAGAAAGAAAGCTGCTGCAGACATGGCATCAATTGTCCCCCCACTATTCGTGGCTACTCCAAGGCCAATCACAATTATAGTATTAGTGAAACCTTTGTTATAGCCATGGATGAGAGGCACTGTTCAACACATAATGATGGTGATGCAGATAGGGATGATACTGCCATAAGCCCATTTACAGACAGTGAAGTTTCAGTAACAGCCCACATAATGTTCCAGACTGAAATCTTCTCTAATGCTAAAGCTTTCCATGACAAGAGGACTAAGTTGCAATGAACATAAGACATTTCATGCTACAGTACCATTTGCTTTATTTTTCTAGTAAAGAATTCCAATATTCTAATAAATAATTCCAATTTGGACAACCCATGTGTCTGAAATGGTATAGGGTTTTCTGCTTGAGCAGGGTGTTGGACTAGAAGATCTTCCAACTCTGTTATTCTATTTCTCCATTTCTGCAAATACCAGTGAATATATAATTTTTGTGAGCTTCTTAAAGCAATAAACACATCGCACTTAAAGAGGGAAAATACATAGCTTGTGAATTATATTCATTTGTATTAATCATATGGCCAATGCTATTAATTCTTCTACCAGCTATTTTTGCAAGTATTTCCAATACTTGTTTGTTGTTACTATAGAAAAATCTACCGTCTCAATTTCTCTATGTTATATTATTATTTCAGTAATCATTATCATACTGGCATTACAAACTGAATCCCATTGTTGTGGTATTGGGTTTTTTTATGATGAAGAATCTTCCTTCCATAGTTACAGTTATAACTAAGCCATTTTCTTTCTTTTCCAGTCCATTAATGAATTAAGATTAATTGGTTAGCTGATAAAATCTCCTCCTCCTCCTCCTTCCTATTTCTACATATGTTTCATAGTATCCTTGATTATTCTTTCATAAGTTTTGTTTTTGTTTCTTTCTCCTGTCACTACCTTCCACATCAAGGGATGCTTTTTAAAGCCCTTCATAAGTATAACTGTAGATTTGTAGAATTCTACACACTTTATAGGCAAGTAAACTGACAAATTTTCATTAGGTATTCTAATTCTAAAGGGCCATAAATGCTTAAGGAGTTTTCTAAAATATACTTGGAGATTTCCATGTAGAGAATTTTTGTCAGGAAAGTTGCTGGGAAGAGGAATTACTATGGCCATTACCTACATTTGATATCTTGAATCAGATTGTCTCACACAATTCTACCTTTGTTGTCCTTTAAGTAGTGAAGACAATTTCATCTTTTGGGATGTATTTTTTTCTGATGTAACTGTTACAGAGTTCTTAACCGTGTTTTAAATTCTTCTCCAATAGCTGAGGAAGCCATCCTCAAGAGTGAACTCCAGGGAAAACTCTTTATTAATCACATTTTCCATATTGGTGCAGAGAAGATGTTTGAAATGCTTTTCACTAATTCCCATTTCATGCAGACATATCTCAGGGCTAGAAATATAACAGGTAAACTATTTTAATTTGTACTGTCTACATTGAGAGTAAAAAAGTTAGTTTCCTTTTTAACAAGATGAATATTGTGTTAAAAGCAACTGATACGAAGACTGGGTTCAAATATAATGCAAACCCATTTTTTTCATGGTTGCATTCAATGAGTAGATCTTGCCTAGTTTCATGCAACTACAGTATATGCTACTTCTTTTGCTTTTCCCTTTGCTTGACTGGGCAAGCAAGTAAAAACACCATAAGCAATTATATCTTCTGGATAACATCTGAACTGAGAATATGTTAATAACTAATAATCATTCTGAAACAAACTATGGTTTAAATTTAGCTCAGATCTTGGCTTTATAGAAGGCTATTCAGCTTTAGATATAACTGAACATTTGGATGCAATGTGGTTTTAACTGCAGTATTTTGGCTTTGTTTTCCTGTTCAGAAAAATGCATATCTTGACTTTTTTTTTAAGTTAGGAAGTGATTATCTGAACACAGTCACTATCAGAATATAAATATGTTCACAAGTTAAAGTTTATTGGCAACCAGCATATATGGATCTGAAATCACAATTGGATATTTCTTGCAAGTTATATTGAATTAACAAAATGTAGCTGGATACAATAGGTCACGGGTGTCAAACTCACCATGTCATGTGACGTGTTACAACGTATTGCAACTCTTTTTGCATTGCCGGCACTGGGGTGGGCGCGGCTTCAGTACGATGAAACCGGCCCATGGGCTGGCAGTTTAACACCCCTTCAATAGATTACCATACTATAGATAGAAGATAGAAGAATTATAAAATTGAGTGCTGATCACCTGAGCAGAGAAAGCAGAAGTACATCCAAACAATAGGTGATTCCAAGTTAAAACAGTTTTTCATTCAAAACATTTTGCACACAACTAATGTTTAACACCATTATTTTGTATTTTCAGTTCAGTTGATATCAGAGAACACCACTATACATATTCAGAATTGTTATTGCACTGATTGATTTTACTTTAATTAATTAAAATTATTTTACTATAATTAATGTTTCATATGCTTTTCTAATTAATTGGAAGTTTTGTGCTTTTTTAAAGAACTTTTTCTAATATAGACAAAAATAGACTGTTGCAGGAATAGTAGCCCTATTAGTAGGTTTCTTTTAGGGCATTGCAATTAATCCTAGGCTGCTGTTAAAAATACCACCATCATTTTGTTTTGTTTTGTTTATTTTATTTTATTTTTTATTTTATTTTATTTTATTGTTTTGTTTATTGTTTATTTGCTTGGTTACATATTTACTTTTCTGTTCTTTTGTTGTTGTATATTTTCCTGCCTCAGCACAACACATATAGAATTAACCACTACTGTAATTTGATGGGGTTAAAACATGTATATTTTATGTACATAAATACATTTTATTTTAATATACATATAAAAAAAAACAGAAGAAAACCTGACCCATGCTAAATTATGGGCATAATTCTCATTCTTTATCATAATGATTCAAGCCAGTTTCAGAAAGATAAACTTGAGGATTAATTATTTAAAACTCATCACTGTATGCCACATGTTATATGGTAATTTCATAGTTTAATTCACTTTGCCTTGCATGGATGGAAATATATGGTTTAAATGATAGTGTATAAATGAATAGCAACGATGACCTATATTTTTGGCTTTAGATATTGTATCAACTTCTTGGAACCAAGATAATAGAGGCAATCAACTCAGGACCCTGACTTACACAATTATACTTAACAATCCACTTATTGGAAAATTTACAACTGCAACAGAAAAACAGGTATAAAACTCAATTGTGTCAGATTGCACTGAACTGGCAGAAACTATAGTATACAAAAAGCAACAAGTCCCATAATTTGTGATCAGTATTTTGACTTGGAATTATAGAAAGTGAAGTCTAATTTCTACTAAAGACCATAGATTGAGAAAAGCCATATTAAGATATACACAACTAACAGTACATAGTGTGATCCTTTTAAAAGTATATTTTCTTTCAGGGCTTCTATATTTATTGTGATGCAATAATTATCACAATTTTTGAACATCAGTATTTTTTTTTAAAAAAAGAGTTATTCTTTGCTTCTTTAATAGATGCTGCATAAACGAAGCCACAAAGATCGGTCATATCAAGTAGACGCAGAGGTGGTGACACACAATGTGCCTTACCACGATTACTTCTACACTGTGAACAGTTATAGTATCTCTCATATGTCCAGTCAAAAATGCAGACTCCGGTGAGACATTTCATTTAATGAAAGTAGGAAAATTGGAAACCATAAAAGACAGCTTTCCTCAGTTTGGCAAAATTCTGGTTCTTCACAATGTTTTATTTCATATGTTAAAGAGAACAAGGTAGTGTAGAAAGCCAGACTTTAATGTGTACACTTAGATGATTGGAAAATGATTTCTTGATAAAAAAAAGTTTGCTATTTTTTTTAGTTTCACTTCTTTCCCCTACGAAGGTTTTAGTAGATTTTTTTCAACAAAGTAAGATTGGCTAATGATTTATTATGCCCTAAAAAATTGTAGGTGTACTACTACTACTAATAATAATAAAGTTGGAAGGGACCTTGGAGGTCATCGAGTCCAACCCCATGCTCAGGCAGGAAACCCTACACCATTTTGGACAAATGGCTGTCCAATCTCTTCTTAAAAACTTCCATTGTTGGAGCATTCACCGCTTCTGGAGGCAGGTTGTTCCACTGGTTAATTGTTCTAACTTTCAAGAAGTTTCTCCTTAATTCTAGGTTGCTCCTCTCCTTGATTCCATCAGTTGCTTCTTGTCCTGCCTTCAGGCGCTTTGGAGAATAGCTTGACTCCCTCTTCTTTGTGGCAGCCCCTGAGATATTGGAACACTGCTATCATGTCCCCCCTCGTCCTTCTCTTCATTAAACTAGACATATACAATTCCAGCAACCGTTCCTTATATGCTTTAGCCTCCAGTCCCCTAATCATCTTTGTTGGTAATCTCTGTACTCTTTCTAGATCTCAACATCTTTTTTACATTGTGGTGTACATCTGTCATCCAAAGTTACATTACAACAGAAAGTTGTGAAGCAACTAAGTATTTTCTCTATTTCCTCATTCAGTTCTCAGCATTTGTGTTCAAGATGTTACCTTAGTGATCATGCTTTGTTTTCTGTATGCAGCTTCTTACTTGAAACTGAGTACCTGAAAAATTGCTCTCAAAATGGGTGAAAATACTGACCTTACCTATAGTTGTATTCCAATCAGTCGCTAGCCTTATTCTTGTTTGTTATAGGATTTCCTCAGATGTGAAATACAAAAAACAACCATGGGGGCTTGTCAAGAATATAATTGAGAAGAATACATGGGGAGGTATCCAGGAAAATTTTAAACAACTTGGTAAGTATTTTGCCATCATTCTTTTTTTTTTATTGAAAGTTTTATAAATTTTACAAAAAAACAAAAACAATACAAAACAAAAAAACAACATATACAAAAAAAAATAAAAAAACTAAACATTACATATAAAAAAACCCCCCCATCCCCCACCCCTCACAAACACCCTCCCTTCCCCCCCCCCCGAGCTTCCCAGAGCAGAATATAGGCTTAGTTAAAAATTAACAAATAAAAAAATTATATTTATATATATATAAAAAAATATCTATATATAACATTCTCTATATATAAAAATAAAACTTATGAAAAAACTATGTGATATTTTTTTATACCCAGTCTAAATTGTATAAATTTTATCCATTTGTCCCAAACGGCAAGAAACTTCTCTTGCGTTTGTTGCTTTAAGAAAGCCGAACTCTTTGCCATTTCCGCCAAATAGGACACTTTAAGAAACCATTCCTGCAGTGTAGGCAAAGATTCCTTCTTCCAGTATTGTCCAACTAACAGCCTCGCGGCTGTAATCAAATTTAACATCAATACAACCTCCTTTGTATCACAATCTGTAACAATGCCCAACAAAAATAATTGCGGAGTAAATTTTACCCTCCTTCTAAAAATTCTCTGGATATTCCACTATATTTTGATCCAAAATGCTTTTATCTCTCTGCATGACCACCAAATATGATAATAGGAAGCATCCGTATAACCACATCTCCAACATTTAGGTTGTACGTCAGGGTACATAAGAGACATTTTTTGTGGATCAAGGTGCCATCTATAAAACATTTTATAAAAATTCTCCCTAAGGTTCTGTGCTTGTGTAAATTTGACATTTCATTTTGCCATCATTCTTGACAATGGTGTCCAGGGCTTTTATATTTAATTAGCTTGGCTATTTAGATATAGTGAAGTGAACTGATGTATTTTTAAAAGAAACAATGCAAAGAACAATGTACTTAGTTTTTCAAATTAATTTAAAGTAATTTGTAACTTTTTATGACCTACATACTCTGTCTTTCAATTCTCAGATAGGTGTCTACTCTAGCATGTCTCTTATTTTATTTCTTTACTTTGTTTACATTCTGCTTTTATTTTCAGAAAGAATAATCATTATGGCTTACAAGTTTAAAATATTACATGCAGAAAAAAATAAAGTATCAATAAAAAAGAAAGAAAAAATAATTTAATAAAGAAAAAAAATATAAATAAATATATAAACAATTTTAGTAGCATCACCTTCTCTTAAAATACAAAAAATATCCCCATATTTCATCTCTTACTTAATATAAAATCCTTAAAACCCCATTCTTTAATCCTGATGAGCAAAAATTCATAAAAGGTTACCAGAGATAACATATTTATTTTAATCTTGATCAAATAAATTATACAAATTTACTTTTAACAATCTTGAACTTTTATCCTTTCAAATAATGTCCTAGAAATTTATTTCTTTTCATCATTTTCTTTGTCCCTTCTCACAAAATTGTTCAAATTCAAGTCTTTTTTCTAAATCTGAAAAAGGAAAGCTATTCAAGTCACGCCTTTGGTTTTGTTATTCGTACATTTCTTTTAATTATGAAGACATCAGTCAGTTTCATTTGTATATCTAGTGTAACATCTTTTATCATATATTATTTTAGCCTGTCATCAGCTCAATGTTGTTCAGTAAAACAAGTTCCTCTTCCATAACATCTTATAAACAAAGCTTATCTTTAATGACAGACATTCTTAAAATCAACTTCTGGGTCCATTGTTCACAAATGTTCTTCAATACAGCAATGCGAAAGTATTTTGCTACATTTAGTATTAATAAATCAAATTTAAATGTTCTTCTTTAATTATAATTTTTTACTCATTCTAATCCCTCTAGTGTCCATCCTTCAAAGTTCCAAGCTATCATTTTTTTCTTTTAAGAATTTAAAACAACATTTTCCCAGGTGAAAGTTTTATAATTAATTTCAAAATGTTACTTCAAATTCATCTGGACCATTTATCCATTTTTAACTTTCCAAAATCAACGTTTTAAAATTTTCTTTTGCACTTTGTTCCAAAAACAGAATTATTTAAATCTAACTTGTATTTCTTTCAAGAAAAAGTGATTAGAAAAGGAAGTGTACAAACCCATAAAGAAGCTGACTATGTTTTGGATGAGATGGCATTCCCTCATCTCCTCTGAACTCTATATATGCTGTGTAGACTGAACTTGCAGTCTTCTTGTGAGGAGTTACTGTTTGGAGCACTTGGTTGATCTCAAATGCTCTCCTTGTCCAGAGAGGAATCAGGAAGAGCTGATGTATTTACCAGCTCTTATTCCATCATGGTCTTAATGGAGAGCCATGTTCAGTTGCCCGCTTTCCTAGAAACCTTGAACCAGTTTATGATAATTCCGAGGTAAAACAGCAAAAAATAAAATACAATCATATTAGTATTCCAGTATTGTTTATGTGCATCATAATGAAATTTTCAGGCTGATTCTGTATGAAGCTCAAGATCAAAATCAAGTAATTAGGTTTTTTGTTTTTTTAAAGAAAAGCTTATCTTGGCTTCATTTTCTTTTTTCTAGAATGTAACATTTATCAGTATATCAAATGTACTTTTTTGTTTTTTCTTAAGTGAAAAGTGCTGCTTCTGCATTTAAGTAGGCAGATCTGATTCTTGTCATGAACTTGGGCCAGCCATCAGTTCAGGTTCAAATAGTTCCTTATCCCCACATAAAAATTTGGAATTTTGCCAGATCCCAGTCCTGCTGCCATCTTGTCCATGCAAAATAGGACTGAACTCTGGCTGTAGTCCAGCTTTGTGTTTGCAAGCCCATTTGCACACTGAACAATGCAGGGAGTGCCATACAGAGAGTACATCTCCCATGTCCAACCTTTCAGTTTGAGAAGATGATGTCTTATAAACTTGAGCATGTGGGTGAAACCCCTGCATGCCAAAATATTAAATAAAAGCTTTGTTAGCTCACCCAGTCTAATCATCTGTCATCTGGGGCACGAAGCAGAAAGAGAGAACAGCGAGTGGCTGCAAGAAGCCACACATGCAAATCTTCCTTCCCTATGCATGAATTTATAAATTCATTCATTCAATGTATAACCTGCCTCAATCACCAGAATCTTGGTGGTTTAGAGTAATGAACTATGTGTATGTGTATCTCTAAGATAAAAAATTAAAATTATCTAATTGTAGAATTATAAAACTCAGATCATACTCATCCTTCCTAGGCATCATAACTCACCATAGGTTTTCAACCACTCTGAAAGGCTAGAACTATAGGGGCCAACTTCAGTTAAATGGGAGGCTATTCTACATTAGTTGGGCTGCTACAAAAAAGCAGCAACTATAAGTTTCCACAGTTAAGTACATTATGCAAATAGGGACTACTGTACCAACATTTTCTGCCATGACAAATGAGCCATGAGAATAGTTCATTCCTCTCCGACATGGGATCTTAATCCATGACAGAAACATTCTTCTTGAATTCGTGGGTCATGAAATCCTGGATCATTGAAAGGAATAGGGCAAGAAAAAAGCAAGGGCTTCCAAGGATACTCTGCAAATCAGCTCATCCCACCACCTTTATTTCCAGAGCCCATTATCTAGCTAGGTAACATCATCACTCATGTAATGAAACATCTGTAAACAACTAAGTTCAGAGAACATCAAACACAGCTTTTCTCTTTCCATATCCAGTGATCTGCTTCTGACAATCAGCTGTCCCATTTCCCATGCAAGATTGGTACAGGTTCTAAAATCCTCTGTGTAGAACAGTGGTTCTCAACCTTTTTAATGCTGTGACCCCCCCAACCGGTCATAAGTCGAGGACTACTCAACCGGTTGTAAGTCGAGGACTACTTAACTGGTGCAGCACCGTTTGCAGAATGGGACTTTTGGCGGGCTCAGCAGGGCAGAGACAGCCTGGACAATTCCTATTGGCTTTGGAAAGCCAATAGAATTAGACTCTATTCAAGAGAGTCTATTCTATTGGCTTTCAAAAGCCAATAGAATAAAAGGGAGTAGCACAGCTAAGGAAAAGGGGAAAAAAATGGCGGACTGCATTGTTTGGCGACCCCCATGAAATGATTGTTTGACCCCAAATGGGGTCCCGACCCATAGGTTGAGAACCACTGGTGTAGAAGCAGGTGAATAGGAAGTGTAGATAGATACCAGTGTGTCCTGGACATGGCTTATCTATGCAAAGATAGAACCTTGCTGGATGTCATTTTTTATAAGTAAAGTGAGACCACATTTTCACAATGATCTGGCTTTGCATGGGCAAGTCTCCCAAATTTCTAACCCCCTTCAGCTCTATTCACAATCTACAAACACTATTGTTCCACTGCCTACTCATTCCTACCTATCCCATTCTTTTTCAGAGGATCTACTAAGCCATGGAAGCAGCTTTTACGAGAGATGACAGAGTCATATGTAGATAATAGGGATTGGGAAAAAGTATCTTGACTTACAAATATCAACTGCAATTCAATAGAATATAATTAAAATGGAACACATCATGATTCTAACTGTAAATGTCATAAAACACTTTCCTTCCATTTGCTCACCAGATGTTATCGGACCAATTTCCCACAATTCTTATCATTAAATTTAACTATGACTTCTGGCAACAGAAATCTCAACACACATGGATACTGTTTCAAATGGTTAGCTTAAAATAATAAAAAATAGAAACTATAAACTGATTCTGTCATTTGTAGAATCAGAATTACTAATGGAAGAATATGCAATAAACAAACCTATTGAGGATCCTGCAAAACTTGAAGTCCTAAGAAGAAGAAGATGGATTTTAGAGCAGAATGCAGAAGAGATACTTCCTAAACACTCTATACAAGATTCTATAGAAGACAAAACAACAGTAGGTCTTAGGAATGTAGGTGAGTTCAGGTAGAAATACTTCTTTTTCCAGAAATTTATGAAACTGAAGGTGTTGTTCATTTTAATACTAGAAGTCATAGTATTTCTGCACAAGTGTCATACAGGCTTTTCTTGCTTGTCCCTATGCAAAAATCCAGAATATTTCAACATAAGTATGTGTAGGGCAGCTAACTATAAATAAAGTTCAAGGAAAATGCTGTTGGGATACAAAGCCTTATATTTTGAATAATTGACATAAACTAGTTTGTATATTATTTATGTAGATATGTGTGTATTTTTCCTTCCAGTACCACCATGTTTAAATTCTGAAATAATTGTGAACCTTTTTGTCAAATTGAAAGATGTTTTACTTACTTTCCAGAATACTGAAGCTTTTCTTGCTATATGGGTTATAGCAGATTGAATGAGACTTGGCCATGTATTAACTGCTTTAAAAGATAATTGAATGTGTTGAAAGCCATATGGCATAATTTAATGTACCATCTCCCTTTGCCCCTAATTTTAGACAATTTAAGTAGCAGCATTTAGTGATCTTGGCTGCTCCGAAAAATTTATGGGTGGGAGACTAACCAAAATATGAAGCTGTAGGCTAGAGTAGGAAATTTAAAAACAAAACACAACATAGAAAAAGACAGAGACAAACCATTTCTGTACTGTTACAAAAAAATATCACGGGCCTGTCCATATAGTCACCAGATTCAAGTTTAAGTCAAGCAAGTTTTTATCTTCTTGTGTTCAAAAAGCATCCAGGTCAGGCAAAACCTTGAACTGTTTTTCTGCATTGGGTGAGACAAATATTCAGTAAAGGGATTTAGTAAAATCAGGTTAATTGAATTTCAAAATTAGAATGTTGTAAAGATATTTTCCTTGCTTAACAGGAACGAAGAAAAATGTTACAAATAAAACCATCACCATCATAGTGGGAATGAGTATTTTGTAAGTACTTGCTTGTTACTTTTTTTTGGTTTAACCCTTCTTACAGCAGCTAAATGAAGGTTGACTCTGACTCTTAGAGCTGTTTTGCTATTAAGACCTATCGCATGGCGATAAAAGTGCTGAAACAACACCTTTTCTCTGTTCCTATTGCATCTGCAGAGTATTACCCATCAACCCTGTTGTGGATCACCCAATCTTTCCTAGGCCAGGGGGGCTCAGATAATCATCTTAAGGGCTGTGCAGAAGAATTTGTTGAACACTTTCAGATAAGATTGCTTGGATTCGTAGTGCAAATCTGTATGAGATGCCTAGGGAGACATCTTGCCCAGTAATATGGTAACAGTTTGACCTTGTTGGACCTAAAGAAGTAGACAGAGTTCTCTGCAATTTAATGCAACCCCTTGTCAATCAGACCCTTATCCCTTCTGTCTGGTGAGAGCCTCTAGGAGGGTGACTGGTAGGTGGGTTCATGCACTAATAAATTCCTCACTGCAAGAGGGGACATTCCCAGGATCTTTTAAGGAGGCTCTGGTTTGTCCTCTCCTTAAAAAAAAAAAAAATCTTTCGACCCCAACTGCCTGGACAATTTTCATTCAGTCTGTCACCTTTCCTTTTTGGGAAAGGTGATGAAATTGGTGGTTGCTTGGCAGCTCCAGGAGTCCTGGATGAAATGGATTTCTTGGACCACTTTCAGTCAGAATTTAGGCCCAGCTATGGGACACAGAGAGCGTTGTTTGCACCTCTGGAAAATTTCTGGCGGGAATGGGATGGGAATAGTGCAACCATGCTCATTCTCCTTGACCTCTCAGAGGCCTTTGATACCATCTACCATGGCTTATGGTTTGTTTAACAAACAAATATGAAGAAAAAGTTAATTTAGCCCACTGATATTTGAGTCGATTACATATGAAGATTGATATTGTATATGGACCCTTTCTCGAGCCAGCAGAACAGAAAAGATAAGCTTGTTTTTGTGGATATAGTGCACTTAAGAAATGACACAGAGTCCTGTGTTGTACATAAAGGCATCAGAAGTAAAAGAAGCTCTGTGCTTTAAACATTCACTGGACACGAGGATGGTGATAGTGAAAGTGAAAATATAGGCTGTGTCTTCCTTCCCCATACTTTTCAAATAGTGTTTGGAATGCCTAGAAAGGTTTGTAGTTATTAGTCTGATAATTAGCTACTCACCATTCTTATCTGCAGGATCCTGTTTCTTGCCCCAAGTGAGAACCTGAGAATTTCTAATTAAGATACAGAATTACTTCCAGATCTCTCACAGATGTACTGGTCATGCCATTGTTTGATTTGGGAGAAGGTGTTTTCTTCAGGCTATAGAAAGTCTCTGCAAAAGAGAGGGACTCCCAATTTCTTCAACTAAGGACTGCTTATAAAAGGTCTGCATGCAAACACCCTGCTTGCCAGAAAAAAAAACAGGAAAAATTGTCTATATATATATATCACAACAATTTATATAGGGAAACCTTGTATAGTGGATGATTTTGAGCCGGTCATTCTCAGTCCTGTTTAGATAAACATGGCGATTATTATAAGAAAAATAGGAAGAGGAAATGCTATGTATACTTCCTTGAGCTTCTGAACAAAAACATAATACTGAAATAAAGAGCACCTAAAAGCTGTACAACAGAAAATGCAGAATGTTTTGGAATGAGCTCTCTTCAATTTCACACATACAATCATTTAATCTTCATGTTCAATATCATATGGCACATACTATATACATTTGCATTCTGTCTTTCCTCCAAAGTGACCAAAATCGATTATAGTCATGGTTGTCCTATATTATCCTGACAATGCATATAATAAGGTGGATTGGTCCAGAAAGATGGAGGGAGACATATTTAATTGACTGAATTTTATTCTATTCTGTATGATTTGCAGACAGATTGTACAGTATGTGAATGTTTAAAGAATGCTTTAAATATCCCGATTCAGTGTGGGAATGCTGATGCTTCATAGCTCACCTAGAGACTTGTTTGTTTAAACTCTTTATGTTATTACATGTTCACAGAATAATTAAATCCAATGCAGTGTTAATTATGGGAAAAAGACAGTTATTATGACTAGCTGTCCTTCATTTGTTAACTCACATTTTTGTCCATTGTTTCAGGCTCCTTCATGACTATTTATTTACTGGCCTCCCTATTTTTCTAAATACTTTTTTTTTTAAAAGCAACCTTTGATTATGATCAGAGAGTCTCTGGGGTGGGAATGGTTGGGGTTGTCTCTGCTTTCTCTTATGGGGGGAGGAGAAAGTTAAAAAAATGCTGCAGCTGGATATAGCTTATTCTGTGGTCTTTCCAACCCCCTATTTTTCTATCCAGAGGTTGAAAAAGCAGGATGGGGAATTAGGCAGGGATTAATCACAAATTGGACAATTCAATTGATAGTCTAGAGTAAGTAACTAAATTATGACAAAACAACTCTCAGAATAGTCATTATGTTTTCTTTATCTACATTTTTTATCCACAATTTAATTTACACTAAGCCAAAATGTGAGATGATTAAATGTGTTGTGAGAACACAGTTTGTATTGTTTTTATAGTACTATATACACCTTACGCTTCAGAAGCTTTATTCATCTTGCTAAATTTGTCATGAAGCTGTAAATATTTATATTATTCTTGCTATTAAGAACACTTTTGCAAGAATTAGAAATGATAGTGTCCATTATGTCTGGATTTCTTTCAGTTTAGTTCTACTGGTTTTTCTGAATGTGGCACTGTTCCTGAAATTGTCAAAGATCGAACATGCAGCTCAGTCATTGTACCATGTTCAACTTCAGGAAGAAGTGTCGACAATGTGAGTATTTTTTGTTTGTTTTGTTTTGTCATTTGTCTCTTCCTCCATACTCACAATGGGCTAATATCTAGTTACTGGAAACATTAGATTTACAAATAGCAGTTCACCTGAAAATTCAAGCTAATGAAAAATGAATAACTTAACAAAAATACTTTAAAATTGTTCAGATGATCTGTATTGAAGTTGGAATGCTACCAAACCAGTTCCAGGTGGTTTTAGACATATTAAGCTCATCAAGCTCTTCAATCAGGATATCTAATGGATAACTTTCTCCACTGAGATTCAACAGAAATGGCCTCTGGATGGTATTTTATTTGTCAGAGATTTGCTGTGCAGTCATCTAAGAAAAGCATTAAGTCTCCTTTAATACTACCATATTCTCTTACTGATATTGCAGAGTTTTGTTAATTTTTGGTATTGGATGATGATTTATCATAAATATTGAGGACACTGATTCATCCAGGGCAGAAAATTGTTAATATTCCCTGATGCATCTGTATATTGCCACTTTGCTTGATTGGTGGTGGGCCAGTTAAAATATTTCACTGAAGGCCCCTAATCAGTTCAGATGTATCTTGGGGATGTCTAGATTTTTTTTTCCAGCTGCCCACCAGATTGTATTTTGGAACTCAGAGGTGACTGATTGCCCCAAGCCATCTGTCCTAGATTACAGATACCAAAGGGATTCCTCATTTCTATAAGGAGTTCCAGAAAATGAAGCTTAGATCAATGCTGGCAGAAAATGAATTATGACTGCAATTAACATGGTTATGTACTCAAGATTATTAATATTCTTTGGCAATAATATTGGCAAAGTATTCTTACTAATCTCCATTGTTACTGCACTTTTAGATTTTTAGTGGCCCTAATGCTACCTTTAACCTTTATTGGTAGAAAAGAGAAAGAACGGCCACTATGATATTTATGTGAGGTTCTTCATGGATAAAAGGACTTGCGTTCATTTGAAAATTAATGCCAGATAGTATGCATATGCCTGGATTTGAGAGGTGATCTAAACCTTTTTGAGAGAGCGTAGGTAGATCTACCTTGAACGAGCAGAGATGTGTCCTCTCCTAAAGTAACTATCTCTTGATACAGCTGTATTAAATAGTATCCATAATCTCTAACCTTCCATTTGGGGGAAAAGAATTTGAAAAAGTATCAGAACTTTAACTGTAGAAGGTTCTAAACCCATTATCTAGACCTTTCTTCTGTCAGGATATGGGTCTTGTCCACTTTGCTCACATTTCAAAGCTCTGAAAACCATTCTTTTCCAGTCACCTTTTGGGACTGACTTGTGTATTTTATTGTATTAATTTTGATTTGTTATTTTTTGTAAATTGCTCTTAGTTAAGAGAAATTGAGATAGTGAAGAAATAGTGTAAAAATATATAAGTAAATTCTGATTCAGCCACACTCAAACGACCCAACTCTGGGGAAACAGTACTAAGGGGAATTTCCTTTCAGTTAAGCTTTGTTTTTATTAAAAAAGAAAACTTGCGTGCTTAGAGTGCTTGGATTGTACTTTTTTCACAAGTGAGAAAGTCCTTAGTAATGGGGAAGGCCAGGAAGTCATGATAGAGAGTACAACTGTTGTTGTTAACAACAGAAGATAATACATGGGAGATTTGAATGCATAATATTTATTTTTATGGCAGTATTGGCACTTCACTTGGGAAATCACTTGACTGTCATTTTGAATGATCCTATAATCAATTATTTTCACAGCAATATGGGAAATGATGGTGCACCCATATGGTACTCATAATAGAACGGTATCTTTGGTTTGAAAAAATGTACAAAATGGTAATATTCTCTCTTTGAAAGTTTTCAGCCTTAATATTTTTGATAACAAAACTAAAATTCTATCCACCATGTGATAATCTAGCAACTGTCTCAATATTGATTTTTCTAGTAAAATTAATATGGAGATGAGCGCATGATTAAATTACATGTTTGATGAAGCAAATATATTATATTTCAATGTTCTGTTCTTTCCTCAGTCTAGCCCTTAATGTGGCATCAAAGGAGAAAACTCATCGTAACATGAATCAAGCCCAACATATGAAAGGGGTGTTAAAGGAGTCTATAGCATTGCTTGAACAGGTAAGTATTCTGGTCCTTATTGTTTTGAGCCTTTGTATATGTAAGGACAGAGATCATTATAAATAACTACAGTAGCTTTTCTCATCCTAGCAACTTTAAGATGTATGGACTATCAGAATTCCCAAATTATCATTCTGGAAATTACAGTCCACACTTCTTAAAAACTGCCAAGGTTAAGAAACACTGATCTAGAGGATTAAGAAACAACATACCTTTTCATTTATTTTCTAAAAAATCTTGATGGTTATAGTAAATTAATGGCATAAAAACTTAGTTCAGAAGTCTCTTATTATATTTAGCAATAATGGCCTAGCTGTAACATTATGAACTAACTGCTGTACTGAATCCGCTGATTTGAGAATAATGTTGAAGGCTGCATTGTACAATCTTCTTTGGGGATGAACAGGAGGAAAGTTCCTATGGTTCAATAATAGTTGCTAAAATCTGAGGCCAGATGACCTCAGCAGATGCCCGCCTAACTGATAAAATGGAGGGTGTGATTTTGGGTGAAAGGCAGAAAAGGATTATGAGAAGCTCAGTGCTCTAATGACTGGCGATCCACCCTAAAAGAATTGGATGGCATAGAACCAATCAATATCAGAAAGAGACAGCTTTTAAAAGCAGTTTGGATATGAGGTGACCAACTATCAATATAGTGATCTTGCAACAATCAAAGGTCTTCCTTCTGATTATTCTGACAAATAAGAAGGTAGGCTAGGGAAGCAGATCTAGAGAAGTCCTTAAGCATAGAGAATATTGGAGAGTCTATCAATAGCAGGACAGTGGGGGCAGAGGTTGAGATTGGTAGAGCCAAAATCAGAGAGATGGCAGAGCCTTTATCCTTTCCCTTTTTCATTTTGTGTTGGTTAGAATTAGGGAGATTTCTTAAAAGGTTCTGAACTCTTAATAGACAATTTTCTTGGTACCAATAATAGTGCAGAAGAAACCTACCGCTTAAATAAATGCTGGCTGACCTTCATTGGTATTATATATGATGGACAATAATGATGTTATCTCAGTCTGAGACACTGTTGATAATTAAAATAGCACTACCTAGAGCTCCAACTGAAAACAGAATGTAAAAATACTTTCCTGTGAAACCTAGAACTGCTTTGGGTTGGAAATAATTGCATTTCTGATTTAAGGTATAATTTGTTGGGTAATCCTTGTGCAATCTTTATCACTCCAGCTGAAGACCTCATTGTCTATGCTCCAGCGTAGTTTTGATCATCTAAACACAACCAAAGACGGGAAGCCTGAAAGTTGATGTCAACAAAATCAGCTACTAAGAAATGGAAATACAATAAAAAATATATTGCTGTGATAGTAAAGCTGCTTCTTTACAGTTTTTTCATCACAATACTTTAACCTATAATAAACATTGTTCTGGAATAAGCTTCTTTAAAAAAGAATTTTCTTGTGAATTTGTGAATCTTTGTGATTGTTCCTAACCCACTTGTCTTATATGTGTGTTTCTTATGTTTGTATGTGTGTAAAAACACTTTCTTGAGCTGTGAATATTGATGGAAATGACTGATTGAGAACACAATGAGAGCTGATAATTATATATACATTGCAGATATACAGTTCAGCAAAGCACTGCACTGTATAAATAAATAAACACTGGATTTAGATGGGAACAATTTAAGTGTTATGAAAGATGCATTACAAAATGTTTGGTTTATCACATGCAAAGTTTTTCTCATCTTCTTCCTTGTATTTATGTTACAAATCTTCAAAAATAAATTGTTGCAATGTTTGGCTTCTTGGTTCCAGATATCTATGAATAAATCTAATTTTCACATGTAGCTTTTTCCGTTTGGGGCGGAGTTTGTTTTATGTACTATAATATTTCTTCCTCTTAGTCACTATCATTTCAATTCTCAGAATTTCTCAGGGAATTTTTATTCATGCCTGGAAATCATGTTTAAAAATGTCCAACTCTACATATCTTTAAAAAGTAACTAATGTATAATCTGATTTACATATTACAACTTTGGAGAGATCTTTGTAAGAATAGATTTATCATTTTATAGCTTTCAAGGCCTGGGGGATCATGTCTCTTGTAACAATTAGAGATGCAGACTGTGATATGTATGTAAGTGTTCTGTTTTGATTAAGGAAATTATCTCATAAAAATGTTCTAATTGTACAGTAGTGGCCAAAATTGTGGAAACTTTTGGTTAAGTTTCCACCAATTTTCTTCTAATTTCTTTATAACTGTAGCCTTGTTCACTTAATAATACTATTTTACATCGCTTTCTGGGCAACCAGTCAACTTTTTGCACTATTACTTTAATTTTAATATGTTTTACAAGCTCACTAAATGAAAGAACACAAAAAAAACCAACCAACTTGATAGCTATCACATAACACACTGACAAATGTCCTCCTCTCAGCTTCAATACATGAAATCAATAACTGAATCCTACTGTGATCTGATTGACTCATTGCCAAAACAAGATGACACCTGCTTGGCTCTCCAAACACTCATGCTCATTGGCTACAATCAGATGAAGGAAAGCTACCTGATATCAACTTAAGCAAGTTGTGCTTCCTTTTTCTGGTTATTTGGCTATAACTTTTCATAGAATACAGTACAGATAATTGAACAAACTTTGTTGCATTACATTCTTGATTAAATTATCTTTCTATTGATATATAATTTTATGGTGCTACTCCAAAAAAAAAGTGGTGTTATTAGCTATCAAACTTCAAAAATACACTTTTCCCAAAAGATTTCCACAATTTTGGCCACCACTGTACTTCTGATAAAAAATAAAAACATTGAAAATGTGATGCAAATAAAATTATGAACATACAGTACTGTGTAGTTTTGATTATGCTATGTATCTTTCTGTTAAGAGGAAGTAATCTTATTTAAGATTTCTGCTTATGAGCCTTAATTTTCATTTGTCTTTTGTCAAAAGTGCCTTTTTATTTCTTATATGTAAAACAAGTTTTAACTGACGAACCGGAAAGTCCCAAGGGATTTTGAAAATTATTAATCGCAGTACAACTTGTACTAATGTGGATGGCAATGTATTAATAAAGGTAAACTACTACACAATTTCTTAGATTATAATTTAATAAAATAACAAACAGTTGCTTCCAAATGAAGGGTGTTATCAGAAAACCAGTTTGGGGTAATGGTTAAAGCACCAGGCTAGAAACCAAGAGACTGTGAGCTCTAGTCCCACCTGAGGCACCAAACCAGCTGGATGACCTTGGCCCAGTCACACACACTCAGCCCTAGAAAAGAGGCAATGGCAAACCACTCCTGAAATCTTGCCAAGAAAACATCAGAAGACTTGTCTAGGCAGTCGCCATGAGACAAAATTGGTTTGAAGGCACCAAAGCAAACAAAAATGAGTATTGAAATATTTGTAGGTATTCTGTGTTAGTCTCCTTAACTTGAAGTTTTGTGGTGTAGTGAATAGCTGAGGCTCCTATGCAGAGTTGCCAACTCTCATCTTTCTAGAAGATTTCAATCTTGGTCCTGCCCTCTGCTTTGGAATCATGGCTTAATCATTCCTGCTGTCACTATCTTCAGAGGCACATATTTGACATCTATCTCCTATTCCTGCTTAAAAGGTCAAAATGTAAAAAAAATATGAAAAAAATGACTTTTGATGACATTGTGCAGAGCCACAATGACAAAAGATCCATCCCTTGCTTTCCCTTCTAGGAAATAGCCCACTCTTGTGCAAGGTTGGTTTATCTCCGGTATAACCAGACAATTAAATTGAGCATATATTATGATAGTGTAAATGTCTCTTTATATTCTATTTTTATACTTGAAATAAACACTTTATTAATTATGAGTGTGTAAGTAAACATGGAGACAGAATTTGTGGGAAACTTGGAAATACCTTGAGTATATTATGGGTCAGTAGAATAATATAATTAGTTCATTATACCAGCTGTAATGTTGCCTAGATACAGCCATCTGGCATCAGTTATGAAAGCTCTGATAATATACTAATTGTGTTATTATTATGTATTTATGCAGAACTACATTTCTAAATCATATGAAAAATTCAATCCAAAATCAAACTGTTATAATACCAACTAAAACAGGTTCATATAATCATATGATGGCATTTTTTTGTGTTTTGTCACATAGACATTCAGCCTATTTCAAGATTCAATAGTTACAATCAGAATTTCTAAAAGAGTATCTCTTCCCAGATATATCTGCCTGGACACCTAAATCATCTTTGCCAACTATCCTTACTACAGTACAGTATGTTACTGAAATATGTTACCCGAATATAGAGGAATGGCCATAGACTAGAGCCTTCTCAGTTGTCATGCCCTTCTTATGCCCAACTTGTATTTATAAAAATCCTTGCTAAGGAACAACAAAGTGATATTTTCAGGCCAACCAAAGGCATTCCTTTTGCAATACTGTTTGATTTTAGACGATGTAATTAGTTTTACAGTATATCACATTGTTTATTGTTATCTGTTTTTGGTTAAACAGAACTACTTAACTGCTTAACTCATTCTTTGTATCTGTCTTTACATAAAAGGAAAAAACAATCCAACCTCTCAAAAACAGTACCATAAAAGACAGATTAGGAATACAAATTAAAATACGCAAGTAATGGTAAGAAAATATTTATCCACTCTAAACAAGTTGAAATCAGCATGTCCAGATATATTACATCCTAGGGTTCTGAAGAAGCTGGCAGCAGGTCTGTGTTTTCCTGGATCCATTTTTTTTTCCAGTTTTGAAGATAGGAACCATTCAATTCTTTTCCAGGCATCTGGTAGTTCCCTGGTGCTCCAGGATCTTTGAAAGAAATGGTTCAGTGGTTCACCCAGTTTTGATTGCCGTGAGAAAAAAAAATATTGAGACTCTGAAAAGAGTATAAAAATGAGTAAAAAGGTGATTAAGAGACTGGAAGCTAAAACACATGAACACTTGCAGAAACTAGGTATGTCTAGTCTAATGAAAAGAAGTACTAGGGGTGACATGATCAAAGCAATGGATAGAAACTAATCAGGGAGAGATCCAACCTAGAAACGAGACATTTCCTGACAATTAAAACAATCAATCAGTGGAATGGCTTGCTTTCAGAAGTTGTGGGTGCTCCATCACTGGAGGTTTTTAAGAAAAAATTTGGCAGCCATTTGTCTGAAATGGTATAGGGGGTTGAAACTAGAAGACCTCCAGGGTTTCTTCCAATTGTCATTCCATTCCATTCCAAAAGCAATTAGAAAATGAGGCTTCTACTTGGTAAATATAGAAACATTATTGAGCCAGCTAATCCTGAATTTGTTCATGTAATTATTACTTTATATCATGGACCTAGGCTAAACGTTTCCATATTCTATCTACCAGTATTAAATAGCTGTCTTGTATTAAAAACAGGTGAAAGAAAGCTAGATCACTTGCATTTATTTTACTGCCATTTCATAATAGGGGCAGGGACTCATAGCGATCAGTTATTTTGTAAGTAAATATTGATAAACTACCTCTGTTACATGGATCTATTGTCATATTGTTTATCTTCCCCCAAATGTATGGGTAAATAGAAACATTTTCATGGAAATTTAAAGAACAGAATACAGGTAGGCCTTAATTGAAAATCATTCATTTAGTGACCATTTCAAGTTACAGCAACACTGAAAGAAATGACTTACAATTGTTCCTCACAATATCCCCACAATCATCTGATCAAAATTTGGGGACTTGGCAACTGGAGCTCCTATTACTTGCCCTAGCTCCTATCCACCTAACAGTTTGAAAGCATGTAAAGTTGAGTAGATAAACAGGTATAATTGGTGAGAAGTTAACAGCATTCGGTGCACTTTGTTGTTTAGCAGAGGTCCCCAACCTTTTAAGCACCAGGGACCAGTTCAATGGAGAGGTTTTTCTGCGGACCGGAGGGGGCGTGGTTTTATGTACTGCCTGCATCCCGCAGATGGGGCTTTGCTTGTATGTGCATCCTGGTTTCTGGCATGCTGTGGCCCAGTGCCGATCCACGGACCAGGGGTTGGGGATCCCTGTTGTATAGTCATGCTGGCCACATGACCATGGAAGCATCTTTGACCAACGCTGGCTTCCTCAGCTAACCCTAATCCCTAGAGTTGGACACAACTGTTGCAAATTACCTTAGGTATTTACAACAGTTTTAGCATCCTGGTGTCGCGTGATTGCCATTTGCAACCTTCCCAGCTGTCTTCCAACAAGCAAAGTCAATGGGGGAAGCCAGATTTGCTTACTACATGATTCATTTAACTACAGTGATTCACTTTAATAACCATGGCAAAAAAAGATCATAAAATTGGGCGTGACTCACTTAATAATTGCTTTGCTCAGCCACCGAAACTCTGGTCTCAGCTGTGGTTGTAAGCCAAGGACTACCTGTGTAAACATAATGGTTGTTCAACTAACCAGTGGTTCTCAACCTTTTTAATGTGGCGGCCCCCAACCTGTCGTAAGTCGAGGACTACTCAACCGGTCGTAAGTCGAGGACTACTCAACTGGTGCAGCACCGTTTGCAGAATGGGACTTTTGGCGGGCTCAGCAGGGCAGAGACAGCCTGGACAATTCCTATTGGCTTTTGAAAGCCAATAGAATTAGACTCTATTCAAGAGAGTCTATTCTATTGGCTTTCAAAAGCCAATAGAATAAAAGGGAGTAGCACAGCTAAGGAAAAGGGGGGAAAATGGTGGACTGCGTTGTTTGGCGACCCCCATGAAATGGTCGTTCGACTCCAAACAGGTTGAGAACCACTGAACTAACCTGTAATTATATATATTTTTTAAAAAATGGTACATTAAGATCTTTTTAATTCTTTTGAAAGGATTCATAAAATAGGAAATGAGATCTTATCCATCCACCTACATTATCAAAGGCATGGCTAAAACTATCACTAGTTTATAATTTGAACTGTTTTAAAAGAAATTGATTTTTCTGTTTTAGTGCATCTTAGTGGCAGGAAATGGACAAAGTGCAGACATACCACTAGCTTTGCCTTTATGCGTGAATATTAAGAACTGAGAATAAATTCATGTTTTGACCACTGAGTGGATAAAAATAGGGGTTTTTTTATTATGGCATTGTGTTCTTATAATTACAGTATTTCTTTCTTTTTTGCCAGCCTGAAAAGTTTTTGCCTGTCACAGATGTAATCGATCGGTCCAATATCCTTCTTGTAATTACGGCATAGTATATATATTTGCTGAAGTAATTTAAGCATCAGTCGATAAACCTAACTCATTTGATGGGGGAAAAAATGCAAGCCAGCCAAAATAAGCGGACCTAATCGATCGGTCGGCGAAACTCGGGAGCAAAAACTTTTGGAGCATGAAAGTAATAAGCGCCGAATCGTGGAGTAATTCAACGTATTTTAGCTCCTAACGACGTAATTTAACTACCGTACATGGGTTGCATCTGAACACCAGACCAAAAGACAGTTGGCCATAGACTGTACTTCCGCTCTCCTTATTTATAGTCAGTGGACTCTTCACTATCGCGGACGAGTTCTCTGAAGTCTACGCTCACAGCTGTTCCACAAAGCAAGACTCGGCACTAATTGAGATTAAGGTAAACCACACCTTCGCTATTCCTCCCGGCATTGGGCCGATCTCCGTGACGTCACAAAGGGACAGAAAAAGACCGGCGTTCTAAGGAAGCCGGAAGCTTCAGGTTGCCGTGAGGCCACTTAGGGGAGAACTGCAAGAAGGGAGGGGTCGTGCCTTTTAAGCAGGAGTGATTAAAATAAAACGAGGCGGACCGTACAGAGAATCCCACCAATCGTCATGGCCAAGAAAAGGCGGGGCTGGGAGCCTTTCCTCGTTTCCTTCTTTGCCTTCGCGGAGTTGAAAGTCAGAAGGGCAACAAGAGTCGCGGGGCGGGAGAGTCACGGACTTGGCAAGAGTTGCTTCTGTGAAGGTTGTAGCGGTGGTTCTTTTGCTTTGATAGAACGGCCAGGGTGATTCAGTAGCATGTCCTTCGGGGAGGAATCCTGTGTTTTATCTAATCCATCCCTACAAGAATCCTGTATTGTTCCGTGTTCGGTCACAGGTAGTTAAATGGGGTTAACAGTACGGGGAGTTAACCTGGGGGAAGTCTTTCCGCCCGTGAGCGTTTACCAACGTCTTTTGTCTGCGCGAATTTTTTTTTCAAAATTCAGCCTTCGGCGGCTTACTTTCACCAGAGTTCTTTAAAGTTGAACGTTCCTCGGTCTAATTGGAAAGTAGGTGTCTCTACCCACCCATTCTCACGCTCCTTTTCGATGCGGACCGTGGTCAGGGGAGGGTCCTGTTACTGTTGCTTCGTGGCTGAAACATGGTCAAACGGGCGGGAAAAAGAGCGAGAGCCGCGGAGCTGGAAGATACGCTCTGTTGCTGCGAGTATCTCGATCGGAAGGGCCAAAGGAGCCACCTCGCGGCGTGTCTCTGCGAATGTGAGGACCTCGATGAGTGCTGTGAAAGGTAAGGCGTGGGGGCTCCTTCTGAGCATTTCTTCAAGCTGGGACTTTGTTAGGGAGGAGGCGGGGAGATTCGTTGCTGTTGGCATTTCACTGGCCTTGATGGATGGCTCTGGATTTTCACGTGGTTTAGAATATATAGTACCTGTTAGGATAGAATGTCGGTCCAACCCACGTGGCTGGTAGTCCAGGTGGATAAAAAAAAAAAAGATTCCGCCTTCCCATCTTGGTGCCTTTCTGATTCATTGGATCTACAGGTCCCTTCTTTCTGCACAAATAACTTTGTTGGCTGGGGATGCTGTTGCCTTGCATAGGTTAAAATTTTAAAGCACAAGATGAACTCCTCGCCAGCTGTATGTTTGCTGATAGCATAGTTGGGTGTTTCCTAAACCACTGTCCCCCAGGTTTGTTGAATTACAGTATCCATCACTGCTAGATTTGAAAGTGATGGGAGTTGTGGTCCAAATCAATTAGCAGATGGTAGGATAGAAATGTTGGTATGTGTCATGTGTTCTCTTCTGGACTGTGGCTCTGCTTCTCTTGTGTATGATGTAAAGAACAGAAACTTGTCTGCAGCTGGTGATTGTCCAAAGGTGCTACTGCTTTTTCTTGTATAAACATGTCCTTAGAAATGCATGTTTTGTAAAAGTAGAATCTAAAGTTCTGATGCAGTACAAGTTAATGTGACAGCAAAAATGTATTTCTTGCTCTGTTTGCTCTAATATGAGCAGAGTCTGTGCTTTTTCCTAACAGGTGGATGACTTGCAAATCTTTACCTCCTGGAATATTAGAGAGAATCACAGAAACCTTCAAAGACCGTTTCCGTTTTCCATGGATTCGAGCGGCTGTAAAGATCGATATCAGCCTTCTCCTGCCAATCATCTTGCTTCCTTTTTCCCTTCACATAGCAGCTTTGCACTTTCTTTTGGCCCTCATCATTCTGATATCACTTCCTGTACTATTACTATGGTATTACTACCTCACACATAGGAAGAAAGGTCAGACTCTCTTCTTCTTAAGCTTGGGGCTATTTTCCCTAGGTTACATGTACTATGTATTTCTCCTGGAAGTGGTTCCCCGGGGCCATGTGGAATACAGTCAGGTGGCTCTTCTTACTTGTGGGTTAATCCTGATGCTTGCAGCCTTACATCGAGCCAAGGAAGATCCTGGCTACCTTTTCAGCCAAATGAGCAGTGACAAAACACTTTGCCAAGATAGCTGCAGTAATAACATGTTCAATAAGAATGGCCTGGGAAACTCCAGTGGGCTTTGCAGAGTACCTGCCTCTGGTGTTGCTATACACAATAACACTGAGAGCAACTCCACAACATTGGAAGCAGGGACAGGTCAGGGCGCAAAGGACTGGTGCACCAAATGTCAGTTGGTGAGACCAGCTCGAGCCGGGCACTGCCGAATATGTGGCAGGTGTGTGAAGAGACTGGATCATCACTGTGTCTGGTACGTCCCTTAGTTGGCCTTTGCTTTTTTCCTTACACTTCTATTATCAGCAAGCTGTAGTTCTCTCTGAAATATTTTTCTCTACTTTGGCTTTATCTGTATGTGAGTGGTTCCAGTGATTTGTTATCTCTGTTAAACAGATTGAAAAGCCTTTATCTTTGAGCTTTCCTGTATTCGCCATTAGTTGGGGAATTTCTATTCAAAATTACAAATAGCAGCATTCCCATTACTACCTAGAAGTGGCAGAATTGAAATACAGGATTTTTGCAGGTAAATCATACCATCAGGATGTAAGAGTTAAGGGACTTTGAATATCTATTATATCACCCTGTTTAGTGATATAAACAGGGTGATATAATAGATCAGAGTAGTATCACTAATTTTCCAATTCACATGAAAGAAACCAGAATGATTTCTTTCAAAGCTTCTGTAAGGCAAAAAATCAGAGTTATCTGCACACATCATCTTGGGCTTGTTTTCTATGATTTAAATTGCCTCCATGGATATAAGGCTATCACAGATTTGGAATGATTTCCTTACAAAAAAAAAAAACTGACATAGAACTTGGCAGAGGTGAACAGAAGAACCGATTGGGCCATTTAAGGTAAGCAGACAGTGAATGGTGGGCCGCATCTGCTAAGTTGGACAATTCTTACCCAAGTTTATTTTATAAAGATTAGTGCAAGACATTTGTTAAATAATAAGCACATAGTCTTTGAAGCATATAAATAGAATTACAATCTTTTCGAATATAGATCATAAACAATTCTGGTCTCAGCTTTTCTGATTGGTTGAGGCTGTTCCTGTTTCAGCAATGAGGTTTTTTTTTTTCCTAGCAGCTCTTAAGGGGTACAGCATGCTGTTCCTGAGTTATTTTTATACAAGTGTCTCTTGAACCCTGCCCCCCCCCCAAGAAAGATCATCTTCCTTTTATGATTTTAGACTTGTAACTTTATTTTGTCCAAATAAGCAAAGTAGTTGTGTTTACTTTGTAAACTGTGATTAGACATTTCAAATTTTAAAAAATGAAGCCAAGTACTTAATGGGCACTTTAGATTCTAGCTTTTTCTAAATCATGTTACTATCGTATCACATTTTCCCTTTGTTTCTTGGAGGATTAACAACTGTGTTGGAGAACAGAACCATCGAGCTTTTGTCCTTGCTCTCTTCCTTTTTCTGCTCACTTCAGTATATGGGATTTCTTTGACTTTGGATACTATTTGTACGGGAAAAAACACCCTCAGTGCTCTGTTCTACTGCCCTGGTGTCTATGGAGAATACAGGTGAGAGAAATGCTTTCTAACTGATAGGATCAAGTCAAGATAATCTCTAAAAAGAAAATTATGGGAATTCTATGATAATTTTATTTATTCATTTACATGAGAAATTTTGCACTTTCATAAGGAAAATGTAATTGCTTTCCAAGATGATGCAAGGAAATTTCCTTTATCTCAAATATCCTGGTCTCTTTTTGTCTGTTAGCGAGAGCTTTCATACTTTCTTCTTTGTTACCTTTTTTTAACTGAAAAGGGTATATTTCTCTAGCTTCATTTATATGGGGTGTGCTTCCACATTGGCTTACTTTTTTTATACTCTGTATTGGGTTAAAATCTTTTTTTTAAATTTTTAATAATACAAAATTAAAAACACATTGGACATAGATATGACATCACTGGTTCCATACATCTTACGACATTTTACAGTAGTATTAGTACTCATATAGACATATAGTTCTTGAGCTTTGCTCACTATTTATAATATAATATTAACACTTTTCCCTTATTTCTGTATATCTATCTTTTAAATATACATTTGTCTATAATCTATATTTTATTCTAATACTATACATTTGTCTTGGCTACACTCTTATTGTCTATCCAATCATAAAATTGTTCCCAGATTTTGTAGTACTTAGTTTCACTTTTATCTTTGAGTTCCCATGTAAATCTATCCATTTCAGCGCAATTGAAAATTTTCAATAATATTTCTTCTTCGGTTGGAGTATCTTTCTCTTTCCATTTTTGAGCGAAGGCTATTTGTGCCGCTGTTACTATATGCAGTAGTAAATAATTTGTATCTTTCTTATATTTTCTTTCTATAATTCCCAATTAAAAAAATTCTGGTTTGGCCTCTATATCTATTAGCAAAATTTCTTCCAGCCATTTCTTTAATAAGTTCCCACATTTTTGTGCCTTTGGGCATTGACACCACATGTGGTAGTAATTCCCAACGGTCTCTCCACACTTCCAGCATATTGAGGATTGTATTGAGTTAAAATCTTGAGTTCACTTAAGTTATTTCTGGAGAAAAAAACCAGTTATTTGCAGTCATTTAAATATATTTTTCATCCCGAAAGTAGTCATAGACACGTGTGCTAAAAAGAGAAAGATAATATTAATAAAAAGTCACTGACAATAGCATTAATAGGACAACTAGCAAGATAATACGTGCTTACCGAAGGACTGAAGTATCCTCCTAGATCAGTTTTATATTAAAACAAGGGAAACAAACTCATCTTTGTTGAGGGAAAAGTGATTTTGGTGGCAGAGAGTCACTACAAATAATTCCATCTTGTACGTTGTTAGAATAGAATAAGAATATCCATTCTATTCCCATATTAATCTAACAAATATAGAGTTAGATGCTTTAAAGCAGGGGTTCCCAACTGGGGGTGCTCTCCCTGGAGATGTGAGATGATATTCCAGGGGTGCAAAAAGTTGAGTTTAGTTTCAAAATTATAGTGTATATGCATATATTTGTATGCATTGCTCCTCGAAGCACGAAGGTGAAAGTACCAGCCTGAAGATGACGAATGGGACTTCGTCGAAATGTCGCCAAGACACTTCCAATTTTACGCGGGAGAAAACCCGAACAACCAAAGACCTACATATATTTGTATATGCATATATTTGTATATGCATATATTTTGTAAGGAGTGTGAGAATATATCAGAAGCCTTCTACAGGATATAGAAAAGGTTGGGAGTCACTGCTTTAAAGTTAATCACATGGTTTACTTGCTACTGAAATTTACCAGAAGCAGGAGAATGCTCCAGACTATCATTGGAAAATTAGTTTTGTTCATGAACTTTTGTATTAATCATGCCAATATTAAACAGAATATTCTTGCTTTCTCTTCCTCATTTAGTTCAGCCCTGACATTCACCTGTGTATGGTATTGTGCCATTGTAACTTCTGGTATGAGCTACATCTTTCTTCTTCAGCTCTTGAATATCAGCTATAACATGACTGAAAGGGAAGCTCGTATTGCATTACGGGAGAATACTGGGCAGAAGTTGTTATGGGGTATGGTGGTGGACACGGATCAATATAATCGAGGTTTTCTGTACAATTGGATCCAATTTTTCACCTTGCGCTCATCTGATCTGCAGCAGACTGCTGAAAATGTTGTATGAAGGAGTTTTTAATTATTAATGTTATCATATGTACCTAAAGGCATTCTGGGCAAATAGCTCTCATCTACTGCAAATGAAGACTGGAATATGAGGATAGTTTAAAGCCATATAGCAAACTGCAATACCACTTTCTCAGAAATATACACATACCAAATGTTTTATAGGAAGACCTCAGTATGATTGTGATTGCTTATATTTCTCTGATGCTGATAGCCAAATCTGGCCATAGGTTCTGCCTCGGTTTACCTTCCTAATAAGCAACCATATTGGAAAATCATTTAAAGGCAGTTTATTAGGGTACCCTGTTAAACTGGGATTTCTTTGAAAAAGAAGAACCCTGAGACCCATTTTACATTCCTTTTTATAGTTAACACAACAAAGAAAAATGAAAGAGGAAAGTTGGTTGGATAAGATAAGAGTAACCCCTCCTTGCACAGTAAATCAATTACAAAGCTTGTTTGAAGTTAGATAACCAGACACCATTTGACACTAAGAAACTTTTTCTTATCAGGAGATAGTATCCAGATAGTATCTTCTGTAAATTATCTTTTCAGTTTAGGAATGTTAAAAGCTATCTAGTCAGTCCTTACAACCATAGGATACAAGCTTTCCTACATTCCAAACTAATGAACCTGAACATTATTTTAAAAGAGAAAATAAGTCAAATTAAAATACAAGATAACAAGTTCTCAGTGTTGTTTAATCATGATATATTGTAGCCAAAACATTTGAATTTTTAAAACTTTGTTGTTATAAATCCTGAATTTTGTTAATGGACATAAGGAATTAAAAAGAGAACTTCTGTCATTTTCATGCTTTTATCAAAAAAAAGGAAGAGCTCTCCAATATTGTACTCCTTAATATCTTCATATTAGAACAGATATATATATATATATATATATATATATATATATATATATATATATATATATATATATATATATATATATATATATATGTGTGTGCCTATAGGATGGGCTTGTTTTAAAGCTGTGAGTTGCATAGTATTTTTTTTCTCATTACCCCCTTACTTTGAGAATACAATTGTTTTTAATTAATATTCCTTACCTCAAAATGGCTCATAATGAACAATGTAAGATTAGAATTGCAAAAGCTATTTCTGCATGAATTTAAGTAGTTTATAAATTTATATGAACTGCCCAGAGTTGCCGAGAGTCAGATGGCATATAAATATTTTTTTTCCCTTCATTTATTTGTGTCTGAGTTTTGAAGACTTTTTAGACAAGTCCCTGCAACATTCTTGGCAAGGTTTTTTTCAGTGGCCTTTACCTCCTTCCCAGGGCTGAGATACTGACTAGCCAGGACACCCATAAGGCAAGAACAGAACTCACAGTCTCCCTTTTCTAGCCTGATGTCTTAACCACAACAGCAAACTCTAAGCTCTCATATAGTAAATAAATAAATGAAGTAGTTAGTAAAAGCAAGCCCTTAAAACACCGAAATTCAAAATCATAAAATCAACAACTACTTTTGATTGAAAAAGAATATTGCAAATTGCACATGATTAAAATCACAGCTGATTATGGATCATCCTAAATGTAGTTTCTTATTTTAGGGCCTTATAAAAAAATCCATCAAACTGAATTTTAAACATTTTAAATCATACAAGTATGATTTGTATAAACTACAGTGCAGTCAAATTGTGAAAAAGGATCCAATTATACTGAGAAAAGCAGTTGTATATATAACATATGTATACTAAGAAGATATTAACCGTTATAGGATTATGTACATGCTAAAGTCCAATAAAAATGTAATCTTCTGAGTAGCCAGCCAGTAACAAGAACCAAAATCCTCAATTTTTTAAAACGTTCATATAATTCCAGCTTCTCTTTTTAATATTCGCTTGAAATAGTGAAATGTACATATTTAACTATACAACCAAAAATATGTTTTAGTGTAGATAGCCATACCTGAAGAAATTATTGATATATGCCAGGGGTGTCAAGCTGCCAGCCCATAGGCCGGATGCATCATGCGGAAGCCGCACCCACCCCATTGCCGGCAATGGCAAAACAACCCCAATACGTTGTGTGACGTCACATGACGTTGCAAGTTTGACATGTCTGATATATGCTTAAGAGGATTCCCTCCCCCTCCAAAGCACTAAAATATGCAATGTCGCAATGTGTGCTGTCAGAATGCTATCTGGATAAGGTAGACATTGACAATATGAAGGAATGTTGCAAGGAACAATGGAATGTATTAAAAAACCACAATCCCTAACTTTTTAGCTTTCCTTGGGAAAGTTGAAAGGATTGTCTCCTGAATGTCAGAAACAAAAAGCACAATTTTTTGAAGGAAGAGCTACCATGTAAAGACAATTCAATGTAGCTACAATTAAGCTGACAAAGATTTCTAAGCAGTTATTGTGTATTGCAACAAAGTAGAATATTATCTAGAGTGAACCCAGAGTCACTTAGATATTGTGATGGGCAGTGCCTAAATTTGATAAATAACTATCAACTAGCCTTTGGAATTCTACAATTCTGAAACAATTAAGGCTGTATAACAGCATTTTCTATTTAAAATCTCTTCTGTGTTACTCAGTGAATTTTAGGCCAGAGGTTATGGTGAATTTTTAAGGAGTAGGCTTCCTGTGTTGCTTTCATTGATCAAGATCAAATTTCAAGTAATATGAAACTTGCTGTGAGCTCATTGATTAGCAGAAGCTGCTAGTTTGCATTAATGCAATTATAAGTCCATTGCCATATTCTGACTTAAATAATATACATCTCAGTGGATCAATAGCTTTTCTCTCTCTCTCACACACACACACACTATTTTAATGGTGCTTTTTTTGTATCAAATTAGTTTGTCTTTAAAATAATTTGTGATGAAAATGTTTTCTAAAGCAAGTAATAACTGCCTAACATTTAATATGTTCTCTGATTTTAATCAAATCACGAATGTTTTTTTGGCTTATATATAAATAACTATCTTTTCCAAAATCTTTTTTTCCATCTTACTGTACATTACAGAATGTTAAGAAAACAGGACATTTGCTTTCTTGTTGGTTTACAATTCTTAGATTTTTTTCAAAGTTGGAATATGTGATAAATATTACAAAATTGCTTCTATCTGAACTATTTGGTTATTTAATTTTGAAATATTTTATAAATTTGATTGCACAGTGCAGTATTTTTTATAATTTTAATGTTTGACAATACAATGTTAAATGTTTAAAATATATGTAATTACTCAAATGAATAAAGCTATAGCACGGTTTCACCATTAAAAACAATGATTCAATAAACCACAGTGGCTATCCTTTTCATTTGTTCTTATCTTTTTTTTAATATGAGGGTGATGGGAAGGTGGGTTAAATTTTATATGTATATTGATAAATCTAATTGCTAATAGGTTGCAGGGAATGGAGGGAATTTAAACTGATGTTTCATACTCAGAATTTTTGAAGCTAGAAATAAAAAGTGTAATTATTACTAACTATGCAGTCAAAAGTTACTTGAAAAAAATTAGGGTACTAATAGGGAAGTGATCTCCCTAGAACAGGCATATCAAACTCACGACGTGTGATGTCACGCAACGTATCGGGCTGGTTTTGCCATTCCTGGCAATGGGGTGGGCGTGGCTTCCACATGACGCGCCCGGCCTACGGACTGGCAGTTTGACACCCCTGCCCTAGAATAAATTTCCCTATAAACTATAGAAAAAATCTGTATAAGTTTATTCTGTGTATGATTTCTAATAATAGATGAACACATTTGAAGTACAAATGGAAGGGTATCATTTAAGGTTGTCTCTATTCTTTAAAGAACGAATATTTTTTTGAGGCAAAGCAAACTTGTGGATGACCAGCAAATGGCTCTTTAGATTTAAAGGATTTATACATGGATTGTTTGTGAACCAACAGATTAATGTGAACTCTTAGTAAACACATTGATAAAGAAGTAGAGGTCAATAATGATTGGCTTGCAACAAAGGATTGTCAGACTGACAACTGGCAAATTCCCAGGGCTTCAGATGGCTGAAGGATACACAGGAATGTGAGAAACATAAATTTCTCTTTTAAAAGTGTCTAACTTACAAATGTGTAAATATAGCACACATACCTTTACCATGTACCTTAGATCTGGGATTGACTACTGCACTTTTTAAAATAGATTGAACAATGACCCTTTTAGGCAGCTGATTTTGTGTGTTGTGAATGCTGAAATAATATTACTGTACACTGTGCCAGTGAAAGGCACCTGTATGAATTAGCTTAGTTGTCAGAATATTTTGCCTGGCTTTGGAGATTACCTTACGAGTTGGTGAACTTCCAATTGATTAACTGGTTGTTTTTGCATTTATGTTACAGCTGTTTGGCATAGACAGCAAGAAAATGCCTTAATGTAGGTACATTTAGTTTTGTAAATCTTTAAATGTAGTACATTTAGTTTTGTAAATTTTCGTTTGGATTTATTGCAGATTTCTAATACTGATCCTGCTTTGATTAGGAATGATCACTGCTGAGTTTTTTCCCATAGCTTTAAGTTCTATTTATTACTGTATTCTTTTTGAAGTGGGTTACTTAAATGATTGTATTTTTTAGTATAGGGTTGACATAATTTGGGCTTCTTACCCACGTCCATAGATTTTTATTTTATATATATATATCACACATTTAATAAGTTTAATTATAATATTGGATGCAGCCAATTAACTTCTTCAGCAGAGAAAGGCCTTTAAGTGCATTCACAAATCATGTGGTTTATAGAAATTAAAACACAAAAATTATATATATATATATATATATATATATATATATATATATATATATATATATATAAGATTATACTGTTATTCACCTCAGTTGCACTGAGCATTTGAACTGTAACTCCTGAGACTGACAGTGTCTTAATTATAAAAATTCCTATAACATTTTTCTGATAAACAATCCCAGAATAGCCAAAGTTCCAAACCGACTATTACCAAAAATGTATGTGTAGTAGTTGAATTTGAAAGCTAGGACCAACATGGACCTTATATATCTGAGAGTAAAATCATATTTGCATCACTAATGGACAAAGAAGTCCTCCATACCTTTATGCTTAAACTGAGTAAGCATTTTATAAAATAATTGCCTGTATGATCTGGTTTTGTGACAGATATGAAACTAAAAAAAAAGCTGCATGCAATAAGGCCATTATCTAGAAAGGAGGAAAGGATATTCAGAAATGAGCAAGATTTCCACTGTAAACATATTTTACCAATGAAATCAACTCTAGACTTCCTTTACAATTACATATAGAAGGGGCTGGAGCTATTTCCCTTGAGAAGATCTTGTATTATTAGAGACCATAAAAGTGTATCCCTGTATTGTGGAAACTGATTGCCTCTCAGCAATTAGGGATAAGACCAAGGTAGCTAGTATTGATTAACTGGTTGTTTTTGCATTTATGTTACAGCTGTTTGGCATAGACAACAAGAAAATGCCTTAATGTAGGTAAAGAGTGAGGAATGTTACTATGTTCACGCTGTGGGCATTTAACAGCTGAACAGCAATAGACAAGTTCTGTTCTTAAGGCTGATTCTGATTACAAAGAAGACATTCAGTAGGATTTCCTTGCAAACCAAAGATGCTGCCATAATTGTTGATAGAAGGAAAAAGGCACACAGGAATGAGTTTACTAAAATGGTGCTACAGAGTCAGTATTGGTTACATGGACTTTTTTTCCTTTCCACGTTCCATTTGTCCTCTGCTCTGAAATCCTTTTGTCATGCTTGGAAATTTGGCAAAATTTCAGATACTCTCTTTCTTAGCTTTTCTAGTCTTTCTTCTTTTTTTCTTTCCTCTTTCATCTGAGCTGGGAACTGTTGCCAGGCTCTGAATGCAAGTAGTATCATTCTCCTGCATCACACAATGTATAAAAGGGGGAAAATGCAGTAGAATTGTAAGCAGGCACGCATATGTTTATCAAAATAATATTTAATAATTTATTAAAATAAATTATTCTCATACTTGTCTCATATTTAATAAACAGCTTTAAAATATGCTATTATATTGAGGCAGAGGTGATTATGAAACAATGTACTATTTCCTCCTTATTTTTCAGGAACATGTCAGTTTATTGGCTAGGGAATTTCCCTAGAGAAAAGAGATGCTAAATGTCACTAATCTCTAGAAAAATGTAAGATACTGTCAGAAACCACAGTATCTCAATATTTATAATCATTATAAAAGATACTGAAAGTTTTTCCCTATCCATGTAGAAAACTAGTTGCCAAGATTTTATGTCTGGAATGGTATCTCAAACATAACAGCTGTTTCATCTTCATGAAAGTGAAGTGAATATTTGTCAAGGGCCTATGTAATCCAGCATTCTGTATTATACCTCATAGATAGGGACAGGAGGGCAGTAACTAAATTTACTCTAGAAAAACAGGTACTTAAATTGTTAAATATTATCAGAACACTTTTCTTTTTACATTGCACATCATTCCTAATAGCTTTTAATTATTAGGTTGCCTTTCACTTTTTCTTTCCAAAACATATTATTGCCACATTTTTCTATCCCTGTGAGGTAAATTAAACAGAAAATGAGCTTTGTGACTAGGTGAGGATATGAACCTGGATTCTTCCCAACTCAGCCTATCACTAATCAATCATACTGCCTTTCAAAAGACCTTTACGCAGAGATGCTTCTCTTACATTTAGAACTTTTATTTGTGGTTTTTTAAAAGTAAGTGATACACTCAAATAGACTGAGACATTTAGTTTTCTCTGTGGTTTGCTCTGATAATTCTTTAATCCCCTTTTTAGTTTTAAAATTTAAAAGAAAAGGATTTGGAATTCTATCTCTATTTTGAAATACCACTTTTTCCTCTGAATAGTAAGATTCTGATTTTATTCAGTCTAAAATAAGGCAGTGTTCTGTTTAGAATTGAGCAAAACCTATATATTAGTAAAAGCATCTACCATTAGACACATGCTTAGCCAAATATTAAACACAGTGCCCAAATGGGAATGGGCCTTCTAAACAATGCAAGACAAATTTTGATAAGTAAACCTCAGCATTTTGCAAGAAAAAACATTTTGAATATCAAGATTTTTTATTTGGATAAACTCTAGTTACCTGTAAATGAGTGACAGTATCTGTCTGGCTTTTTCTTGAATTAGGAACTATCAGTCAAACCTGAGATATCCAGATAATTCAAAGCTAGGGGTTAATTCAGAAATTTAAAAAACACCCCAGAAAGCAGTGATGGCATACTACATTTATTCTGTTACAAAAAAAGTCCATGGCTGTTCCCATGAAGTGTTATATACAACTCTACAGGAACTTTATTTAGTTTTTAAGTCTTATATAAAGGCTGTTGCTTAGAATTTGTTTCTATGATGATAATTGAATATAGATTTTCCAGATGAAGTGTTGATACATATAATGGACTGAAATTAAGTTTACTAAATCTTATTTTTTCCCCACCATGGTATTGGGTCCATTATTTTCTCTGTCAAATTTATTCAATGGCTGGTGATTCTCAGCATCTGTGCCAAATAACAAGAGGATAGACCACAGGTCGGCAACCTGCGGCTCCGGAGCCGCATGCGGCTCTTTGAACCTTCCCCTGCGGCTCCCAGCCTCCTCTGCCTTTGCAGAGAGAGACAGAGACAGAGAGGCAATTGCGCTTCTCTCTCTCTCTCTCTCTGTGTGTGTGTGTGTGTTTGTGTGTGTGTGTGTGTGTGTGTGTGTGTGTGTAAAAGAGAGTGCACTCACAGTGTTTTCCGAGGAGCTGAAAAGCTTACTGGGCGGAGCTCCTCCCTTTGCTGCGTCTCTGCAGGAAGCAGGAAGGCAGGAGAGAGCTAGCTAGCCCAGCTAGGCTGATTCAGGAATTCTGGGAGTTGAAGTCCATGAGTCATAAAAGAGATGAGGTTGCCTACCCCTGATCTTGTTGGACAACAGCTTGAAGCTTGTCAGGTGAGCAGCAGATAGGAGAGGGGGGGGGAGAGAGAGAGAGAAAGAGAGAGAGAGAAAGAAAGAGAGCGGGGGAAGAGGAGTGGCAGACCAAGGGCAGATAGAGAGAGAGGGAGAGAGAGAGAGAGAGACCCTTTTGACATCTAAAATGAAGATAACACTGCATATATCCTTTTTTTACCTCTGTGTGTGTGTGTGTGTGTGTGTGTATACATACATACATACATATACATATATATATATACACACACACATACATACATACACAAACACACACACACAAACACACACACACCTATAATAAAGGTAAAAAAAGGATATATGCAGTGTTATCTTCATTTTAGATATCAAAATGGTTTTGCGGCTCCCAGTGTTTTGTGTTTGGTGGGAAACGGGTCCAAGTGGCTCTTTAAGTGTTTTGGGTTGCCTACCCCTGGGATAGACATATACTAGAACCAAACTTCTACATTGTGTTATGCAGAAGTTAAAATGTAAAAAAAATTATAAATTCAGTATAAAGGATACCTTTGAATAATATTGTATTGTTAGGAGTATTAGCTTTCTGTAGAGCAAAGTATGGGCTGAACAGTAACCAATAACAGCCAGCAGCCTAAGCACATTACTAGAAGAAGGGAAGAACCAGATTTTCTAACTGGTATGGCTCTTTCTATTTAGTGGTATAGTTATATGGTTTCTGGCTGGTTTGTACACAAAGTTCAGTTTAACATATAAGTTACATCTAAATTATATATCCTAGAAGCATGATTTGCATCTTGTTTCCCAGGACAAAGAATCATTAAAAAATATATGCATGCATGCACACAATGTTCAGATAATTCCAAAGGAAACTAAAGAACAAGGAACATATTGCATAATTCTTGCAATAAATACAATCTAAATGAAAATGCCTTTAATATATTCAATTTTACCTGTTAAAGTATTGATCAGCAGTCTTTTGTTTTGCCCACAATATACTTTTCTCCTCATTCACCAAATCAAACCAAGACCCAAATAACTTCTTCTTTAAGGCAGTTTCATGGACTTTGCTTGCACTCTCTTCCAGAGTAAGTATGTAATCCTTATACTGAAAGAAGTCCAATGAAAGGAAAAAGGCGTCACTCAATTACTGTATGTTTACATTTTACACAACAATATACCAAAAGAAGTAGTTGGAAGAAACAAAATATTCTACTGCATATGTCACAGGAAAAAACCCTAACAATGTACACATGTGAATGTACAATTTAGCATGTGATGCAATTCTTAAAAATTTCTAAGACAATACTTCTCTTAAGAAGGGGGGGAGCCTGTTCTCCTTTCCTGAAAAAAATGGATAGTTCAATAAAGAATATTATTAGAACTTGTTTTATATTCATTTATATGTGGTTTGCTGATTATAAATCATAATGGGATATATGAGTGTGCATTTGCCAGTACAAGTGGTCCTCATTTAGTGACTTCTCATTCAGAGACTGTTTAAACTTACAATGGTACTAAACAACTGCTAGTTACAACGGGTCCTTGGCGTTACAGCTGCAACAAGAGTCCTCATAGTCACATGATCATGATCTGGGCTCCTGGTGCCAGCTTGCATTTATGACATCAGAGCATCCTGCAGTCATATCACAATTTGCAAACTTCCCTGCCAACTTCCCAGAAACAAAGTCAAGGTGAAGCCAGCTGGAAGTTAGAAAGTTGACTGGTCCTTGCTTAGCAACCTATGCTTAACAACCTCACTTAATGATGGCAATAGGGTCTGCCGAAATTGCTATTACTAAGTAGCATGGTCATATGACATTGTGTTTTACTTATGTGTTGCTTAGCGGTGGCAATTCCAACCCCAATTGCTGTTATTAACTGAAGACTTACTGGTATCAACAAGTAATTAACATCTAGAATGAAAATTGCTAAAAGAATATCATAGTATTGGTGTAAATTTTCAGCTTGATTCAGTATTTGTTACTGACCAACCATAGTGACTGCCGAAAATCCATTTTCACAGAGATGGAAAATACAGTAAAACCCTCAGTGTCTTTCCACTTGAAAGTTCACTTTCTAGTATTAGATTTGTCTTTGACCTCAAGTTATTCAGGGAATACTAGCATTTCAAGGAACACAATGTAAGAAATATTGCTTTATGCTCCCTCCCTTTCACTACTCCAAGCTACTGGCCTCCAGTCTAGATTAGATTAGAATCCTCCCTCTTGCTCACCTTTATCCAACTCCTGAAAGACCTTCTAAGCAACTGAGAGCAATAGAGATCCTCAGCTTGACCTATTTTTCTTGATTGAATTTCTTGCATATGATGAAGCCAGGCAAGAAGACACTTCTGCTGCAACCTAGTACAATGATGCCTCTGCGCCATCTAAATTCACAGATCAAGAAAAGACGTAGTTACTGGTATAAATGGATGCAAGAAGAGTCCTGTAACTAAGATTGTGTCATTGGAACATCACTGACTTGGCCCTTTTATTATGTCCAATGACTAAGTACACAGATTCCCAGAACAAGCACATTCTTTTTTCTCCATTTCAATGTTATAGTCTGACAGGACAATTGCATCTTTACTTACTTTAGCTGGAAATATACTTTGAACTGAGGGGATTCATATGTATACTTGATTTGTGGGTAGTTCATATATTTAAAAAGCCACTTAAAATATATTAAGTAAAATATTTATTTAAATACTAAATTAAATGTTAGTAAATGAGCTCCACAGCACCAATTTTGGAAATAATCACCCTGGCTATACAAGCCATTTTTGCAAATGCTGTCACAATCTGACATTTGCCTTTTGGAGCAAAACATTTGGGGACGCTAGCCGTAATATTCATTCTGGATTGTATTATATCCCCCCCTTTCTTTTAAACTTGTCTTCAGATATTTGGTTGGAAGTACAGGATTTTTAAAGCTTTTCCATCAAGGCTGTATAAACTAGACTTAGAGAGTGGTTCCTTCTCGGTGTGTTGGTCCATGCTGTATCAACACAACACAGAAACCTGATTTGATGAAAAAACCTTTTCACTCAGCAACACTACACACACTGGAAAATAGTAGAGGATTCATCTTCAGCACATAAAACTATTTTTTTCCCTAAAATTTCTTAAATATGTTTAAATCAGTTTACTCTAAGCAGGTGGCCAAAGTAATAATCAATGGAGAACTGACTGAGAGTTTCCAAATGCAAAAAGGCACAAGGCAAGGCTGCCCACTATCACCATTGTTATTTATATTATCTCTCGAGGTATTAACTAGAGCAATCCGGCAAGATGAACAGATCCAAGGTCTAGAAATCAAGAAAGAGACATTTAAAATACAAGCCTTTGCAGATGATTTAGTTTTTATTATTGAAGAACCACTACAATCAGGGATTAGGCTGATGGAAACATTGAATAGATACGGGGAAATAGCAGGTTTAAAAATAAATAAAGAAAAAACTAAAATGCTTGTCAAAAATATGACTAAAATACAGAAAAGTGAATTGGTTGATAGAATTGGTGTTCAAATTACAAATAAAATTAGACATTTAGGGATACAACTGACTGCCAAATGCGCTACGCTTAAAAGGGATAACTATGATAAGTTAATAGAACAGATTCAAAAAGACTTTGATATTTGGACTAACCTACAGCTCTCTCTTACGGGCAGAATCGCGGTGATTAAAATGAATGTGTTGCCAAAAATTTTATTTTTGTTCCAATGTATACCTATAAAATTAGACAAGAAATTTTTTCAAAATTTGAACAAAATGATGTGTAAATTCATCTGGCAAGGAAAAAGAGCAAGGATTAAATTAAAATTACTACAGGACTCAAAGGAAAGGGGGGGATTTGGTCTTCCAGACTTGGAGAAATATTACCAGGCCGCAGCATTAGTATGGGTAAGAGATTGGATATTACTAAAAAATAGGAGACTATTGTGTCTGGAGGGCCATGACCTACAAATAGGATGGCATGCCATATTATGGGATCATAAATATAAAGTACATAAATATTTTCGAAGTCACTATATTAGGCAAGCTCTTATTGATGTATGGACAAAAATTTGGCAACCAAATTATACCCAAGTACCTAGTTGGATCTCACCGTTAGAAATATATGTACACCCAAAATTTACTCAATTAGACAAGATCATAACATATAAAAATATTTTAGATGAAAGAGGGGAATTGAAATCCAGGAAAACCATCCACGATGAAGGGATAGAATTAGAATGGTGGGCATACCTGCAACTGCAGGCAAGATATCGGAAAGACAAAAAAGAGTTAGGTATTAAATTAGAACCAATAGAATTGGATAAAATAATTTTGGGGTCGGAGGATAAAATGATTAAAAAACTATACTATTATTTGCTAGATCAGGCAACGTACGAGGAACAAGTAAAAGTGACTATGTTGAATTGGAGTAAGGATTTTGGTCTTAATTTTGATCTGCATATATGGCAAGAACTATGGGCAAGAAACAAGAAGCTTACTTTGGCCACCTCTTACAAAGAGAACCTTTACAAAATGTTTTATAGATGGCATCTCCCACCCACAAGATTGTCTAAAATGTATACCAATGTCTCCCCTAAATGTTGGAAATGCAATTTGAAAAGTGGAACTTACTATCATATGTGGTGGGAATGCACGCGAGCTCGTGATTTTTGGAACAGGATTAAAATTTGGTTGGAAGAAATATTAGAGCAAGCGGTAGAACCAAAACCAGAACTCTTTCTATTAGGTTTAACTACGCAAAAACATGACAAAGGCGTATTTTATTTAATGCTACACATTTTAACGGCCTCCAGGCTGGTTTTTGCTCAAAATTGGAGGAACAAGGAAACCCCAACGGAAGAAGAGATCCTGCATAAAATTTTAATATGTGCTGAGATGGACAGGCTTACAATGATTATGAAAGACAAAACGGAACACGAATACTTCGAAATCTGGGGCAAATTTTACCGCTGGTATGAATTAAGAACTGCTCGGACTTCAAACTAATGGTAGAACTAAAAGATATACATAACTGTACATATAATTGTATATATAATTGTATTGTATAAAAGATGAGGTTTATATAGAGGTTAAGAACAAAAAATTATAAAATTATAAAATTTTTGTACTATGATAGGAACTGATAGAAAAATTCACTCTGGAATGTCATGTTTGTCCATTGTTGTTTTAATTGTATTAATGAATTAAAAAAAAAAAAAAACTATTTTTTTCCCTAGATGCCCATTTTTACTTTAGTTCTTACCACCATATTTTCTTCAGATTGCTCTATAAGACTTTTCCAGGCTTTTAACCCCTGCTTGAGCAGAATCTTAATGTAATGGTCTTCAGCTTTGGATAAAAGTTGCTGTTCTCTCTCTAGCCTTTTCTGTTTTTCCAGTTCTTTCTGTAATTAATAAATCAGAAAAGCAGTTTAGAGAATTTGGCCAGTTCATTAAAAATATTACTATTTCTTGGGCAAACAGGTATAACCCATGTGTTCAGTTGTTGATTTCTTTCTGAACTGCATGAAATGGAGATATTGTTATGGCCATCTACATGGCTCCAAATGTCATTGCCAAAAGCATCTCCTTCATGCCAGTCTGCACCCTTTTGAATAGACCATCTTTTTTTATTATTAGGGACTATAGACATAGAATGACCACTGCAGTTTCATGAATATCATGTTTAGGAAGTTGCAAAACCTCAAGCATTATCATTTGAGCCTTAGATTTTCCAGGCCTTATTTCTGCCTCTGTTGTTGCTTTCTCTATCTATCTACTATTTACTCTTGTCAGCTCTAAGGCTTAAAAACAACAACAACCAGCAATAGCAGCAGTTTTCACTTGCTTTGCCCTTTCCTCCTAGACAGAATAAGATTGAAAGAGCAAGGGCATCAAATGACAGTGGCAAGGAAGTTATTCATTCATACCTCAGGAGGTTCATTTGAGGGCTTACTGTCTAAATATTCCTCCCAATCTGCCACCAACTGTTTGAACACAATCTCAAATCAAACCATTCAGAAGCTTTATATCATTTAAGCAATAATGCTAGGCTAATGTACTTCTAGAACACAGGACTGGAGCTAATACGTTATGTTACAGCCATTAATATAGCCTTGATAAACAGATGTTTTAAATATATTTTTTCTTGAGTAGCTTTGACATTGCTGGAATTAGACTTCTGCCATTACAAAATCATATTGAAAAGCCAGTTTTATCTGTAATAGATCTGTGAGATAGCTGGTAGCACAATCTTCCACTCACTATTTGCTGCAATCTCTTCTCTTCTCGCCTCTTCTCTAATTTAGCTTCTTTTTCTGCTGCTTCTTGTCTTTCACGTTCTTCTTCTTTGGCTTGCATCTCAGCCTTAGATGGGATAGGACAAGACAAGCTAAATCATATTTAAATCCCTGTCCTAAAGAAATGCAAAAGTTCCAAAGCAGATGCCTACCTAAATAATGATATATTAACCATTGTACATGTTTTACACACAAAGAGGGTAAAAAATATTTTATTCAGAATCCTTTTCAGTAATGGTAAAGAATAGCTTTACCAGCAGTAATTAGTCAGGAAACCTATACATTTCAAAGCAGGTTTTCCCTTGTAAAATGTAAATATCAAAAACAAATAACCATTATAACTTGTTAGTTAGAGATGTAGTCTAGTTAGATAAAAAGTTTAATTTTTTAAGTCTAAACTAGTGGGTTGCAAAATTGTTTGCTGTTCTGTTGAGGAAAAATAGGGGTATCTTAAATGCATCTGATACACTTTCTGTTGTATCCATCTTCTCAGACAGTTTGGTTTCTATGCTGGGAAGAAGAAAAAGATGAGGTGCCTTTCTCCCTAACATGCTCCCTTGCTTGCATGCAGTTTCTCTTCATCTATAAAACCTATCAACTGCTCTTCAGTATAAAATGTTATTTTCATGTTATTAAGGCAAGACAACTTCAGGGGACAGGATATTAATTTATTAAAGCTCTGGCTTGTGTATATAGTTTATAAAGTGAGACTGAAATTTTTATAGGTGCCTCAACTTGGATGCAATTTTATTTTAGTTTTAAATGGTTTGCAATTTGCTTTATGCCTGTTTCCTTGGATAGATGGGGGGGGGTTGTCATAGAAATTTGATTAAAAAATAAAAGACTAATAAATAAAATTTCATGTTTGCATTTTAAAAATTACACTGGTCCTTTTGATATTTATTGTCTATCTACTCGATGTTTAAGTCAAAAGTTAGTTTTACGTGCCAGCTTTTTGTCTTCTCGCTTTTGTTTTGCTTCTTCCAATTGCCTCCTCCGTTCTGCTCGCTGAATTGCTCTCTCTTCCATAGCTAAAACATTCAGGAAAAGGTGCAGGATAAATTAATTCTGAGGCTTGAAAAATGCAGTTTTGCTTTAAATTTTGTTTCTGATCAATCCATATCGAACTAAATATGGTCAGATTGTTCAACTAACTCAATATTCTCTCTCTCTCTCTCTCTCTCTCTCTCTCTCTCTCTCTCTCTCTCTCTCTCTCTCTCCCTCCCTCCCTCCCTCTCATTTTGTTGAACCATTTATTTCCCAGCAATATTATCTCATGTTGCTGGCAAACTATCTAAGGGAGAACCTGCACAATGTTAAGTGGTTGGTATAATACTTCTTTTGAATTTGTAAAGTGCTAATATATTTGCTGGGACTACAGCCAGTGGCTAATGGCTTCCGACACTCTCTCCAAAAGAATAAAATCTATTAGCATTCATTTCTCCCAATAAATGTTCAGGTTTTTTTCAGTCTGTACCCTTATCTTTTTTCAATTTGCAATCTTAGTTTCAGTAGAAGTTATGCTGGTTACAGAGATTCAGGAGATGATAATTAGGAAAGATTTCATCAAGAGAATAATTTAAATCAATTTCACCACTTTAAGGATCACTTGGAAGAAAAAATAGTTTGAATATGTAATTTATGTTTTATAAAAAATAGTAAATAATTTTGAATGGAAAAGGGAACACCACAGAATATTAATCTTAATATAATTAAGAATTTCTACTTTAGGAATTCAGCATTAGATGTTGCAGTCTTCCACTTAGTTTCACTGTAATTTTTACTCTTAGTTACAACTTCTAATTATATTTCTATTATTCTAACATTCTAGCTAGTAATTCAAACCGAATCTTGCATTTCAAGGGAAAAAAATATTAGATGATTCTGAGATTGGCAGATAAATCTGAAATATTTTAAAGAGACTATATACTGTAGTTATAAGTGGGCAACCTCTAGAATGCAACTGGAATTTATGATCATCTAAAAGGCCAGCACCCACATTTGTTTTTGCTGTTTCTTGACTACCAACAGTACAGGTAGTCCTCGACTTATGACCACAATTGAGCCCTACATTTCTGTTGCTAAGTGAGACAGTTGTTAAGTGAGCTTTGACCCATGTTAAGACCTTTCTTGCCACAATTGTTCAGTGAATCACTGCAATTCTTAAGTTAGTAATATGGTTGTTAAGTGAATTTGGATTCCTCATTGACTTGCCTTATCAAAAGGTCGCAAAAGGTGATCACTGTTGTGATTCCTCATCAGCCAGTGGACCCGGCAGCTGAATCTGAGGAATCAGAGGAAGAGGGGCCTGGAGTGACATCAGAGTCAGAGGAAGGCTCTGATGAGCTCCAAGACTTACAATCTGACGAGGAGCCTGGCCCCTCCACTTGCGCTCAGGCTGAGACACAGCTGTGCTGGAAGGCTGAGTCGGATAGTGATGACTCACAGCTGGAAGACATACAGGATGCTCGTAAATGCTGGCAGGCAAAGAGAGTTGGACAGAGGAATGTAATGGGGCGGCTCCCTTTTATTATACGCCTTGGCTGCATAATAAAAGGGAAGATGTGGGAGGTGCTGGTTGCTGAAGGCAACTGTTTGTGTTAAGGAATCAAGTTTCAGTGAATTGTGTTTTGTTTGCCTTTGCCTTTGGACATTTTACTCAGGTCTGTAAATAATAAAAGGGGATTGTTTTTTTCCTGTGATTCCAGCCTGCTTGTTGGAAGAGGGGTTTCTCCTTGTGAGCTTAACAAGGACACACGCAGGCTGGGACAAAACAATCACACTGGGACACAACAACCATCATAAATATGAACCAGTTGCCAAGCATCTGAATTTTGATCATGTGACCATGGGGATGCTGCCACAGCATAATGTGAAAAACGGCTACAAGTCACTATTTTCAGTGGTGGTGTAAGTTCACCAGGTCACTAAGCCATTGTAAGTCAAGCACTACATGTATTTAACCAGTTAAAGAAGTTGGACAAGTCTATGTCATTTCTTTATAACTAATAAGAATACTTTTGCTCTAGTCTTATGTGGTATAGGCTATTAATAACTAATAATTTGATATAAACAATAAAGGGTACTTAGACTTACAACTTAAGACATTAAGAGAAACAAATTATTTATTACAATGCACATTATATATAATGCGATTCTGAACACACATCAATTTAATTAAAGAAAATATTTAAACACTTTTGTGTGTATATTTCAGGAAGAAATATATATATATTTACAATTGTGTCTTGCCGTAGTTGTTCTAATCTTTCTGAGACCGGCTGAAATACACTGGCATTATTTGTCAATGGTCATATAAAGTGTATGAATCATAATATACTGTCACAATGCTAGTGACCTCACCCTGTCCAGTTAAAATATTATTCAACATGGTGTCCAGGAAAAAAAAAAGAAAACTTTAATTGTTTAATTCAAAGAAAACCACACAATTTAGGGTTTGAAATAATTCACACATAGGAGTTGAAAAAGTTTGCAAAGAAGGCCAATAAAAAAATTAGCCCTTCAGCTATATTTATTACACATTTCATGACTATTCCTGTGCTATAATATAGTATTTGTATTATTTGTAATATTTGTATTGTAACAATCATATATTTTACTAAAGCTTTTTATAGCCATCCAGGAAAGAGTCCTTTAGGTACATACCTCTGAGTAAGGGATGTGGTGTCACTAGTGCTTTCAAAATCCTTTTCTTTTGAGTGACTGGCTGCTGAACATCTGACCTAAATAAGCCAAAGCGTAGGAGAGAGGGGATACAATAGAACAGAACGAGACTTGGGATTAACATTCTAGGAAGCAAAGACTTCAAGTAGAAAAAATGTTCTGAAAATAATGTAGACTATAGGCAGAAGCATGAGATTCACAATTAAAATAAATAAACTGTCCCTTATAAAGCTTGGTTTCCTGAACCTATCCCAGATAGGATCTGGAAACTAAGCCTTATGAGGGGCATTAGACAATCTGTGACTCTTTAATGTGCTATGGAGAAGTCTGAGGAGAAGATGTGGCCTATACATTTCTTAAAGACTGTCACATCATACAAGAGAAGCTTTCTGTTTAAATTAAGGGAAGGATAAGGACCATCCAGTTGAAATTAAAAGAAAGGAGATTCAGACTACAGTATATATTAAGAAAAACTTTCTGACAATAAAAATTGTAAAAAGTGTAGTAGTTCTACCCATAACAACTGGACTTGCTCACACTAGAGGCTGAATAGGCATCTGTTCTGGATAATTCAGTAGTTCATTATTTTCAGAAGATGGTTGGACCAGATCACTTATTAGATCTCTATCTTCTGCTACATTCTATGAGGCTAGAAATCCAACTCAAAATAATTAGAATGACTACCTATTAAAGATATCATACCAGGACTTTGTCCTTTTATTTCACAATTCTACATACTCCATGACTATATATGGATTCACTGACTGTCCCCAGCCCCACTATACTTTGCAGCCTCATTTTTTTTGGGGGGGGGGAAGAACTTTATAGTATGTAAAATTTTTCGGGGGGGGGGAGGTTGCTAAATAAATTGTAACAATTTAAATAAATTATGTTACAAAAATTAAAAATGAAAGCATTTTAAGATTTCTGATTCTGTTACAAAAAACACTTGTAAACATCATGGTGTATGATTTTGTTCATCTAGTTATTCCTCCTCTCCTCTTTTTATTAATTATAAGAAAAAATGTCCTTTGCATGACAACAGACATCTTATTTCGTAGCCATGTATTTGAGCGATAAGAATAAAAATTACAAATATCCTTTTATTTACTGTAAGGCAGCAAGCCACATGTAAATGAATAAAAATATAGTTTTCCTCTGCTCATTTCTATTGTTTTCCTGTAATTATTTTGGACTGAAAGTTCCTTAGACTACTCACTATTGTTTTATTATTATTAAAGTGATGGAAATAAACTATTAATTAAACTTAGTCAGATAATAGTGAGTATTCAACCTTTATCATATTTGATACTGAGCTATTAATTATAATTACAAACATCATAGTGCTGCCTTGAAGTGTGCTTCAAGGCAGATGCACCAGATGCTCCTTAGCTGTTAGATAACAAAATCCCAGTGATATTATTGTACCTTTCAGGTGTAATATTCTTGTAATTTGATTGATTTTCTCTCAGCTGCTTTTCTTTCTTAATTTTTAGAGTGTTAATGTTAAGTACTGTGGTAGCAGTTGTAGTTTGCTCAACCTCCTCCCAAGCAGTGTGTAGCCTCTGAAGGCCCTGAAGTTTACGGATCAGCTCTTGCTGCTCTTGAAGCTGTTGTTGCTGTTCTTCTATCAGACGCTGCTGTTCCAGGGGGCCCAAAATAGCAGAAGATTTCTTTTGTTTTGATAGATCAAGATGTTGCAAGGAATGCTTTGTTTGATTCCCAAACCTGGCATGGTCCTGAAGATTGAAAGCAGCATGTTTTCTGGTAATTTGCCATGGCCATTTTGGTTGACTTGGTGAATGGAGATTGCATTTTTTACTTGTCCCTGGAGAGTAGGAATTTTTTCTTTCAGATTTTGCAATTGTGGGATTATTTTGAACAAATGGTACTTCAGTCAGCTTGTTAACCTCTATTTGGTTTATCTCTGTATCATTTGCAGATTTATCCTGGGTAACCTCTGTCTCATGAATTTTATTGGTAGGTCTTGAGAAATCTGATGTTAGTTGCCCCAGTGATACTTCTTCCAAGAGCCTTGCCATTTTTCTTTTCATTTTTTCTTTTTTCGTCTCTAGGTCTCTCTTTTCCATCTCTAATCTGCTCCAGCATTGCCATTCAGCAAAGAAATGACGCAAAATGCATTTCCGGTTAAACTCTATAGCCAATTGGTTTTTCCTAAATTAAGATATTTTTAACAATAGTTTTAGAATCCATGGTAGAACTGTTTGACTTTTATTTACTTATAAAAGAGTTGAGCATGCATTACTAGACGTGGCCCTCTTGTATCCTATTTGCAGGTCCTAGAATCTCTGCAGTAGGCAAAACTGACTTGTTTACATAATAAGATTCTCTTGGAGTTTAAAAGATAAAATGGATGCCTTAAGTCTTGCATCCATTTGGTCTTCACCTCCACCCAAACAGACTAAAACTTTCACTCCTCCAAATATCTTGACATCAGCAATCATGGCTGTTGCAGTCCCTAGTAGGAAATTAAAATGAAATGCAGCCCTCAGACAAAAAATATAGTGTATTTTTTATGTACTATATTTTCTATTGTAATGACTTATTTTGGTATATTGTTTTGCTTGTTGTAGTTTCCACTATATTTTCAATAATATGGGTCAAGCATAATATAATTGCTGTTAGTAAGGGCCATATCAGCATAATTCTAAGGGAAACCATTAGACGTCTCACAAGCCTATTGAATTTTTTTTTATAACAAGTTTTTTACTCAACAATGATTGTGGCTATGATGCAGATCAAATGTACTTGAGACAGATAAAATGTACTTTGCTTTCCCTGCATTAGGTTAATGGATTCCTAATGTAATTTCTTGGAATTTAATGAAATAATAATACATTCATCCAGGAACGGTTACTCATCAAAACTATAGTGTCATGCTTATGATGGAAGAGTCAAGAAATAAATAAAGACTGGGTGGTGGTGATGGTGGTGGAAGAGAACACTTTGAAAAACTTTAATAATCGTAGTATTAATTCTACCAGTTGAATTGTCCTCATGAGTTTATATAAGCGGCACAGTATTTTGAAAACATCTTACACACCAATGGCACTAATTACATGTTAATGAATACTAATATTGCTGTCTTCTTCATAAAAAGTGAAATGCAATAGCCCAGGTGAAAGGTTTGAAAATATACCATCATAATTGCTTTTGAGCTGCATCTTATATTTTCTATTTTAAAAGCACTCCAATAAACAAACAAAAATCAAAATAATTAAACCAAACTTTCAACTTGACAGGAAGGAATTGTGTTAATATTGCTACCTATTTTGATCCCGAAGCTGATTTTCCATTTTTTGAGTCTCCTTCTCCAGTTTGTGAGACCATGAATAATCTCTCCAGGCTCGCAAAATCTTCAGCTGGCACTTCCAGTCTGCAAGGGCTCTTGCTTTTCCCATTTTAATTCTGAGATCCAGAATAAACTTGTACCAGGCAGAAAAATACTTCCGTAGGCACTACATTGGGAATCAAACAACCACGTTCCATTGTGTCATATTTACATTTCTGATAATGTAAAATGTTGGAGTATTGCACTAAATGCCTTCAACGTTCACTGACTACTGTACCACCTTTCATAAATTGTAATGATTTGTTACAGTACAAAGTAAGTCAGAATGAATAGAAAAGTATGAAAGAAATACACTAGTTATGTGGAGAGAATGAGAACTGATATATGTAAAACAAATATATGAAGGTTGAGCAGCAGACTTGAGAAAGCCAGGGAAGGATGAAGTTGATATCACAGAAAATAAATATATAAGATATATATATTGAAGTGGTATGGAAAACAAGATTTGAAATGTATTAAGAAGTATAGTAAACAGTATTGGTGCAATCTAGATTCTTTTCTCTTTTGTGTTTCTTTTGTTTATTACTACTTTCTTTTTCTGTGCTTTCCATAATATTGCTAATACTGAAAAAGTAGAAATAGGCATTTTTCAATTGTAGATTTAAAGAAGTAAAGAGCTCTCATCCTCCCCATCTAAACTCATATGTGTAAGTTCTCATTAAAAAAAATCTCTTTTTTAAAGAAAATATCAATTGCCTACTTCTTCAGTTAACTTTAACATGTTAACATTATTTCATATATATTGCCATCATAATTGATCACATAACTATAATTTTTAATGAGAACCTACATCTCATCTCAGCAAGTGATCCAGGATGCACTGATCTTAGCTGCTTAAGCATGTGTGGTATCCCTAGAATCAACCACAAATCCCTTCAAATTAAATATTTTTTAAATGTCTGAAATATTGTTCCCATACGAGAGCTCAACATCCTTGTATAAATTTTTGTAAAATTTTTCAGATTTTTATTTTGGAAAGCACCAAGTGCTTGAAGAGCTTATTCCCTTTTGACTTTTGACTTAAAACTTGCTCACTTATTTTAACAGATCACTCATATAGCTACATGTTTTATGAAAAGGCAAAATTGTTTAAACAAATATTAAACACATACACACTTATACAATGGCCCTTAAGATATGTATATAAAATATTAGCTAGTGTGAACTTATATTTAGTTGAATCAAAATAAGTTAAAGCAGGAGAGCTATAAGTCTTCAAATAGCAAATATGCTACAATCTTTTGCATTGCTATTGATTAGTAGCTTCTATGTGGCTAATAAATATAAATACACATTGTATACAGCAATTTTCATTTAGCAAGTGGAAAAATAATTTCTTGATTTTCTTGCTTTAAAGAAGGAAGAAAAAAGTTTATAAGAAAACTTGGGCTAACATAACATTGTGCTATATCCTCAGGTTTAAGCTTAGTCATCAAGCATTTTTCATAGCAAGTTGCAGATTTTGGCATCCATCTGCCCTCAAATCTATACATTTACCCTCAGTGCATTTTAACATAAATGACATCTTGAGTATCTTTATTTAGTGAGATTGTTAACAATTTTAGCTAAAGCTAAAACAATCCATCTCAAAGTGCTGAAGCCAAGATCATGAATGTCCTCACCTTCTGATCAGCAGCGTTGACCTTGCTTAGCAGTTCCAGCTGTTTGTCCTGTTCCCCCTTCTTTTGTCTTTCATTATCACAATTCAGACAGATAAGGTCAGCAAGAGGCAGGCCAACCTCTATCAGACTCTGAATTTTTTTTAAATTGTGTCTCTTTCTTTCCCTAAAATAAGACAGTTAGTGAGGGGTTAGAGAAAAAGAATAGAGAAAGAGGCATAAGTTGATCAATCCTTATTTGATGTACTTTTTATTTCAGCTGAGCAAGTTTTATAGCACTGCTATAATACATTTAGTTATTGCTATGTTCTCCATTTCACAAGCTAGTATTACGCAATATATGTTTATACGTAGCTGTTAGGGAGTAAACTAAGATACTAGCACTTAAGGAATTATATAGGGGCATAAAAGGAAAGCTGCCTCAGTAGGTTCCCATAATGCCTAAAGAAGTTTCTATAGAGATTTTCAATCATATTAATGTCATACACAGCTATAGAAACTGATAATTTGAAGGAACAATTGCAATCAAATAAGGATACACTAGAAAAATAATTTGATTTTTGATTTCATTTTTATAGTTCATATAACATGATACCTACTTAGTCGGTTGTTTTAAAAACTATACAGAGATGGTTTGGAAAAGAAGACTCACCAGTTTCTTCCATGTCTACAAATCTCAAATTTAATTATGCTTGGAACCTAATCAATCTCCATAGCATCTTTGGAGATGAGATTCTAAGTTGTCTTACATTTATATCCACCCTCACTCCTTAAAACTCCAAATGATTTTTAGACGATCTTTCATCTATTTAGTTACAATATATTTGCTCTATTATGGTTGTTCGAACTCCTAAATTTAAGATCCAGAATGAACTAATTTTTCACCAAAGCTTACATTTTCCGTGCTTCTTCCATGAGATATCTTTTCTCTCCCAACTCCTTCCGCAGTATTACCATCTGTTTTTTGATCTCTTCTTCTTCTTTTTTGGCTTTCAGATCTTTCCTCTTCATCTCCTCTTGCAATTGCTTTTGAGCCTCTGATACTGCTAACTTTTTCAAGGCTTTTTCTTGTTTTAGAAGTTCAAGCTCTTTCTGCTTTTTCAAGCGATTTTCTTTTACCTGGAAAACAAGAACCAAAAAAGTGTTAAAGCACAGACCAATCACTGAATTTAATTGCCAAATAACTTCTAATCACGAGATGATAGATTTATACAGGAGAAAGTTGACTCTTCCACCAGTAAAAAATTCTGATTAGAATATGCAGGTAGGCTTCTGGTAAGTCTATTGAGGCTGGAAGTATTCCAGTATGTTGGCTTCTGATACAGACCTTAATTTCTCCATTCTGGAGGTTCACTGCCTGATGAATTTGCTTAGCAGCCTGGGATTCAAGATACACTCCAATCTTTGAAAAAAAAAATTATCTTCTTCCTTTTCTGAAATAACCCTTGTCTAAAGAGCAGAGAGTTTCCCTGGCTCTCTCCCCTGAAATAAGGGTGAAATGTTTTCTTAAAGAATGGACTAAAACAGAAGTCATTTTTTGAACTCTGGATTCTTGGATACTTTTGAGAAATCCAAGCAGAGTCTGCTACTGCTGAAGTTTTCCTTTTCTCATTCAGCCTTGTTCTTTCTTTTGTGACTTATGATCAGACTCGCGGTATGACTGTATTATTTTATTGTTTTATGATTGTTTTAACTCTGTACGCCGCCCTGAGTCCTTTGGGATTGGGCGGCATATAAATAAAATTAAATACAAATAAATACAAAATGTGGTTACCCTTTCTTGTCCTGCTTCTTTTCTTGAGTGAAGAAGAAAAATGAAGTAAAAGACTAAAATTTGTTTGATTTATATTCTGCAGGTGCTCTTTAGAAGGCAGAGTCAAAGGTTGAAAGAGATAGAAAAAAATTCTTTCCTTCTCAAAGTGAAGAACAGCAAAAGTTTGCACTTTTGGAAGATTGTGGGCAATAAAGGTTGAACTCACAAAAATGTTATGAATTTTTGCTTCATGGTTTCCTGAACAAGCTATTATATCTGATTTGCACATGATACTAAGCAATAATAGGTTAGGGTAAGGCATTTTTTGGGGACTCTGTTTGGCTCCTAATTCTTGCATGTTCCCTGATAAAGAAGGGAAATGTTCCTAAGCTGCCCAAATCCAACCTTGGCACTAAATGGATGTGCTGGGTAAATGAAAGGAATCAGAACCAAGCAATGAAGTAAAAAGAGAGAGCAGCCTTCCACTAATTTTTGTGCAAAATGTCCAGCCAATCACATTAATAGCAATTTGTACTGACTATCTATGGCATGGCTCACATTTTAAATGCACCATTCCATTTTTCTTCTGGAGCAAAGTGCACTTTTTTTTCCTGTACAAAGTCTTAATGAACAGAGTCTTGATTTATCTAAGACTCCCTTGCTCCTCAGATAAAAGTGGAACTTTCCATAGCATGGAAATACCACTAGGAAGAAGACTAAGCATTATAGTTGGAAGCCAAAACCCAACAAACCACATTACAGGCCATTATACTTTCAATTTATTATTTTCATATTGCATTTCTTTCTTTCCTCTATGGGATTGATTTAAACAATATCAAGACTTAGCAAATTTATGAAGAAATATAAAGTGAGTTTTAGAAGGTTTTCCATAAACATTATATTATTACTTGTTTATGTCTTAGTTCCATGTTAATTCGTAAGTCTCTGGGTTCCTTTTTCTCTCTGATGCCTTTAGTTTTAAGGTCTTCCAGTATACCACTGTTCACAATTTCACTTTGCAATAGATGCTGTAAAAAATCTTGTACCGTGGTGCTTTCCACCTCTTGCTCCAAATAACCATAGAAATCTAGAAAACATAAATCGTATTGAGATTGAATGTAAAATGGCATGTTTAAACTTTCTGTCCTAAATCAGGAATTGCAACTTTCAATCTCCACATGTGCCATCCCCAATGTCCTATTTGTGTTTCCCAGAGCACTCCACAACACCAAAAATGAGCTACAAATGTTTGTTTCATGAAGGCATTTATATTTAGAAATGGTAAACCATGGTGGAAATCACAAGCCTCTGTGAGCTAAAATACACTTATTTCTATCCTTAAAATCTCTCCATACACAGTCCAATTACACTGAGTTTGGAACTCTGAAATTTAGTAGCAAAATATCACTTTCCAGTAGCATGATTTTCAGCTTAAGAATGGTAAAATAAGAGTGGAAAATACAGGTACTAAGCCAGGGGTGTCAAACTGCCGGCCCGCGGGCTGGATGAGTCATCCGGAAGCCACGCCCACCCCATTGCCAGCAATGGCAAAACCGTCCCGATACGTTGTGCGATGTCACGTGACATCGCGAGTTGGACATGTCTGTACTAAGTCTTTGAAAACATGAATGGCTATTTTTTTAATAGTTATTTTCCTTGATTGTTCTGTGGGTGGAAAGATCAAAGTAATATTTGTTACATCATTTTCTAAAAAATATTTTAATTTCTCTTTGTAAGATTGCCTACAAGGAACACAACAAATGAGAGAAGGGCTCTTCCATGACAGCCCTGTCTTTCTGGAAAAGGATAGTTTTTGGGCTTAGTTATGCCACAACAATGCAATTTTCTCAGAGTGAGTTTATTGACTATTTAGATTATTAGATACCGTAGTGTTTTACTTTCAATTTAATTGTTTTGTGTGAATTTTTCCAGTACTTGCTATTATAATAGTGTACCAGGAGAGTTTTTGCTATTATGAGAATACTTAAAATAAATTTAAAATCAGTCTCACCATCAAATTTTTTATATTTCTGAAAGCCAGCAACAGGCTCTTGTAAAGGAACAGAGTTAGGTGCTGAATTTTGAACATCGTTGTCTTCATCACTTGCCAGTTCCAATTTCAATTTTGAATTCATCCAATCATTAAGCAACTCTTGAGCTGCAATAATGAAAGCAGTAAAAATATTACTAGATTCAAAATTATCAATAAGCAAAAGTTTAAAATATGAAAAGGAATCTTACACCCCAAACCTAAACTCTGCTTAGAGGCAAATCAAACTGGCTTCTGCACTATTAGTCTCAAGGAGATTTATCCAAGATTTTTATTCTGATTTGTTAAAAATTCTTGTTATTATTTATAGCTTATCTTTTATCTGGAAGCTCACAAGCCTAGGAGGAATTGGGAAGGTATAAATCTCATTAGTTAAAATGATACATAGATATTTAACAACATCTATACAATAAATTTAAAGCTATCAATTACATATAATCACCACTTTGAATAACTGAGACATGCTTCTTCAAATTTCTGTATAAAGTTAAACAGATATTGCCTTCCACCATCATACATACACCAGGTATTTTCATAATCTCTTGGCACAAGAGATTATGTAATCCCACAAAATTACAAAATTGTAAAAGGGAGATGGGAGAAGAGATCCCCGCTTTTCTAGGGATGGGTAATCTATTGCTCAATGTTCTACAATATAGTAAAAAAAAAATCCCAATTATTCTGGATTAGCTGGAGTCCACAGCAAAATGTTTACGAAATACCTTCTACATATGCTTCATCGTGATCTAGCAGCTGATCTGTTGTTTCCAAATCCAGTACTGGACCATGAAATCCATGAGAATGGGATGTCTTTTTTAATGAAAAAGCTTCAGAAACAGCAAATTCGGAGGCTTGTTCCACCCGCTGAATTTTTTTTTTAAAAAATAGAAAAGTTATTAAGATCCACTTATTTTGTCTAGCACAAAAGAAGATACTTTGATTGGCGCTAAGCTGGGAAGCACATGGTATTTATTCTGCTGGCTTTATCTTTTTAATGTTGGTCTTTTTATGTATTGGAGGGTACCTCTTTTATTGATGCATTATTTTATATTAATAGTTAGACAGTTTTTTGAAACTGAGAAGCATATTAATATTTAATACTTAGAATATCATCCACTAAAATGACTAGAATTTAAATTATCTGTCCCACTGATTTCAGTGAATTTGCTTAAAACATAACTAAACCCACAACAATTGTAATTCTTAGAGGATGTTAGAATTGAGTCGTCTCAGCAATATACATGAGTTCTTTTGATACATATGAAGAGTCCTTTAGAAATGCCATATCAATGGATGAATTTCCATAAGGAAATTGCTAAGAAAAGACTATGTAAACCATATATTCTCATCTATCCTGGCCTGAGGAGCTTTTTTTCCACCCCTACTATGACCAGTGGAAGTCTAGCACTTAATAGTTGTACTTTGAACTGTACTAGAAATATGTATTAGTGAATAAATGTTGTTGTCTTCAAAATAAGGCACTTTTAATTCCATAAATCCAGGTTTTAAACACCCAATTGATTCTCAGTTGTCTAGAGCAGTCTAGAAGAACATGTTTAACTGCAATTACAAGGCTTAAGTAAAATCATAAATATATGACACACATATATATGGCATATATACATATGTATATATCCCATGTACATACAGTGTATGGGGTGTATATATACTGGAGCTCAAAATTTCCATTACTAAGAGGGGCATGAATTTGGACTGTCCTAGTCCAACTCTTAATCATTATGTCACACTGGTTCTATCAGTAAATTATAGATTTATACACATTTCTCAATATAATTATTTATATGTATTTATTATTTTCTTCTAATAATAATTGTAATAGACTTTAACATTTGGGCAATTAACAGTCCAGTATTATTCATAATTATTCAGAAAAGGAGTCTTATTGGATTAAAGGAATCTTACCAGGGAATTCAAGATTTCTTCCCATTGAATAAGAAATTATTTTTTTCAGATATTTAAGACTGAACATTATTTTTCCTTACCTTTATCCAGTGCTCTATATTGTCAGCATCAAACTGTGGCTGGGAATTAAAGAATAAAATATTTTAATTTTCAGTTAAAGATAAAGTGGAAGTAAAATTAAGAGATCTCTATGGATGCCTTTATATAAGATCTCCCATTTTGTAAAACTTTAATGAAATTAATTAGTATATTTTTATTTACTACCATATATTTATGTAATGCTATTCAATAGGCATAGTCTTTGATTTACATTAACTCATTTTACAGTAAATATTCTCAAAATAAATGAGACAAAATATTAGTTATTACTGCAAGCACATTTAAAGAAATGATGGAAATACACATACTTAGGTGTCTACAGAAAAATGTTTTCTTCTGTTCTTTCATTGATCAAAGGGCTCTAGTGGTTCTTCATAACTTCTATAAGAAGGTCCACTTAAATGGCAGTGCAAAGCTGGTTTTGACTTCAAAAAGTTACATAAGATGAGATTTAATTACTTTTTTAGACGGGAAACCATTGAGACATCTTAGAGCTGTGGGACAGACTGAGAAGTCAAAAAAGCAACCCAGATGCTGGCTACACATACAAGTGCTTCTGTATTGCTCCCAAGAAAAAAATGTGTCCACAATAACTGAGGTAGACTTGAAATAGACTTTTCTGTAATAAGGCACCCCGTGAATTTTATCACAGTGCAACAGTGCCCTTTGAATAAGAAAAAAGCTCAGGTTGCATAGCAAAAACCAGATGATAAAGAAAGCCCCTGGGGATTGGAAGTCTACTGCTGCCTAGCAACTGGTACATCTCACTTTATCTATCCTGATATTGGGTACTCTTTCCATGAATTGGTCGAATTCCCCATATCCTGTGGCAACGAGTTCCGTATGTGCTACGTGAGTACATGCGCTTCCTTGCTATTCAGTTACATTAAATAAAGGTACGCTTTAACATTATCCAAAAATGTGACCATCGGATAGCCGGCACAGACTGCTTGGAAAGAGACTTCAGCAATAAGCAGCGGATTGAGTCAACGTCACAGGCTTCTTTTTTACCTTTTGCCGCGATGCTGGCTGATTGAAACGTCGCCAACGATAAAGTTCAGGGCGGGATCGCACGATCGCCATTGAAAAAGCCAAAAAAAGACTCCTCGATTTCCTCTCCGACTCCTCGATTTTCTCTTCGCCTCTCACTGCGCTTGTTACCCGCGCAGTTCGGGTTGGGAGGCGAAGTCCTTTCCTTAAAGCCGAACCGACGACCGACGACCGACGACGAAGGCAAAGCGCGTAAGCCGTACGCTTCGGAGCAAAAGCGGTCAGTGGCGTCCTCAAGCTTTGTCATGGCAACATTTCCTCCAAGTAGTGGGCGCTTTTCTCCCTCCTTCCTATCAAATCCGCGGCCGTCGACTTTTTATGACGTAAACATTCTCCATTGGAGAACCAGTATTACGAAAAAATCAAAGGCCGTAACGGAAGCGGCGTTTTATCGCGTGCGGGGGTTGATGTGTAAGTATAGTTGCGCGTGATTCAATTGCTATTTACACTCTTGGCCAAAAGCAAGTACGGTATTGTCCCAAAGGTGCTTTTTCAGGAGGCAACTGGACTTTCTTGTTTTTCTTTGAAGATGTTTCTCTTCTCATCCGAGAAGCTTCTTCAGCTCTGACTGGATGGTGGGGATGGAAGGATTTATATTCCTTGCGGACAGCCGGTCATTTTCATTGTGCAAGGAATATAAATCCTTCCATTCCCCACCATTCAGTCAGAGCTGAAGAAGTTTCTTGGATGAGAAGCGAAACGTCTTCAAAGAAAAACAAAAAAGTCCAGTTGCCCCTGAAAAAGCACCTTTGGGATAATCACGATTTGGATGACTGAGAATCTCCATAGACAGGTACCGTATTGTGGGTACGGGGTTTGCTAGTTTCGTCTCCTGCTTTCTTTTATCTAGTCTGTCCATAGGACTAGATAACCCCTTCCCCCCCAAGAAAACCCTGGTGCCTCAGTTGTATCATAATCATGACTTCTGTATCCCTCATGCACTTGATTCTGGAGATGCTGTCACAGCACATTTGGAGGTCTACGGAGATTCTCAATCATCCAGGTCATGGTTGTCCCAAAGGTGCTTTTTCAAAAGGCAACTGGGCTTTTTAATTTTTTTTTTCTTGAAAACGTTTTGCTTCTCCAAGAAGTTTCTTTAGTTGTGACAAAGTCCAGTTGCCTTTGGAAAAAAGTACTTTTGGAGCATATTCGGAGGGCGTTGGATTGGGTTTTCTGTACATTATAAGCAAAATATATTAAGAAAAGTTTCTATTGTATACTTGCTTTACTATTGTAGTTTGGAGAGCCACTGATCTAGAGAAAATTAACAAGCTTTTTTAAAAAAAAATAATACAAACCTTTTTTCATTTAATGGAATTAAAGCATTCAGCGTTATGAGGCTCTCACTCTAGTGTAGGCCTTCCAAATCTTGGTTGCAAAAATCTGAAGGATCACAAAATGTCACTACAAAGAGACAAGAAAATATACCCCTTGCCATCCCTTTAGTGGTCATTATAGACTTGCGTGAAGCCTAGATTTAGTAGCCATACCACAGAGTGTTATTCCAGTCCATTACCAGTATTATAAATATTTATTATTTCCTAGTCCATATAAGTGGCATGTTTTGGTGTATAAATTAAGTAAGGTATCCTGATGTCTTCTACATAATTTGGACTCTACTTCATGCAGTCCATTCTCATTGGTGCTTATGAGAGTTGAAAACAAAACATGCATAGTAATTCATTACTTTTATTTGAATGCAGGGAAAATAGTAATGCCCTCCATGATACAAAATTTCATGCAATATCAGTGTAAGATAAATAATATATCATGATCATTATACTTAGAGATAACTGGTTCAAGATGTTTATTGATGCTATATTGCTTCAGTATTGATAGTTAAAATAACTCATTTTCTACAAGTTGTTAGAAATGCCATAATCATCTTGAAACATTTCATATTTGATAACAATGTTGTAAAGTCCATCAGTTCTGGAAGATAATTTATTATAGAATGAAAACAAATTCTAAATGTTAAATTCCTTTTCTGGTAGCCATTTTTCTGTTAAAGGTACCCAAGGTACAAAGTATAGCTAGTTGACTTTGCAAATGGTAACAGCTGCCAGGATACTATATGCTTTTAATTGGAAATCACATATAATTCCCTCCATAGAAAAAATATGTTGTAACACTGTGCATCTTCTCACATATAGACTTTTATTGCATTCATACTTTGAGTTTCTCTTAATACACGGCTTCCATATCTAAGTTTTTATTTGGTTTCCTAAATAAAGGTAAACTTCTTAAATCAGCAGAAATTTTGTAATTTTTCATTTTGACATGATTACCATTAACCGCTGTTGTAGTTAATTATTGCACATTGACTTGATATTATGAAAATATTTGTAAATATTTTAATTGACATAAGTTGCTCTAATATGCAGCACCAATCAAGTATTGCTTTGAAATTTTTATTGAGAATTGTGAAGTTTGTCAGCCTGTTTTCTATTTTTTTCTTATTTTCCTTTCCATTTTTTCTAGATGGTTTTTTAAAAAATATCTAATAAAATAAAAGATTGTATTAAAAATTTACTACTATACTATTTTTCTTGATTTGTGGAAGTGTTATGAATAAATGCCTTAAATCACAAACTCCACAAATGTTCCAAAATGTTAGCCTCTCTCATTCCAATGATTTCATGACATCAGCAGCCACATTCTCTATGTTATAATTCCTTCCAAACTGCATACCATATTTCTTTCTTAACTAAACATCACACTAGAAATCCATATGTGTATAGAATATAACTTATATTTTACAAGAATCAATAGATGCTCTATATTTTATAAGATAAAATAAAATTATAAAATGGAATGGGAGCTATTGGAAAAAATAAGTTCTTTGCTACAACTGTTGTAAACGTGTACAGTTTTCCTCAGAAGGGGCATTCTCAATTTTCTGAATGAATATTGTAAAAATCAGAGAGGTGCGGCATTTGTTTGACAAAAGGCTCTGCTTATTGATCATTTGCTGTTGTCTCAGGTGTGTTGATGAAGATGAAATTAAATCTCTGCAAAATAGTTGATGGCTGTCGCCTTGGGACATTGACGAATCTTGGCAAGAAAGGGGTTCAGTCGATGGAAATTCCAGGATGTCTGCTTTATACCAAAATGGGATCAGCACCACACCTTACCTACGATACACTAGAGAATGTTCAAGGTGTTCCTGTGGTTCGCCAGATTCCACTTACAACACTGTGAGTGCAATTTCAGCTTTTGTAGGTAAAAGAGATGCGGCAAATGCAGACTTTGATCTGATTTCTTTTAAGATATGAGTATGTTTTACATACGTAAATATGTATGTAATATATTAATTTTTGCACTCCTGATAGAATTACATTCAAACACTGCTGTCCTATTTGTGCAAATATAGACCTTTTAATTTCAGCAGGATTCATTCTCAAAATTCTTCAATTAGCTCTAGGATTGCAGCATGAGATTCCAATGATACAGTGGTTTTATATGCTAGCATTAAACTGCATAATCTTTTAGTTTACTGGTCATGTATAGCAACACTAGTCGCTTCTGAGGAAACTGTTTTTGCACTTTAAGAAGTACTTTGCATTATAATTCCTCAACTATATTAGATAAAAGATATTTATTGGATAGTGAGTAGCTATTACCTCGGACTTCAGTGAATTCATATGTTGAAATGCTTTTCAAAATGCATTATTTACATTTTGTCCATTTATGTCTTATGTCTAAAATGCATCACTTAGATAGTTGTCTATATCTAACATGTTTTTTGTTTGGGTGCAGAGCAGATCTTCAAGAGGTCTTGCAGGAATATAAAGAAGGAATTGGAAAATTCATAGGTAAAAGTATAGGGGTAGCTTTTCAATCATTAATGGAGCATATTAAAGTATGTGTCATTGCATTGAAAACTATTTGGAATAGCATGTTATCCATATATCCCTAAAACCTTTATGTTTCTAACTTTAAACTGGACAAAAAGATGCATCATAGGGCAAAAATATGTCAACAAAGTACCTCAAATGAGCTAACTTACAGAATGCCATGACCCAATACTCCTGAAGAAATGAATGAATCTGTTGTAACTGGTTCAGTGCTGCTGGTCTGCTGTGTGAGCCTGAAATTCAGCAAATCTGTGATAATTTCCAGGCTGCTTGCATTATTCTGAGGAATTACGGCTCCCTCAATTAGCAGCACCCACTTAGGCAAGGGATGGAAGGAAGGGGGAATAGGGGAGAAAAAATATCTGTGAGCAGAAATTAATTGTCCCCCTAACTCTCCAGCTGTCATGATGGGAACAATAACAAATGTGGAATCCTTAGTGCTATCTCAGCTTGATTTTTCAGAGAGCATCAAGCTCTCCACAGTTCAACTCTTAAAAGCTATGTATATTCTCTTTTATTGGTAATAGTATGTTTCTTGCATTTTTACTAATTGTAAGAGTCAGTAAGAAATTCTGATTTTTTTTTTGCAATGTTTAGTCGACATTGCAAAAGAGTATCTTTTTTTCTAAGTGAAATCAATAAATGTGATACTCCCATGTGAGAGCTTAAGGAGCTGAATTCCTGGAAATAAAATTAATACTTTTTATGAGCGATTCCCATAAAGCATGCTTTTGGCAACCTTTGTTTGCTAATTTTTGATCAGTTATGATCCAGGAGATATACCTTTGGATTTAAATAAGGATGAGGTGGATAAAGACATGATCCATTTGAAATTATAGGATAGAGATGGCACTGGTGATTGACTTTTGCTTTTTGCAAAGGATGATGATTAAATTATTTAGGATTTATTTAGAAGTTTAATATAGTTTTTGACTGTAGTCTGTATGAAGTGTCAAACCTAGAGGCCTTTCCATTTTTATTATTAAATTTGAAATCCTTAAATTCTGTACCACTTATATCATACAACAGTCTAGCCATTCTGTGCAAATTTTGAAGTGAGCTTTAGCTCCTGAAAATGTATGCTCTTTTTTAAAAAAAATGTTACTGGAATAAGTTGCTATCAGAGTCCTTCTGATGTTTTTGTTACCATAAACTAACAAGGTAGATTACATTGTCCTGAAAAGTAACTAGAAATGATTAGTGGAATGTTATAGTTTTTGGAGTTTTTGGCTATTAATAATTTATTTAAGTGATACAATACAGTATTATGATAGAAAAATTCATTCTCTATATTAAAGATAACATTTTATTTTGGACTCAGGTATACCAGAATCTATATTATATTGCTCCCTTCAAGACCCTGCTGTTTGCTCCCCTCATGGCTACAACAGCATGAAGGTATAGTAAATTTGAGTATTTAGTGACTTTTCAGTCTTAGCTATTCACTCCCCTCCCCTACTATTTTTTAAGGAATGATAGTACTGTAGTAGTGGCAGCAACTGAAGATTCCTGCATAGCCAGATGAAAAACAAGTAGGTGAGTGGAATTAATTCATAAAATCATCTATTTTTTTTTTCTTTCCTTATTTCTGGCAGGCTGTATCTATATGGAACAATAGAGGACGGAAAGAATTCACAGCATCAAAGTTCATGGACATCCAAAAGGTTATCCAACCAGACTGGTTCCAGTGTTTATCAGATGGAGACACTATTTCAGGAGACATCTCTAGAAAAAAAGCCAAGAAATCTGTAGATCGATCATTGTGCTTTTTGGATGAATGTCTGCAGCTGCAAGAAAATTCTCCAGTAAGTGTTAAATCTTTTTGAGGTGTATATACACATTGTAGTTACTTGCTAATTTTTAGATAGTTTGGTGAACGCAACTTGCAAAATTTTTGCATTGTTTCTGACAACTCCTATATTTATGAATCTATAGAACAGAATAAGTACACTGTCTTTTTCTTTCTTTCTGTGTTCTTTTCTGTTGTATAGGACTAAATATAAGATTCATCCCCTTTGTATTATTAATTTAATTTTATATTAATAAACCAAATTATTTTAAGGCTGTGTTGTTGTGCACTCTTCCACAAACCCTTTTGCAAAAACACCACAGCACTCTAATTGGAGCCATTTCAGTTTCTCAAATGGAAACTTTATTTCTCTGTCAGAATCTGTGAATATCATTTTATTTAAAATGTTTATATCTTGTCTTTATAAAGCCCTCGAATCTTGAAATAAATATTTAAAATAATAATACAAAATAAATTTCATATGGAGTCTCTATCTTTGTGTTGGAAGAAATGCCAATTATAATGAAAAAGTAACTTTAATATATGTATTGAGAAACTAGTATATACACTTTTTTTTTCCAAAACAAAAATTGCTCTAGTATTAGTCATTTGGCCTTTTAAAATAATAATAAAAAAAACTAGTTTAAATTTCAGGTAGGAAAAATAATGCCCAAAGTCTTTTATAAAGAAGTGGCAATTAAATCTGAATAGGAAATTATATGTCTCTAATGGAAGAAAATTTCAATCTGCTAGGAAAAATAGTTTAAAAATAGTTAAAATATTCTTAACTAGAGCCATCAATAGTAAGACTATGAATCATACTTGAATTTAAAGTATTGCCTAAGATCATAATATTAATGATAAAGGGATGGAAGAAAAAATAAATGCCAGCTTATTTTAAGTTTTTTGTTCTGTGCTCACCCTATACTTATTGTTTGATATCACTGGTGCAACAATTTGCTGGAAAGCAGATTACTTGCCATTCCAACTCTGTGCAACATCTGTTGAGCCAAAGATGTATTTATATTTTATATAAGTATATGACTTTCTTTTATACCAGGAATTGCAACAGAGTTTAATGATTGGAGTTATTGAAGGTGGAGATGTGCTGGAGGAAAGACTAAGGTCAGCCAGGGAGACTGCCAAGAGGCCAGTGGCTGGATTTCTTTTGGATGCCTTTCAAGGAAATACCATGACTAAAGAAACTAAATTGGAGCTCTTATCCTCAGTTACAGCTGAACTGCCAGAAGATAAACCAAGGTCAGAGCTAAATGGGATTTTTATTTAAGCATACCTAATACAGCACTTGGAGGATTTTCAGAAACTCAGAGCACTTTTAAAGGAATTACTGTATTAGGTGGTATTGCAAAAGTAGATTTTAGTAATTTAAGACAGTCTTGGAAAATTTTTAGCTAATGTTTGCTGCATGAGCTACCCCTGTCCCTTTGTTTTATTGTCCACAGCACCCACAATTATGCTAGGAAGTAAGAAAATGGCCATTTTTAAAGCAATCTGGGGATCTTTTAAAGTTATGTCATTCACCCAATTACATTCAAAATCAGGTAAAAAAGGTTGGAATTTGTGATCCCATTATTTGTGATTATTAAGTTTGAAATTATTATAATATCATTAATACAGATACATACAAGTTATACATTATTTTTGTAAATTCATTTAGCACCATAAAATTATTATTTTAAAAAATGATACTAGTATTTTTCAACTATTGTAGTACTACTTCAAATTGACAATGAGGCCTCAGTCAAAATCTCATTCTGTGAATTGCAGATCCTTATTTTATGAAGCCATCTGCAAATAACCATTTTGAGTAAAGAATGTTGCCAACTGAAGCTCTGAATATTTTTTTATTTGATTTGATTTGATTATGCACTGCCAAAATGACTCTACATAGTATACAATGATTTGATTACGCACTGCCAAAATGACTCTACATAGTATACAATGATTTGATTACGCACTGCCAAAATGACTCTACATAGTATACAATATCAAACAAACAAGACAAAAAACAATACAATAAAAATAAGATAACATCTCATCATGCAATACATTGTATATACGAAGACTCAACCAATAAATGGGACCCATCCACCCGACTCCACCTGGAATATACCCAGGGATCAACTTGGGAAAACAACATGCTTTCCAGTTTTTAAAGTGCATGTGTGTATGTGTTTGTACATGAAAAGAACAAGACTTGGTTTCAGAGTTGTCTAGTTCAGCTTCGAATCCTATTGTTCAATGTTCCTTAGGAGAACCCAATTCTCTTTAATTCTCACCAAAAAGTCTTTCAAAAATAATTGATATTGAATAATAGCACAGTTTGCCTTCCTCATGATAAACAGGTGATTTTTATAATAATTATCATTTTTGTTCTCTCAAGTTTAGATAAAGATGTATTATACAAATAAAGGGAGACAACAGTATGCCTGTCAAATTTTGCAGGCGTTACTCTATTTTTAATAAGTATCTTAGATTGCTATTAGAAAGGTTGCATTTAAGGAACTACAGATGTTAGTGAATTGTGTAATTGTTTTGTTAACAGAATGTAATTATCTTATTCAGGAAGCTTAAAAACTAAATTAGTTTATATAGTTGTCAGCACATTACTCCTGTGGAGAGCAAAATTGCTATTCCTTCACTTCTCCAGTCTTGTCAGATGTGCCAAATGAATTTAGAGTCTGGCATCCCTAATAACAGTGCAAGAAGCTTGGTAAATCCAGCTACATTTTCAAGCCCCAGGGAGACATTTTGGTGTATGCTGTTGGGAAAACATTGTTTCATTTGTATTTCAAAACATTATTTTGATCACAACAAGGTTACATTGAATTAGAAATTCTGAAAGTCAGTTTTGCAATATACTAATACTGTGATTTATCCCCTTTGCTTTGGTTTGGTTTTCCATGACAACAAGAGAATGCTAAAAAATGTGTGTATTGTGTATTTGAGTGTAGTTGGATTTATTTTTTTTATTTTTTTTTGCTTTAACCAAACATGACTCGGGATGATTGTATGGAAAAAGTCTAGTCAACATTTTCGGAAGTGGTTTGCCATTGGCTTGTTTTAGGGCTAAGAGAGGATGACTGGTACAAAATCCTTTAGTTAGTTTCCATGCCAAAGCAAGAGTAGAACTTAAGTTTACTTGCTTCAAGTCCAGTATATTAGCCATTAGATCAAATGAGCTTTCAGGTATATTTTTATGCATCCTCAGTTTTAAGAAGCTCTGTATATTACAATACTATCATTACATATAGTTCTGTAGTGATGTAATGCCAGGAGTCCAGTGCAGCTTTCCATACTTCCAGAATGGTACAGAGGCTTCTGGCAGTGCAAAAATATCATTAAAATGGCTGGATTTTTTTCTCCATTTATTTTGGAAATATACACCACCATCAAGAATCCGAGGATACTGGAGTCTGCAGCTGGAATGTTTACACATTACACACATAAGTATGATATATCCTTCAGAGTTTTAGGCGATTGAGAGTGTTCCCTTTTTCATTTTCTTTCATTGTTAAGAGAACATATATTATGAATCAACAACATAAACTAGCATGTTTAAGAAATTAAAAGCACATTCTCTTGTTACAATTTCATTACCTGTTCCAGTGTGTTACTAAAATAGTTACTGTCATTAGTCAAATATAATGTCCATTGGGATGCAAAGCAATTTGATATTCATTGGGAAATGTTGAAGAACTTAGAAACAAAAAATAATTATGTTGTATCTTCCCTCTTACATTTTAGAGAAAGTTTAGATTAAATTTAGTGGATTCAACTACTATTTCAGGTGCTCAAGATGTTCAAGATATGGTTGGTAACTAATCGATCCTTACAGCAGTTTTTTCCCCCAACTAAGTGCCTTTCAGAAGATTCCCAGAATTTCCATCCAATCTTCCTTTTCTGTAGACAGATTTTGGAAGAAGTACAACACTTCTAGAGGCCTCCCATTTTGGGAGAATGGCTTATATAACAAGTAACTTTCACATAAATTACCTCATAAAGTAGGATAGGAAGTTAGCCTTTGAGGTTTTTCTCATTTACTTCTGAATCTTGGAGCAAGGCTGTTTTGGAATTCTGATAAATCAGAGTATATGAATCCCAAGGTATTTAGAGAGGACTTCTGTCAGGCTTTATGGGACATGCTTCATCTATTATTCAGAAATTTTGTTGGTTATTTGGGACTAGTTATAAATATCTACACGACTTCATTATTAGGCATAATTACTGTAAGTATAACTCAGAACTTGTAAATATAACTCCAGAACTTATTAAGGTAAAATTGGAAAGGAGTATATGAATAGAACGGGAACAAAATAAATTGCAAAAATGTCTATCAATTATTACTTTTTGTTTTGATCTATTGCAGACTAATCCATGGAATTGGTAAACCAGATGAAGTTCTGGAGTGCATTAAAAGAGGAATAGATATTTTCGATAGTTGTTTTCCTTACCAAGTGACAGAACGATGCTGTGCTTTGTCCTTCAGTTATGATTATCAACTGTTTCCTGAATCAGCAGGTATTGGTCTTGATAATCTTTTGTGTATTTTATTGGGATATTTGAATAAAATGTTGGTAATGTGAGCTTTAAAATTCTTTAAATTTTCCTTAAATTTCTTAGATTCTAATCTGTAGACCTATTCCTCTGTTTAACATTCTTCTGAGAATGTTCTAATTATGTTGTTAATCACTTTCTCCTTTTTGTCCTATTGCACTGTAAACAAAACCTCACTTGTTATATTAGAAGTGCTTCTTTCAATTGAAGCTTATGGTTATATTAAGACCACTATTATTTATAGTAAAACCTCAGTTTAGCAGATCTCAGAATAGAAGATTTTGCATTCAGTGAACTAAAGTTCTACAACAGTTTATACAATTATTGTAATAATTTTATTGCATAAATGATATGTAGATACATGTGATCTAATTTCTATCACATTGGTAATGAGATTTTGCAAATGATGTAAATCACCCCAGTGACTTCATATTTGACAACTTTATATGAATAATGACATCTCTTTCCCCCCATTCATTTATTAAAACAAGGTTTTGCTGATGGTTAGTATTTTAAATCAGAAGATTTAAATAACTCCTCATTTCAACCCCATTGGGTGAAGAAAGCAAGATACTTTTTAAGGACTTTTTCTTGTGCTGCTTTTTTCTTAAAAAAGCAAATAAAAAAACGTATATGTTAATCAGAGTCATATGTGCACAATTTGTTGTTTTGTACTTAAGGGCTAGGATTTTCATGCCTTGACAGCTCAGATCTTTTATATCTTTTGTCTTTACATTTTTTAGAAGCTTCTCAAAATTTAACAATTCATACAGGTTCTACAGTAACATGCAAATATTAAATAATCTATTATTTTTCTCACCATTGTAAGACAAGCTGTCAGGTCTCTGTGCATTTTATTAAAGTATATACAAACTCATAATCTAGTTTTAGAATATTCAAAAAATGAAAAGGATTTCCATGTATTTTATATCTTTTTTCCTGATCATGATTATGAAAGATTCATCCTGCTAGACATTTACAGTTGGAAAATAGGATATTTTCTTTTTTAAGATTATATCACTGCCTTGATGGCTCAACTTCCTTTTTCTGATTAAATTGTAAGAGCAAATTGATAGAACATGAATGTTTTAATTAAAAATAAGTACAAGTCCACATTGCATTTAATAAAATTTGGTTAGAAAGTTGTATTGCTTATTTTGTGTAAGTGGATAGTTACAAAACAATGAGAAATGCAGCCATTTACATTTCAAGTTTTTAACATTATATTGTCTCCCTTTAACCTATTTTACTGCCTTGTAAGTATCAAGACTATTTGATTCCACATTTTGTGACAACTATTTTAAATAGTGCCATAGCCTTTAAGTATGAACTTCTACTTTTTTGCAGGTATAAAAGAAGATGAAAAAACAGAAGTGAGGAAAGATGAGGAACAAACAAAAGATGAAACATGCAGTGAAGCTCAAGAAATGACTTCATTTGAAATATATCTAAAAGAAATAAAGTATGTTGGTTTCTGTTTAGTTAAAATTCCAGCTTTTCCTATAGGTGGGTCCCGAGTAATGTTATAGTGGTCTTTGCATTAATTGGGAAATAAGTTCTCCTGAACATTGTGTGCCTAATTTCATAAACAGGTGGTTGTTTAATATTCCCCACTCCCACCTTTTTTGCCTTCTTAAGAACTACTTCTAATTACAGTTGCTGAAAATTATTATTGTGGTTGTTTACCAATTTCACTCAAAAAATGAAGTTTTAGCCCTAATAGATATTTAGCATTTGAAAAGAAAAAATCTCAATTTTTCTCTGAGAAAACCTTAGCTCTTCAAATTTTGCATGATCTGACAAATTACATGGAAACCATTGTCGTCAAAAGGGTCCTTTTTATACTTTATTTATTTATCTGAAAACAAGTACCATTGAATTTAAAGGAACTGTTAAGTCATTTTGCATATGAATTTACTGTATCAAGTCATGGCTGATCAATAATTCTGCAGAATACCAATAATCATTCATTCCTAGTTGCTATTGAATAAATATCCTGTCTTCTGTTTGCTACTAAATATTGTTGATGCTTTCAAAACTGTAGGTATGTCTGGGCGAAGGAAAAATTAGATCACAATCATTTTTTAAAAAACATCATTTTTCATGGCTTGGGATTTGATGCTGTGCTTTAGACATTCTTGGGGGATGATCTTATAGTTAGGGACATTCATGAAACCTTACCTGTCCTATTATATGATGTGTTGAGCCATATAATTTTATAGGGTTAACAGGATACCTAGATATCTTCATCATGATGTTTTTGCAACTATGTGCTTAACAGTCTGGTTATATGGATCTCTTGTAATGTTAAAAATATCATAGAGCTTTCTCAGAGTCTTTTTTCTCCATGAATGACATTATTTAAAAGACAACAGGGTCATACTTGCTGGTTCTGTCTTGTTGCTTGTCCCATACTACTTTGGTCCTGCTGTAATCATGTCATGTATTAAAAAAAAAATCTAAAAAAAAATCCAGCATGCCAAACTTGTAGGGGCAGTTCCCCATATTAAACATTTCTTTTCATATTTTTTTATGCAGGTTGGACCACTAGGGAATACAATAAAATAATATAATCATTACAAAAATAAGTCTGAATAAAAGTATAAAGTACAGAGAACAGCAGTAATTCATACTAAAAAGAAGTTGCTAAGATTTTTCATTATGAAAATCATGACAGCATATATTTTTAAATTTCTTAACATTCCGGTTGGTGTTCTCTTAACTGATAAGTTTTTTGTCAACTGATCTAATATCTGTTGTTAATTTCAACCACAACATTACAGCAAAATATGCTAGCAGGTCTCTAGATTGTAAGGTCCTTAAACTGATGACCTGTTCTGACATTTTTTTGAAGAACCATGTATATGGATAATGGTATATAATGATGATAATATTAGTGACCATTAAGTGTTCATGCTGTATTCAACAATTAACTTATAGTTAGTTTTTAGAGTTACCACATTGGTCCCAAAGTTTAGGCTTAGCTGCATGGATGATTTACTTCTTATTCATGAATGTGCTTTTCTCTTTTAGGTACCAGGATGATTTTAATCCTTTAGTAAATGGATGCTCATGCTATTGCTGTCAAAACCACAGTCGTGCTTATATTCATCACCTCCTCATAACCAAAGAGCTGCTGGCTTATGTCCTTCTTACGATGCATAACTTTCAGCATTACTTTAGCTTCTTTTCTTCTATCCGAAATGCTTTGAAAGAAGATAAGTTGGATCAATTGAGCATGATTATCAGCAGGCAAGCCCTCTGAGGTCAGATATGTAAAAAAACAAAAAAAAAAAAACTGCTTCACCAACCTGGCTTACCCTTCTGGATCAATATTATGGAGAAGAGCTGGTATACAATGAGGGATACCACGACAAAAGAAAATCCATATTTTGCCTAACATCTCACATCTGAGTATAACTTTCTTAGTCCCTATAATTTTGGGAAAGGTTGAGATTTTTTTTTAGAGGTATTAATCTTTGAAAAAGATAAAAATAAGGATATTCTCTATAAGAATTCACATATTTTTCTGAATTGTATTAATGATATTAATAATTTATGGACATTTGAACGGCAGTGAGAAGAAAAGAACATCAACTAATCAGGAGAATGGGAAAACAACTCCACATCAGTTTGAGATACAAGTGTACTATTATTGTATATTAATTTATTTTGTTTTTTTGTTTTTTTAAAATATCAGGAAGAGATGACATACAGTAGCTAAAAATCATAGGAAAAATATAGTTCCTGTTATGAATTATGTCTCACTTGGACACTTCTGATGGTGGGAACATTTTAAAATAATGCATTCCTTAAAGTCTTCTGTTTTCTTGTTGAATAGAGAGCTTTTTACATATGTTGTAAGTTGTCTATTAGAGAACCTGATTTTAATAATAACAAAAAGTGGCTGTTTATCTCAAGGGTATGGATTGCATTCTTTCAACAATATCCTTTTACGGTAGTGTTTTGAGAGGGGGATGAGTAAGGTTTTGATAGTAAAAGAAAATCTAGCAAATAATATATTTCAGGTTTCTTTATATTATTTCTTCAATTTTCTTTTTTACTGGATTTTTTTACTATTATATTTGAACATTAAAAGTTTTTATATTATTAAATTTATTATACTGCATGGGGAACTTTAATAAAACCCTTAAATTTTTGTATTCCATCTGGGAAATGCAGTGAGGAATGTGGAAAATAAAAGAGAAGGAGGGAACTCATAAAATAGAGAAAAACTGTGAGAGAGGGAAGATCAAGCAAGATGATTCTGCAAAAGGCCAATATGAAAACTGGAGTGATAAATTGTCCCCATCTCTCTTGTAAGAGCCAAGTCTAATTAAGAAAGAGCTGGATTTAAGCATTACTGAAAACAATACAGTAATTATCAGTGGTCAATATGAATTTGTCAAAAAAACATCTTAATTGACTTACCTTATTTCATGTTTTGATCAATCATGTTAAATGATTCACACATGTAATACCATTATAGTGTGAGCTGTATTGATCGCCTGGTTGTTTTCAGATGCAATCCAAGGTGCTGATTGTCACCTTTAAAGCTCTTCGGGCTTGGGACCAGATTACATAAAACCACCTTGCAGTGATTTCTACCTGTCCAAATTTGTCTGATAGGTTGAGAATGCTAAAGGTCTTGTCAGCCAAGGAATGTTGGCTGGCGGGGCCTAGGAGACATACCTTTTCTGCCATAGTCCCTATCCTCTGGAACATTCTTTCCTCAGTTGAGGATGGTCACTGCAGATAAGTCACTTTTCTTGGTACCACCAAATGTATTTCCTTAATAGATAAAACTCACAAAATGCCCTTCCTTCCCACTCTGATGGGCCAGATAGATGTAACTGGGGAGAGGTAGTCCTTTAAATAACCTGGTTTCAATTCAGGGTTTAAATGTGATAGGTAGCATCTTCAATTACACCCAGAAGCAAATCAGCAATCAATGCAACTCCTGTAAAAGGTGACAGGTGCACAGATTTGGCTTGCACAAAATTGGGTGGGCCACTGTGTTTTGAACCCACTGAAATTACCAGATACTGTTCAGAGTAGTCCCATGTAAAGCACATTACAATAGTCCAAAGGGGAGGTGAGCAGGACACAAGTGACTTTGAGAAGGGCCTAGTGATGAATGGACATAACTGGCACACAACACACAGTTGTGCAAAAACTCTCCTGGCCATTATTGCCACCAGGAGTTGTGAGTCCAGGAGAACTCCCAGGTTATGCACCAGGTGTCTGGGGTAGTGCAATCCAATCCACAAGATGGCAAATCCCCAAGAATCAAGGAGCACTGCAGTTAATACTATTACATCTTGCCATGGCTCAGCTTAACTTGTTGCTCCTCACTCAGACCTCAACACTCTCCAGGCACCAAGAAAGGTCAGTTATAGCATTGTTTAGCTCACCATGGGCAGAGATGTAGAGGTGAGTATTATCAGCATACCGATAATCTCTCACCCCATGATGACCCAGCAGTTTCATGTAGATATTAAACAGGAGCAGAGAGAGACTGATCCTTGCAGGATCATCTAAAGCAGATGCTAAGGGTCATAGCTCTTGCTCCTGATCAACACTGATTCTGGCAGCCAGGATTGTGTTTGCACAAAATTGGAAAGCACTGAAAGCCCCCCCAGCGGCAGAGGTGATTGGGAAAATACTGGAATGTGCAGAAATGAATAGACTAACAATGACAAAGATAAGACAGAGTCAGACTACTATGAAATCTGGGGAACGTTTTATGATTAGCTGAAAAGAGAATACGGTTAAAAGATAGTTAACATCAATTTAGATCAGTGGTTCTCAATCTGTGGGTCGGGACCCCATTTGGGGTCGAACGACCATTTCACGGGGGTCGCCAAACAACGCAGTCCGCCATTTTTTTCCCCTTTTTCCTTAGCTGTGCTACTCCCTTTTATTCTATTGGCTTTTGAAAGCCAATAGAATAGACTCTCTTGAATAGAGTCTAATTCTATTGGCTTTCAAAAGCCAATAGGAATTGTCCAGGCTGTCTCTGCCCTGCTGAGACCGCCAAAAGTCCCATTCTGCAAACGGTGCTGCACCAGTTGAGTAGTCCTCGACTTACGACCAGTTGAGTAGTTCTCGACTTACAACCAGTTGGGGGTCGCGGCATTAAAAAGGTTGAGAACCACTGATTTAGTTGGAAGAAGAAGGAGCAGATAAGGAGGGAGACCCAGGCGACACAGTATTGAATAACTGGAGGTTGTATAAATATTTATAGAAATATATATCTAGAAGATTAGATAAATAGAAGTATTAATGTAAGAGAAAATTAATCTTATTGTATATAATACAGATAGGGAAATTTGGAGAGAGGAGTTGCTTGGACATTACCCCTGAATTGTATCTGAAGAGGGATAAGAGGGAACAAAGGAAAGGAGAGAGAAAAGAGTAAAGGAGGGGAGAAGGAAGTAGGAAGGTTGGAGGAGAAGTGGGGAGAAAGGAGAGGAGAGTGGTGAAGGAAAGAGAAGAGGAGAGGAAGAAGAGGGAAGTAGGGAAGAGAAGAAAGGGAGAAAGAAGGTAGAGAAGAAGGAGTGTGAATACAGTGAAAGGGGAAATGGGCGAGCAACACCAAAAGTTATGTGTATGTATTTATTTCATTTTATTAAAAGTATCTTATATATGAATGTTAAAAGAATGTATGTTAACATCTGATAAATATCACGGTATATCTATGGGGGAGAGTTTGGAAAAATAAAAAATTATTAAAAAAAAAAAACACTGACTAGAAACGGCCTCAGAGGAGGAAGCTAACCTAGGACAACACTGCACGATCCCTATCCCACTCCTGACAGAGATCACCAGAAACATGATCTGTGGCATTTCCATCCCATATCCAGGCCTGAATGCCAACAGAATGGGCCCCAAAAAATTCATTTCCTCCAGGATCTTCTGGGGCTGCAGCACACTCCCATCTTGACAACCTTCCCGAGAAAGCGAAGGTTGAAGGCAGGATGAAAGCTTCCCCTTAAGGTGAGATTTAGCTGCAAGGTGGGACCGAGTTTCATCATCTGTTTCAAAGTAAGATTCACAAAGAGCAAATCAGAGGGAGAAAGTGCCTGATGGAACTCAATTGCTAAAACAATCGAATGTAGTGTATGTAATCATTGTTATTGATAATTAAGCCTAGCATGATGAGTTGTTTTTTTTTTTTTTGTGGTTGCATTACTGAAACTTCCAGAACAACTTACTCCAGAAAGTCTGTTTGAATTCAATTTCTTGACCTAGTAAATATATTACAAGTAATTACAATGACTTCTTTGTATGAAAAGAATTAACTAATTTGGTTGGTGGATTGGGACAAGTGGATTTATTAAACAAATAGTTTATTGTGCTTCATGAAAAATAGTCTTTAGAGTAACTTGCCTGTTTGACCAATGGTCCTGTATGTGTCCTTATGAAAGTGCCCTCACATTATAAGGTGGTTATCAGGATCTTCAGATCTATAGATGTCTATAGGCAGCCGGTGATGGTACTGAAGAAATTTATGGAATATGCATAGGGTAGAAAAAGTGAAGAAAATGAAGAGTACAGAAGGTCTTCCCATTTTAAGTGGCAAATCATCTGAATATCACCCCCAAATATTTATGCTAGGAGATATCTTAAAAGTGTAATTCTATTAAAGTGCTCAGCAAGCAATCATAATAATATTGCACATTGAAACCATTGAAACAATGTCAGAATATGTGTTTGCTAGGGATGCAAATTCCAGGGCATCGGCTGTGCTCATCAAATTGTGTTCCTTGAACTCTGTAACTAATGAAAATATATTACAGTACCAAATATTGTGGTAGTACAATTTTGAAGACTTTACCACAAATCACGAAATTCATGAATCTCACTATTACAAAAATATTTTCCACATTAGATGATAGAGAAAAGCCATAGAAAAATTAGTCCAAAATTCACCACTAATTGAGAAAATTCATCCTGATGTACATAAAACCAATCTCAGCTATACCTTCCTTCACTGTTTCTGCAAGGAATATAAAGCTGAGGCACTTTCCAAGTTTTCAGTACTACAGAATCTTGAGGAAAGCTTTACCGGAATTCATTGTTGAAGGTGATATAGAATAGATGATAGGGTTGAGGGCACTGTTGGTGTAAGCCAAGTGGTATCACTGTAGAGTTCTGGGGAAATGTGGCAGACCTGACAATGACTTGACAACAAATTCAATATAGGTGTCACAAAGAAAGGCAGCCAGCAGACTATAAAAGTCTCTAAGATGTAAAAGAAAATGAGAAAGCAACACACTGTTGCTCAGTAGTATTTAATTGTGGACCTAAATCTTCATTCACACAAATCTAAAGGCCCTCATATAAAGGCAAGCTGCCACTCTGAAGTGAATAAGGTCAAACTAGTTCTATCTGTTTTTAAGGTAACTGCACATTACTCTAGAAAATACCTGGAGATCCTTGATTGTCTGTTCACATGTCTTATTAAAAGCAAAGAACAAAGCAATATAAGACTAAATATAATTTTAATTAGCATACAGTAGATTTATTTTAAAAAGATAATGGAAAAAGCTATTTAAATGTGAGTATTTTTTTGTTAATTTATTCTCCTTTGAAGCAAGGTACTTCAAATTTCTTGGTAATCTGAATTGAGATAACGTGGTTATTTTTTCTCTATGGCTGGAAACAAAATGGGGAAAAATATGAATCAAAACCAGTATTAAGTACCTGGTTCTTTGGCTTCATAACCTGCTATATCTACTTTTCCTTAAAATAAGCCTTAGTGATCTTTTCTGAAAGTGGCATCAATGTACAATTTTCACACCATCTTATGAGTGCCAAAATATAACTTTTAAAAATATAATAAAAAAATATACTATCTGCTTCAGTTCTTACCTTGGTAACTATTCTTGGTAATCAGTATAAGGCCAATATTAAGCTGATGCAGAGTGTTGTTGATAATACAGATCTTTAATGCATCAGTGCAGGGCTAATAACTGATATTTAAAAAACTAGTATTCTGAACAATTTGTGTCTCTAGTGTAATTACCAGTTATAAAGTTCATAATATAACTTAACAGCTGCAGTCAAAAATATCCACCATCTCTTCTTCATTATATTGCCTGAGGCAGACTGACTGAGGTTATTGCCGATGACATTCTGTGTTTCCAACTGAGATTTCTAGTACTGCAATAATGTCATTTAGGATCATAAATCTAAAACTGTAAATAGAACGTTTCTCTCACAAAATGAGAAATAAGACTAGAATGTTAAAAGCAGCATCATTTATTTGACAGTGTTTCACACTGCTGAAGAAATCATTCCTATCAGATGGAGCTCTTAAACTGGGTCCTGTAGATGTTGTATGCAAATCTGAGGACAGGTCTGAAATATGTAGATGCCAGAAGGGTTAAAAGGCTAGAAGCTTAAGCAGAAAACCTTGGGAGCAGCAGGAAGGAAGGAGCCTGAGTCACATTGCTAAGCTACCCTGAGTTGTGTGCAAAGTAGGTGGTCATTGTCAGTTTTTATAATAAGCAAGCAGAGAGCAGTGACCAGACCCCAATCCTCACCACTTTGGAGATTCACTGGTTAAAAACACACAAAAACTCTGACTTTTCTACTGTTATTGTCAAGGCAGCTGCTACCACCCAGCTGGGGAAAACGATGTTTTCTTGTATCAAATTAAATCCCCCCCCATGTGACGGGAATACCACCAGGAGAGAGGGGGACATAGGTTTGCCAATGACCCCAGAAATCAGCAATAGAGAAATAAAGAAAAGAACTCGAAGGAATGACGAGTAAGAACATAACGTCAGATATCCATTCCGCTTATCAGCTGATCAGCCGGGGCCAGTGACGCGGTCTAAGAGCCGCGTGCAGACGTCGACCAAACCCATTTAAACCACCTTGTCAGAATGGCCTTTTAGCCCTGATGATGTTGGGGAGTTTTCCCAATGAAAGCTTGGCAACCTTTTAGTATAGTAAAGTATTTTTAGTAAAGTATTTTTACTTATAACTCTCCCGGTGATCAAGTATTATTTATTCTATTTATAATTATGCCCGGGAGTCGCATTTTTACCAACATTATTGAACGACGAAGTCCCATTCGTCATCTTCAGGTTGGTGCTTTCAGCTTCATGGCTGCTCAAAGCACGAAGCTGAAAGCACCAACCTGAAGATGACGAATGGGACTTCGTCGAAACGTCGCCAAGACACTTCCAATTTTACGCGGGAGAAAACCCGAACAACCAAAGACCTACATATATATATATAGCTAAATCTTGTCCCCTGTCTCTGTGTGAGAAGGTATATTTCAGAAATATTGTGAAATATTGTGAAATATTTTCCTGTTCCCTAGGTATAGTGTTTTTGAGATTTATAAAAGTGAATTATGAGTAGAAAATCTATATATCCTTAGCCTTAGTTTTATCATTGTGTACTTTGAGTCATCCACAGTGACTGTCTTTGGAACACCAACCTCAGTAGCCACCAGCTGTCACTAATGTTCATATGACAATTGGAAGTATTGGAGTAACCAAGAGAAGGAAAAACAGGCACGACTTTACAGACAAAGAAAAAGTAGAATTCCCTTGTATGAATTTTGTGTGGAGGTTTTGTATGTACTTTAGATATTTTAAATGTATGAGGAGTAATAAAGGTCATTTCCCCACTAAAAACCTTTAGAGCAAGCCTGCACAACACACAGCCCATGGTACACAAGTGATCTGCTAGGTAGCCTTGGGCAGCCTGCTGGCATTTTTTGAAAACCAATCCTCTCCTGCCAAATATTGCTGCCACCAAGAAGAATCTGCCACTGCTACTTAGGTTTTCATAACTACTTCTACCCCAAAAGACACTCTGCAAAGTGTTTTCAGAATTTCCAGACTTCACCAACCTGGCCAGCTCTATTGCTAATACCAGCTACTGATAGTTGCCGAATGGCTGATAACAGTAACAGATATTCTTTTGTGGCCTGCAATTATTTGTAAGCTATTAATATGGTGCTTTGCCTGCTATGAGTGTGCAGACCTGTCCTAAACTAATCATTGCCTTGCCAAAAAATAGCAAGGAGGACACGCAGGTTTTATTTCATTTCAGGATAGTAGGTGAAGGTACTGCAAGACATTATTGTAGTAGGAAAAAGGCTTTGTGCATTTTCAATGGGGACATATTTTGATTCTGAAGGCACAAATCCCATCTCAAACTGCAGTTATGGAGGCATTGACTTCCTATCTAACTTTTAGACTTACTAGCCCTTGGTGGTTGGTCACAAACTACAGCAGGTGTTTCACAAATGTAATTGATCACCTGAGAAACCTTTCTTGGCAACAACCATGACACTTCTGCAAAATTCTAAATCTACCCAACATCCCCTCCAGATAAACTTTGTTTAAAATATTGATTAATGATTTCATATTATAATTGAGTGGCTCATAGTTAAGCATATGGTCGGTTGTTGTTCTTTACCTGTGGTACTGAAGCCAAAGAGAAGAGGGCAGGAAACAGCAAATGCCAATAACCACACTATTGTTATCATAATAGAAACTCTCCAGCAAGAGCTGGAGCCAGTGTTGTATTGTAAGGTACAGCATAATCACTGCAGAGTATCTGCAAAGTAAATCAGCTTTAAAGTATGGATGGTGAAGTAGCTGTTGTAGAAAATATACTAGAAATGAAGAAAAATGATTAGGAAAAGGTCAAGGAAAAACCAGAGAAAGAACAGAAGGAAGACAGAATGAATATAATCACAGTGGAGAAGAGAAAAATAATCCGAGATTATTAACAATAATAGTTTGAGATTAAAATCAAACAGATAGAGAGTGAAAAAATAACAAAAATAGATATATCTTTTGTCAAAATTAAGAAAATATAATGGATCAAACACATAGATAGTAAGATAGAAGTAGATTTTTTCCCTCAAGATGTCATACACTTTACACATGTGTTTCTTTATAATACTATTATTGCATGTTCTGTTCGTTAAATAATATTTTGGGATGGTGCTCTGGCATCTTTATTAATGAAATGCACTTTGTGAATATTCTGATTTTCTGTGGAAGTGTTGTGTCCGGAGAAGAATAATTAATAGAAATGGTACAACTATATCTTTTTTATTTTTTCTGAAGTACTGGAGTTTTTCTAGAGTGGAATAGATGTTTGGAACACAAAAATGTCTTTTTCAGGCAATACATTCTCCCCCTGTGTGTGTGTGTGAGAGAGAGAGAGAGAGAGGGAGGGAGGGAGGGAGGGAGGGAGGGAGAGAGAGAGAGAGAGAGAGAGAGAGAGAGAGAGAGAGAGAGAGAGAGAGAGAGAGAGAGAGAGAGAGAGAGAGAGAGAGAGAGATGCCAATACATATATGTGAATGCAATATATTTTCCCCTCTTATTTTATTTTTAACTAGTATCATGGTCTCTCAGATGCAAGAGAGCAGGCATAAATCTGATAAGATTTACATAGTAAAAATATAATATGGTGTACAATTCTTGGATGAGTTCTCTGTTTTAAACTTCACAGTAATATATTCACATTTATTACATTTCCCTCTTTTGACTAATCGAACAATGTTTCACTTTCATCCAGATTTCTTGTTGGTTATTTGGAATCTTACCTATCAATACCGATAGCACAGACATTTAAAATACTGGCTGTACACATCATTACATACATGGTTACAAATATATCACAACAGACACGGCTGAAATTCCACACACCTCCAGTTACCTGATTATCAATTACAAGATATTTGTATTATCTTGCACTGAACTACAGCACACCACAATGACGATGCATTTTCCAATAACAACTGTTTAGCTTTCTTTAAAAATGAACTTAATAAATGAAATGTCATGGTTCTCCTCAGAAGTAAAGTTTTATTATCCTTTTGGGGACACAGCTGAATATCTGACAATACCTTTGATAAGCAAAAATGCACTCAGAAGTCTAATCAATTTATAAATTGAATTATATTAATAATGAGAGCACATATCTGTAAGAAAGAGTATGATTTCTAATTTATCTCCTTTCATAGGGTCAGTATTCTGCCCCAGTATTCTGCCTCTGGAGAGATTTTAAAAGAGTCTTTTTCATCATTTACTAAGACTGTGTTTATTGAAACAGAAAACCAAGATTTTTACCCATGTTTTGTAGAACAAGCTCTAATGGTTTAATTAATGGTTAATGCTAATGCATAATGAGTGAGTTCCCACACTGAACTATGTCAGAACCTAACTATTTTAGGTCTCAGTTTGGAATGTGAACTAAATCTACTTATTTAAGTTTCTAGGCCCTCCGCACTTCAAATGCTTCTGGGTAGCTTCACAAAATTAAAAGAAGAGTCCATATGAACATCAAGCTTCCATAGAGTAGAAACTGTTCAAGGGAATGAAACCATGCCTCCATATCCCTTCCTACCTTAAAGAGCTCATCAATCCATCTTAGGCCTGAGGGAAAAGCTAGGTTTTTAATAAATTTTGATGGAGAGGGCAGTGGGTGGACCATGTAGATATCCATGGAGGTGCTATTCTAAAGGCACAGCAAAAGAGAAGGCCCCATTTCTTGGGATCTACTACATTCAGAATAGTTTTGTAAGATTAGATAAATAGAGCGAAAGTTACAGAATGAAATGTAACCAAAATAATTTCAGCTTTCTTTACAGAAGTTAAAAGTAGATATAAAAATTGCAGATTCCTGGTTTGGCAGTAGTACCTGGGAAAAATGGTCTTGGAATAATATGTACCTCTCAGTGCAAAGGAGAAAGACCACCTACCTGGCAGGAACAAAGATATGCTTTTGATGCTGCAGCCAGGTCAGTGTCTGATGCTAACAGTTCCTTAACTCAGGGGTTCCCAACCATTGGTCCATGGAGAGCACCGGGCTGTGGCATACCAGAAACTGGGCTGCGCAAACAAGTGAAGGCCCATCCACTTCATTGAAAGAAAAATCTTCATCAGGGTCTAGTCCAGTGGTTCTCAACCTGTGGGTTGGGACCCCATTTGGGGTTGAACGACCATTTCACGGGGGTCGCCAAACAACGCAGTCCGCCATTTTTCCCCCTTTTCCTTAGCTGTGCTACTCCCTTTTATTCTATTGGCTTTTGAAAGCCAATAGAATAGACTCTCTTGAATAGAGTCTAATTCTATTGGCTTTCAAAAGCCAATAGGAATTGTCCAGGCTGTCTCTGCCCTGCTGAGCCCGCCAAAAGTCCCATTCTGCAAACGGTGCTACAAGTTGTCTGCAGTGAAGGCGAGCTGTCTGGAAGTTTCCACCCCTCCCTGCTGAGCAACTACTAAAAATGTAAGTAAAAGAGGGTCAGGGGTGGGAGGTGGGAGGCCAGCGGGCGCAGGAAAGGTTGCTGGCGTGCGTGGGGCCCGGTGGGTGCCTTACCTCCCTTGGGCTGGGCCAGTTGGTGGCCCAGCCGGTGGTTGGCCTGCGCCGTCTCTACTGCTTGCCAGCTATGCCTCAGCTGGCGCAGGGGGCGGCACCATGCATGCACGGTGCTCCCGGGCAGGGAAAGTCCTCGACTTATGACCGGTTGGGTAGTCCTCGACTTACGACTGGTTGGGGGTCGCTGCATTAAAAAGGTTGAGAACCACTGGTCTAGTCCAAGCTGGGAATAAACAAAATGGAGACTGCTTTAGAAAGGAGGTTGTGGTTTATTGAAGAGCAAAGCCAGACAGAAAAGTGGCTCTGGAAAAGCTGGGAGTGGTGAGTTTTTATACCTTCTTGAGCTTTTGAGGTTGTTTCCTGTTTGAGGCTTCATCTTATTATTGCCCTTAATAAGCTTAGCAAGGTATCACTAGTGACTTTCATACATTATCTCATGTCAGTCATATATTTGTCTATTTTAATTACTTATTTTTTAGAAAAATACAAATCAGAGCCCACAATAGATTAATTTATAGCACAGTTAAGCAAGATATAACTTTCATTTAAAACCTAAATACTTAATTCATTGCCATGTTAATTTAGTCGATTTTTGTCATCTTTCAAGTATGAGCTTTTCCATATTTATGGATAATGTTTTTATTCCAATACATAATTACAATTTTTGACCTGTGTCATGCACAATTTTTTTTTTTAAATTCTGTTACTTAAAACAGTTACACGCTCAGCATCCATTTATACCCGTCATGAATTCTACATTTGCTGTTCTAATTAATGAATTTGTTTAGATTTAGAAAGGAATGAAGATTTTGCAGATTGCTAACACAAAATATATCATTTTGTATTGGACAGCCAAATTCCAAATCCCTAACAACTACCATTTGTAACTCATCAGTTGCTGTTAGATTAATAAATCTTGCATTGTACATGGGTTACATGCTGTGCTGACATCGAAGCAAGATATATTGTAAGTGATTCACCATTTAAATAACTGTTTTATATGTTCTCTGGAGAAGCCCTCTCCATGTTTTTATATGTCATTCACAGATGTCCCATTCATGGGTACTACTTCTTCAACTCTTGGCAAAATATACTATCTAATGAACTGGAGATATACAATCTGGAGAAAGTCTTGACAATAAGTTAAAGATATCTTCATCTACATTTTATAGATACAATCAAACATTAATGGTCAAACTGATATTCATAACTTGCATTCAGAATTTTGTTCCATAGTCTTATATTACAAAGTTGGATATTGTTATTTTTAAAAATATCAGTTTCTGTTCAATAAGCAATATTGTTTTGGATTATAGAACAATCAACATTAGCGTTAACAAAACAACCTAGAACTTTTCAATATGAGGATTTCTGCAAGGATCACTCCCTAGAACAGTTGTGGGAAATGTTTACTTTCAAATGCAGCATCTTGTAAACTGTCTTTTGTTTCTATAGTTCACTGGCATATGATTATATCTTGTATTCTCTTTTGGCTCATCTATTTCTAAACCTGTAGCCAGAAAAAGGACAGTGTTTTATGTACCATAGACATAAAATATTTAAAAGGAATAGGATTATAGAATTTTCTGACAAATTGAAATTCATTTATTGGATGTCCACCAGTACCTTACTACAAAATATGATAGCTCAGATAAGACGTTCAGCCACAGATCATTTAGTTAAATCGGTCTTTAGAAGGTAAAGTCACTTTTTATCCTTCTTATTAAAACATTAGCAGATGTAACTATGCAAGCTCCTCTAAATACATCTACTGAGCATTTCTTTGCTGATTCTTTCCAAATTCTCACTTTTTTTTAAAAAAGGGTTCATTTACATCCTTTGAATAAGAGATTAGTTAAAGCATAATCTTCTCTTACCAATTATTGAATGATAAAAGCTTAACACCCCTCCTCTCTTCAGAAGTAAGTAGAAAGGACCTGATAACAATGCAGTTGCTTTGAATTCTTGAGATGAAAGATGTTCTGGGGTACAAAAGATTACAGCCTTTAAATCAGATCTTATTCTCTGTTAATATCCCCACTTATATTCACAAAAGTCCTTTTCTTGTTGTCAATACACTTTATGGTTTTTCAGCAATTTTACAGAGATAATTTCTTTTTCAGAACAGTTTAGTATATTGGTACACATTTCATTGCATGAATATAATTGGATTTGCATTATATCATTTCAATTTTTTATTTTGAGCTAGTGTGACATGATATGAATAATTAACTACCAGCATTTGTATTAGGTTGCCTATCAGCAATATAAGCATTTAAGTTATTTTTTAATTACTGTTTCAGGGGGGGAAAGTGTGGCATTCTTACTAAAATATAGACTTCCCAGTCTGATGATCTCCATACATATCAGCTCCCAGAATTCTTATATATAATTTTATTACAGATTTTGATTATAATAGTAAAATCTAATCCAAACTAAACTTGAAGAAAATAATAGAAAGCAGTAAAAAAATCAAATGAAAAAGCAAATAAAAAGGAAAAAGGAAAAAAGAAATATATAAAGAAATGATTCCCAAACTTCATCACAAGTTGAAAAAATTAGCAATGTTTTACCCTCCCCCTTTGAGGTTACAAACATTTAGCTCTTCATCCCATATCTCATGACTTATCTATAAACAATTCCATAAAAGATAATATTTTCAGTCCTAGTGTCAGAAGAATGTGCACAAAAGTGTTTCCAGAAGTAATAACATATCTTGTTTTAATCGTGATGAAATAAACCAACTTTATATCTATTTCTTTTATTTGTAACAGTCTTCATTTAAATATTGTCATAAGATTCAATTTCTCTTCATGTTTTTGGTCCCATCATATAGAGTTCTTCAAGGCTTTAACAAATCTCTTTTATAAATCCAAGAGGAAAAAATTATCCAGGTCATTCTCTTGGTTTATCTTTTGAATTTCCCTTTTACATTTTAAAACCTCAGCCAGATTCTTTTGTAAATCCAATGAAATATCCTTTTCTAAGTCTCTTGGCCTATGAGTTATAAATCCACTTTCAAAACCACTTTTATCCTATCAGATAAAATTTGTTCTACATCTGTCATTTCTTCAGTAATAACTTTTGGACATAGAATATCCATAGAAGCAGACATCACTTCTGACACTGTAGATATTGTGGCTACCAATAGCTCTGTTCTTCAAAAGTCTTCTTCAATATTTTCATTGTTATAACGTTTTGCACCATCTTATAGGCTTGTACATCTTTCCTGTATCTAAAATCTTTAGCCCCTTTACTATCCAGTTTCTGAAATACGAAACCCGTTTATCTTTGTTATATCTTGTTTATCTTTGTTATATCTAGTATCTATTTCCCATGATAAGTTGTTTGTCTTTATAATTAATTTCAAAATCTTATAGTAAATGTTTCAATATTCCAAATTTACCTAGAAACTTAGTCCACTTACAACTTTCTAAGATCAAAATTTTATTTAGTTTTTTGCTGTTTATTTCAGATACTTTAAATTCTTAAGCTTATAATTAATTTTTTCTTTTCAGGATTGAACTGGATTTTCAGACTTGTCATTCTGAAGACTTCTAATAGCTTAGAAATAGTTAATGAACATTTTCCAAAAATGATCAGTGAGTGAGGTTTGTGAACTTAGTCTCATTTATTCACTTAAGTAAAATGATTAATCTCATTGTCTCCCAGCACTTAAATCTGCAGAAAGCCACCATTCTGAAAGGAGCAGTTTTCCAGAGCACATATGGGTTATCTTCTATCCTCTCCTAATCCAGAGAGATTCTAAGAAACCATTCTACTCACTGGTTCCTTGTTCTTTGCTATGGTTATTGGCCCTGCTTTTGCTCAGTTTGCTATACCTTTTCCAGAAATCCTTAACTCTCAGAATATTTAAAGGCCATATTAGCTAAGGTTAAGGGCAACCAAATTCCAAAAATATGGCATCTATGCAACTTGAAAAGGTGCTAGAAGTGACTTGTTCTATTGAGCCTAAATAAAAACCCACATTTTTCTTACAGTTCTTTGCATACAATACAAGCTGCCCAGAGTTGCCTTATTGGAGAGAGATGGGTAAGCATGTAAATTTAATTAATAAATTCTAACTCTCTGAAATCTTATTTACCACAGTTTCATTATCAATTATC